GATGAGACATTAAACTGAGGTTCCATTTGCCCTGTCAGTTGGGATGTTTAAGGTCCCAAGGCAAAGAGAAGAGAGTTTCTCCTGGTGTCCTAGCAAACAATCCCCAAATAAAATTGTTTATTCACTTCCATGTGGGTACACTGCTGTGTGGAAATTGGCTGCTACGTTTGTCTGCAAAAATACACTCACTACGACTTACAGTAATTTGAGATGTTCAGCAATATCGTAAGGTGCTATAGCAAATGCATGATTATATATATGTATATATGTTATTTATAGTATGTGCTGTAGAGACATAGGCTGTAGAAACATATGCTGCGATTATCTTGTTATTAGCAATGCATGTTCCTTGGTGGTGTTGGTTATAATAATGAAGAAACGACAAAAACACTTTTGATACATTTGAAAAGGATCATTTAACTGAAGCTTGAATCTGTGTACAGAAGGATTGAACTGTGTAAATGCTAATTTCCCTGTTAAGTGCCATTAAATTGATATTGTGATATATCATACTGATACAATTGTTAACAGTTCTATTTATTATCTCACTACCTTTACTATCTTGTTTTAATGTGTTAACCTCTGATCTGTGCTGTCATGAAAGGTGCTATAGAAAAAACAACTTATTCTTATTGGTCCTGTTCAAGGGATTTTAATGGTGTTGTAAGTGATCAGGTGTAATCCAGTATACAGAGCAATTACCAAGTCATCGTAAGGCTGACAAAGGTAAGTACAGGTTCCAGGTTGGAGACTATGATTGCCTGGTCAGTTGTTTTCCTTTACAAGAGTCAATGTGCAAAATAATCCCCAATCCTAACAGAGAGCAAACTTCCGAGCAACATGCATATATATAATATGTTTAGTATGTGCTGTAGAGACATATGCTGTTGATCCCTGTAGCTCAGTCATTAGAGCACTCGCTTCGCAAGCGAGAAACCGCGGTTCAATTCCCGACAGGACAAAATGTTGGGCAATTTGCTTACTCCACACGCCTCTGTTTACCTAGCAGCAAGTAGGAACCTGGTTGTTAGTTGATTGACGGATCACTTTTCCTGGGGCAATAATTCCTTCAAAATTATTTTTGAAAACAAATAATAAATTGGTCACTACAATCCGTGACTGTTTGTGAGGCACTGCTGTGTGCAATTGGCTGCCACGTTTTGCCCACAAATATACAGTCAATTCACTTTACATATTCTGTGAAGTGCTTTATGAGACGTCTTGAAGACCTGATAAGGCACTATACCAAATGCAAGGATTATTATTATTATTATAGCACTCCCTTCATGTAGGATAATGTCTCAGAGCACAATCCAGTAGAAAGTGGGGGGAACAAAATTGTTTAATGCCGATCTGAATTTGTGAAGGACCAGTTTTGCACACACTACTGTTCTGCCACTTAAGTAGAATGCTCACAGGTGGGCAAAGGTCTTCAGTCTGCTGTTGGCAATATGGAATGCTGTATCCATCTGGCACTGTCAACAACATCATTGTGAGAAATGGACTTCACAGTTTGGGGAAGCCCCAGAAATGAATTTATAAAAAGAAACATCAGGAAAATAAACTGCCTGAAATGTCTTTAAGTGCACTGACTAGGATGTCAGAATGTAACACTTCACAAAAAAGCTTGGTGTGGTCCCCTTCTTTAGTATTTGTGCCGATATGAGCAGTAACACTGCCTGGTTTCCACCACGGTGTAAAGATCTACCATGATGGTTCAGTGTACGTTACACCGAGTGCATAGTATTGTCAATCAGAAGGAAAATGCAACCAAAATAATGATGCACAGAAGTGAAATGTATTCCATATTCATATTCATGGAGAAATGATATTCTGCCGTGCTTCCTGTGCTGGAGCAAGAAGTTGACAGGAAAGAAATACCAAAGGGAAACTGACCAGAGATTAACAAGACAAATAAAGGAAACTTTCCCCTGCAGTTGGCCAAATATTTAGAATGAGGTCTTTCTACCCAAACTAAAAGTCAGATAGAAAGACAGAATTTCAGAAAAGAACCAATATCAAGCTCCCAACATCGCCATTGCATTATTGCAGATGCCACCCTTTGGATTAGACATGAAACCAAGATATCGTCTGCTTGTTCAGGTGGATGCAAAAGATTCCATGAAACTGCTCGAAAGGAGAAGGACATTGCACTCAATGGCCAGGTCAACAATCGCCCAGATAGAATTGGTGACTAACTTTATAACTATTAATGGCAAATTGCTATGTGAAAATTTGCTGCCGTGTTTATCAACAAATGCATAGTCACTATAATTGATAGCAATTGTAAATTTATGACATTTTGCCATGATAGGATACATATAAAATGCAAAATAATATTATTATTATTAAAGATTTTTTATTATCGCAACACAATTATCTGTAAGACTTTATGGCGTCTCACAGGTCAGAAAGCAAAGATTAGTGCAACTCTTTCAAGGACATCTGCAGGTGGTGCAAGGAGACGTTGTCCATCATTAAAACTATTGGATGGTGTAACGAGGCAGCAAAGACAGCAAATAAGTCGGGAGCGCTACCAGACTGCTAACCTCCCAACCCATTCAGTTGATTTCTGTAAGAGGATGTGAGGTACATATGCAAAAGCATTACAAAAGAGATCAAACTCCTCACCCAAATCTTGTACGAAGTACAGATCAGTTAACTTCAAGTAGACCACTACGTAATCCTTATGCTTGTGTGGAGGGCATTGTTTCTGGAAGCTCAAAAGAGGGGAGATTCAATGACATGATTCAAGTGTGACTGAGATGAAGGGTCTAGAAATGTTTGTAGTCAACATAAATAAACATTTTTATGTATAGTTTCTTAATTCCTCATTCAATTGCAACTTTCAAAGATTGCACTAGAGGACATGGCCCAAAACAGATACTTCCTTTACCCCTTAGCGATTATGAAAGCACATTGGCATTATTTTGAGGTTTACAATGGTCCCACAAATGTTAACGTTATGGAGGACACAACAGTATGCTTGCTGTCAGAAGAAGATTACATTTGATTGTACCTTTTTTTTAAAAAAATGGTTTAAAATCTTTCAGTTTTTGCTCAGTATACTTGGGTCACTCCAACCTACCCTGCACCTGCTGTGTGAAGGAGACTGTAGATCATCTGTCTCTGCCAATGTTTGTCTTAGCCAATGTCATGAGGCACCCTTAGGTATTTGTGACCAGGCATGAACACACCTTTCAGTTTATTCCCACAGTGAGGTGCCAGGCCTTAGTTGTACGACATGCCTAAGATGACAAGATTGGTTCAGATGAAGAAGACCATTTGGTCCATTTGAACTCAATCTTCCCGAATATCTACCTTACTGTTTTCCTATCACAACATTAAGCTATATGTTTAAATGAGTCCAGCATCCTGAACTCAACCACCCTTCCTGGCAACCTGTTCCAGTTATTAATTACTGACTGTTTATGGTGTCTGTGCAGAAATTGCCCTTTGCAACTCTAAACTCAGGTTGTCTCATTCTACTGTCTTGGTACCTCTAAAATATTGATCCAGATTTATTTTTTCAATCTGATTTAAAATTGTAATACACCTTGAGTTGTCTTCTCTCGAGACTGAAGAGCCCTAGCTAATTTGATTTAACCTAGTCTAATCGTTGTTCATAGCTCATTCCACTAGGCTGAGGATCATCTTCTTTGCTCTTCTCTACATTGCATCCAGTGTTTCGGCAGCTTTCCCTATGTCACACCGACCAAACTGTATGCAGTATTTTAGGTGCAGCCTGACTGAAGCATTGTAGCTTGAGCATCCGGGGATCATCATTCAATGGGTTAAACACATTAGCCAGTGTTTTGATATGGTGAGAGATGAGTCAACTCACAACCCAAGATCTCTTTCAGCTTACCCCTTGGTAAATTGGATTGTTTGTGGGACCCTGTGGAGTCCTGTAGCTTAGTGGTTAGAGCATTTGCCTCACAAGCTAGAGGATTTGGGTTTGTTTCCCTGGCACTCCGAAACATTGGACAAGTTTCCTTATTCCACATGCCTAAGTTCACCTAGCAGTAAGTAGGAACCTCGATTGGTGGATCATTTTTCCGGGGTTAATAATCCCTTCAAGAAAAATAATAATAATTTGCTCACTCAATCCACGACTGGTTGTGGGACACTGCTGTGTACAATTGGCTGCCACGTTTCGCCCACAAAGTATACAGTCAATTCACTTTACAGTATATTCTGTGAAACACTTTGATACGTCTCAAAGACGTGATAAGGTGCTATATCAAATGCAAGGATTATTATTTATTCTATCCTTCCCATCGAGCACATGTGTTTCCTATTCTTAGATCCCATATGTATGTATAATTTGTATTTATTTGTATTAAACTTTATTTGCCAGTTGTCAGCCCATATGCCTACACTGTCAAGTTCTCTTTGTATATAAAAAAATAAATAACTTGTGCTTTTATTGAGCCTCATCATGTTGAAATATTTTAAAGTCCATGGCAGGTAATTACTGTCGATTAAAGTGACTTTTTTGTTGGCAAATGCAGCAGCCGTTTGAATGAGTATGGTTGCCACAAACATCCGTGAGGTGAATAATATTAATAATCCTTGAATGGTCCGTTTATCTAGTGAGTTTACCTTTATGGTTGGCCCACAGAATACATTTTCGTGATTGAATATTTCTTGATATGCCATAAATCAAGAAATATTCAATCAAGAAAAAAATGAACACACTTGTATGTGGTTTTACTTAGACTCATGCAAATGTTTGTTGGGGGTATTCTTGATGGCCTCTTGGGCCTCTTCCGGCCCGAGGGCCACAGGTTGACCACCGCAGCTCTAAAGGATTGTTGACCGTGTCACTGGGAAAATATCCATGTCTCTTTTCCAATAATATCTTTCAAATCTATCTAACCAGGTTAACCAGACTTTGATTTAACGTTTAGTTCAAAAGACAACCCCTGTAAACAATGCAGAGCTCTCCCAGTGAAACATTATATTAGTGTGAACTTTTTAATGTTTGTATTCCACAGATGGCCAAAACCCATTTTAAAAAAAGGTTACAGACAAAAGTTGGAGCTGTCAGATATCTATCAGATTCCTTCTTCAGACTCTGCAGATGATCTTTCTGAGATGTTAGAAAAGTAAGTGATGAAATTGTTTAAACTAAGTCTTTTCAACTTAATATTGTTAAATAGTTTCGAATGATAAAAAAACAAAGCTCGAATAAGCAATTACACTTCACCATCAATGAATACACAATTTCATATTAAATAAATGGATACATGGGATGTTACTGTGGTATTGACCATTCTCCAAGGACTGGCATTGGAGTGGAAAATTTCCTAGCGGGATTCCTCTGGCTCCCTAGCCCATCATGGACACAATGTTCTATGTACCCATTTAATCAGAAGTTCAAGACAAGAACGTATTTGTAGCATAATCTCTGTGTGATTTAGAGAATGCTCTTTCACTGTTACAGAGCATTCTTATCAATATACTCTTAACACAAACTAATTACCAGAGTTTCTTTACAGCAACTTTTTGTTCCAATCATCTCACAGGTCTTCATAAAGTCAGTCTCCAGCCGATGAATGCCATTCCTTTGATCCTTTCCTTGGTGGCTCTGCCTTTCTTTTTGGTATCTCCTTTATTTCTCCCGACTTCAGGTTGGCAGGATACAACAGGCATAAAGTGAATGCCTGATTTATCTGGAGGAATATTAGTCAAGACACTGGGTAGAAATCTCTTCTCTTTCTGAATAGTCACAAGATCAGTTGTTGATGAAGAAAGCACTTCGGCCCATCTTTTCTCATACTTCTAGAATACCTACCCTACTGTCCTCCCATCACACCATCAAGCTTTTTTTTAATGAGTTCAATGTCCTGAACTCAGCCACTCTTCCTGGCAACCTGATCCAGTCATTAATTACTCTCTAAATAAAGCACAAACTCCTGATGTCTGGCCTGAAATTGCTTTTTACAACTTGAAACCTATGCCCTTTTGTCCTACCATATGTAAGAAAGGCAGATACAAGAGGTTGCATTAAAGTTCATGGGAGGGAGTGGGAAGGGGAAATTAACACAAAGCATGTCAGTTCAAGACTGGGAGAAGTATAGCAGTGCCCAGCATGGATTTATGAAAAGGAATTCGGGAGGTAAATCACTTGTACAATAAATGAGAGTGTGTCTGACAGACTGTGCCCCAGATCTCGCTATGGTCCTCTAACTTTCCTCCAAAACTTAAAGGTTGTCTTTTCACCGAGGCGTCAATTAATTCTTTGCACTGGTTTATTTATTATAGTTTCACTTTTTAATCCTAATTTCATGACAGCACATAACAGTCAGTAGGCAGTCAGTCAATAAGAACATTCATTTGTGGGAACATTTGCTCAGTCACCCATTAATTCTCAGCTAGATTCTGCAGCCTTTGCTTAACAAGAATGACCGGACAGAGACACAGGATACAATTTTTTTGCAAGAATGTTTTCAGTAAGAGGTGATTGCGATGTAACCATGAAGTTAGTGAAATATCAAACTTTGGGTGCTTGGCTTATGTTGTGAAGAGTCTGCTTTATGAACCCGCTTCCAGGTTGTAATCATATCACTGATGGGTCGTTGCCATTGACAAACAGCCTTTTAACAAGCGCACATAAAATTTCATCAATTCTTCATCTTGGCATTAAATAGCGAGGACCTGCCTTTATCACAGCACTTCAGCAATGAATACAGACACCGTGTCCAAAACAATCTAGGTTTCGGATTTGTTCGCTTTGATTTATTTTCGCAACTGACTGGAAAATCTCCAAAGCCTTTTATTTGCCTGTTAGTTTGTGCAGCACTCTTCAGCATTCTAAATAATCTCAGTATATGACCTTTCAATGTAATTAAATCATCCCTCCCCACGCCCCTACGGTGTGATATAGAGTTGGGCATCATTAATCCACGACAAATGTGGCCCAAATGGAATGTGAACTTTCTGTTCAAATCCAACTTTTGCGAAGGTTAGATCTTCAGGGGCTCTTTGTCCTGGTTTTAAATGGACACGGTTATTTTCTCCAAATCCCCTTGGTTAAGTTTAAGTGGAACAAAATATTCCAGAGGTATCTGAGGCTCCCTGTAAGCATTTGCACGGCCGATCTAATTGACACGTTGTTGTCGTCTTTTGCAGGGAATGGGACAGAGAGCTCGCAACCTCAAAGGACAACCCAAAACTTGTCAATGCACTGCGGCGATGCTTTTTCTGGAGATTTATGTTCTATGGAGTTCTGCTGTATTTTGTGGTGAGGTTTTGTCCAAAAAAGATGCTATCGGTTTTTCCCCCAAACCATCTTGTGGGTCAGATCAAAATATTTTGTGATGCAAAATACATTTGCAACGATTTGTATCATTTTAGGGCATTGCATTCAATTGCACAATTTTATTACTAGGAGACACAAGCAAAAGATTTTGCTAACATAGATTTTGTCTAGTACCCTGAACCCCAACAGAGTGTGCAAGCAACAGTTCAGTACTGTGTTGAAGATTTGTATTTAAAACTAATTTGATTTGACCTACAGTATAATGATCATTAAACTTGGGATCATTAATCCAGTGTGGGATAGCTAACAGTTGCAGAATGAACACTTCAGTATAGTGGCAGACTGCCAATTAACCTTGCGGACAGAGCTTCCCTCACCACTTTAACTTCAGATGAGATGATGGTAGCATTCAAATCCATCTGGTGATCAAGGTAATGAGCATGATACAACTTGAGGAATACCTAACAGACAACAGTGTTCAGTGACTGATCGCGTGAAACCCACAACACCTGCTCTTATCTGACAAGGATAGACTTATCCAAGTGATCTTCACACGTGAGGGTTTACACAACTGAGATCCTATAACAAACCCTCCTTCTTATAGAAACCATAAAGAAACTCAAGGTACTTATCTCTTAGACCTTCTGCAAGAAGGAACTTACAAGACAGGAGGACTACAATAAGCAAAAGATCAGAGCTCTGCTGTTATTAAGGAGGGACTCCCAACTGTTAAATGCGGGAAACTTATCATTTCCTAATCTAAGCTTTTAAAACATGCTAGTTGTATCACTGGAGCTCGGCAGTACATGTAAGGTGCTGAATAGTATCCAACTCTTCAACAATTCTCATATGCCATTTCTTAGCAATATTTGTTCTTTCCAACAGGAATTCACCAAAGCTGTACAGCCTCTCTGCCTCGGACGTATAATAGCATCATACAACAAGAGGAATACATACGAGCGTGAAATTGCATATTATCTAGCTCTTGGGCTCTGCTGTCTTTTCATAGTGAGGACACTTTTTCTGCACCCTGCTGTCTTTGGTCTCCAACATTTGGGAATGCAGATGAGGATAGCACTGTTCAGTTTAATTTATAAGAAGGTAATGACATGAGTTTGTATGTGCGTGAGTATAAATTACACTTAGTTCTAGGTTTACTCTTATTTATTTCAGAGCGGGCAGAATGTGGCAGATTCTTAAATACAGCTTTAATTTTGAAGCCGGTTTTCGGTAAGTGCTTCAAAGGGAAAACAGACTTCAAAGTAAAGATTGAATTCAACAATTTGTCAAATTTTGCACACACTAAAATGCATCGTAAATAGAGTATATCTTGACCCAGATGGAATTTCGTTCCAATCCTGTTGTAAGTAGGATGCCAATTCTGTTTATCTTGAAGGCATGATTTACATTGGCGAGTGGAGCACAGGCTGGGATGTTCTCCATCTCTCTCTATATATCACCAGAGCAACTTACCCAGACTCACCAACATTTTGTAAACTCATCGCAATAAGTGAAAATCAGATGGCTTTATGTACCTCTGCTTATTCTGCCTGTTATTTAATTCTTTTTTTCTTTGCAGTTGTTCCTGAGTTAAGCATCAAAATCTACCCTAGTCTTAGCTTGTGGGGCCATTTGCCTTAAAATTTAAGATTCTGCAGAATTTTTAAAAAATCGGTCTTAATTTGGAATCTATTTCTTTAAATCCTGTGGAAAATCAGCTACCAAAATTCAGACTGCAAATAAAGAATGTTCCATGATTATGCACAATCCTAAAGTTTAAGTCAAAATGGTCTTATGAATTGAGGATTTAAGTAAAATGTCATTTCGCTGCTTTCATTTTTTTCTTCTTTGCCCCATCCCACCCCAAAATAAAAACAGATCTTGAAAATGTCAAGCAGAGTCCTTGATAAAATTGACACTGGGCAGCTTGTCAGTCTTCTATCAAACAATCTCAACAAGTTTGATGAGGTATGTAAGTTCCTTGTGAATTCCACATCACAAGAGTGTGTCTTGTTACCTTCCCATCTTAAATATTTAATGTCACTCTGACTCTTACTTTGCTTTTGAGGTCAAATATACGATATTCACAACCTGAATTTGCAGAGGGTCATAAATACTGAATCTTACCAGTAACAGGGTGTGGCGTGCATCAACCCAAGCAGGATTTCAGTTCTCACATGATGCGTTTTTTTGTTGGTCATCCGGTTGTCTTGACACAAGCGGACACCAACCCATCATTGTGCTTAAGAGTATCCAAACCAGACTGAGAGTTCCACATAGTATATTTCCCAAGGGAGAGAATGGCGCATGTTCCAGTTTGTGGGAGGAGACCCCCCATTTGAGCAAATTGGATTCTTTAAAATTAAATCAGGTTAAAAAATACCGCAAATTAGAACCCAGTATTTCATTCGAAACAAGAAGTTTGTAACTTTCAAAACACCTGATTAAAAGCCGGTTCTTTCTGTAAGCTTTTATTTCTTTGTGGTATGGAGTATAAACACTGGCATGGAGTAGTTGGGCTGAATGGCCTGTTTCGATTTCTGTAGATTCTACTCCATGCTTCAACAGTTACTTATGTCAGTACATGACAAAAGACCTAATCGCAATCACTTTAACAAATACCCTAAAGTGGGGTTGGGGTGGGGGAGTAGGTAAGCAGGATCTCCTTAGAGCTAAGCTGGCTCCAAGGTGATATGCTTGGTAACCAAGTGACAGTCGAGCTAATCCTCTGGGCAGTCTCCGTGGTCTGGTTCCTGACCAATATTCCAGGGCACTGCTGATGACAGACCAGCAGCCAGCTCAGAGGCAGGACTTGGAGGAAAAGGCCGACACCTATTAACCCTGCAAGCCATAATAATAAATAATAAATATAATAATAATAATCCTTGCATTTGATATAGCGCTTTTCATGTCTTCGAGACGTCTCAAAGCGCTTCATAGAATATACTGTAAAGTGAATTAACTGTATATTTGTGGGCGAAACGGGGCAGCCGATTAATAGCCCTAATGGATAGGGTGGTCCTAGCTGGACCTGCAGCAGGAACCTTGCTAGATAGTGCAGTACCATGTGTGCCCCATACAGAGTGCCACGTCCTATTCATTTAACAGACGTTTCCTTCAGGTATTTAAACCAAATCATCTGCACATGATTACGCATTGTAACCTGCAGGATGCATTCATTCAGTGATATAAAGAGTATGACTTTCCACGCAGGGCTTGGCACTTGCTCACTACGTATGGATCGGACCAGTTCAAGTCGTCCTTTTAATGGGATTGCTGTGGAATGAATTAACTGAATTTGCATTTTGTGGACTGGGCTTCCTGATAATCCTTGCCCTGTTCCAAGCCTGGATTGGCAAAAAGATGATGCGATACAGGTAACAAATCTTTGTTTTTATTTAAGCGCTTCTGAGATGGTTCCCCATGTGAAGGCAACTTTTTGTTGTTGATCATTTAACTGTACAAAAAGCGTAATGTGTGTATGGGGGGAGGAGAAGGAGTACAGTATGGTATCATTGGTGCTTTCACTGATCCAAAATACATTCAATAGTTATCACTGCATGGAGGGAGGAGGTTCAGCATTGCTGCGAGGTGATACTATCATTTGCCACATTTCTTACTCCCATAGCAATGATTAATTGAATAGTTTCAGTAAACCTGGTGATAGGTTGCTCGTTTATATACATGTTTATCTTCCAACATATAAGGACTGTGTATGAACTGAAATGGATTATAGGGTATTTACATAAAACATAATGCGACAACAATTTACATTTATATAGCACCTTTCACAGCAGGAGGATGTCTCAAAGCTCTTTAAAGGATTTATTACAAAGATTACTGTATGTTTGGTAGGCAAAGAGAGTTACAGTAAGTAAATTGGATTGCGCATTCAAAGAGTCAGCACAGACTTAAGGGCTGAATAGCCTTTTTCTGTGGCTGTAAAGTTCTGTGGTTCTATGGTTCTGAGAATGAGCTCTCAATCTTACTGAGCTGTCATTGGAAACAGTGACATCAAGCCACTTTTCCAAATGAACCAAACAGTAGAAAAAGAGGACATAGGTTTAGGGCTGCAAACGGCATATTTGGGACAGACATCAGGAAGTATTTCTTTAATTAACAACTGGAACAGGGTGGTTGAGGTTAGGGCGCTGAACTCATTTAAAAAACAGCTTGATAGTGTGATGGGAGGACAGTAAGGTGGATATTGTGCGAGGATGAGAACCTATCTTATTCCGAACCAATCTTGTGACCTTGGGAGAGGACCACCACTTGACAGTGACTCACCCTGTATTGATCTTGCAGACCTCCTAGGAAGCGAAGCACTACTGCCTTAGGCTTAAGAGTAGCCTGGCTTTTTCTTCTCAGGCAGAGGTGGGGGCGAAAGGGAATAGAATAATAATCGTTGCATTTCACATAGTGCCATATCACATTGTCAAGATGTCTCAAAGCACTTCACAGGATTTAATATAAAGTGTGAGACTATATATTGTTGGCGAACACGTCAGACAACTTGTCCACAGTAATGGCCCAAAAACAGAATGACTGATTTTAGCTGAAGATGGGAAATGTTGGATTATGTGGAAGAGGAGCAAGCAGAATGATACAATGCCACAGTTTTAATTGTTTCTCCTTCTGAACACTAAAACTAGAGATAAACGTGCTGGAAAGATAAATGAACGACTTGCAATCACATCAGAAATTATCGACAACATTCAGTCAGTGAAGATGTACTGCTGGGAGGATGCCATGGAAAAGCTAATTGATAATATAAGGCAGTAAGTTCCATTTTGGTATGGATTCATTTTTAAACTGCAGCATTAAACTGCAGCAAGTAATAAAAATGTATTACGATATTTTGTGCAGGTCAACTATTCGTATTCTGCAACATAAATCCAATTAACCCTGGCATTGCTGGCAGGTCCTGGGAATTCAGACTCTAGTGCTGCCTAAGAGAAATGCAATGTCTGAGAAATAATTTCCAAGGAAGCCTTTTACGTTTTTAGTTGAAGATTATAGATGCCTGAATCTTTTGACATGTGCAAAAACCCATCAACATGCTTGAGAGTATCCAAACCAAACTGAGCATTCCATATATGTATGCTACCTAATCACGAATGGAATGTGTGTGCTTCCTACTCACCTAATTCCACAGAGGGTAAAGGCATAGATTGGCAAGAGCTAAATTTCTCCAATCCGCAATTAGATGTTAGACTGACATTTTCAACACTACAGTAACGTACAGTAACGTAAACCATTACCACGGTCCTGCAGATTATCAAAGTGTCACCAAAAGTCTTTATGGTCTCTATTTGCTATTTCACGAATGAGTCAATCGCTCTTTAGGGCCAAGTTTTTAACATTGCTGCATTTCCCACTGTGTGTGCAATTGCCTTATTGACAGAAAGGTCTTATAACGTCCAACACAACCAACACATTATCTTGCCTTATTTTGCTATGATTGATTGGGACAAAGGAAGGTGAATAAAATAGGATGATTTTTATTGATACAACAACAACTTGCATTTTTAAAGCGCCCTCCACATAAGATAGTGTCTCTGAGTGCTGCGCAATGGAGCGGTTGGTCCCTGAGCAAGGAGAAGGTCAAAGAGGTTCTTAACATGGGATTTAAAGGAAGCTAAAGCGGGGGCAAGGTGGAGAGATTGGTGCAGGGAGTTTTAGAGGTTGCAGGGGTAGTGACTGAAGGCAAAGCCACCAATGCAGGCCCTGTGTTAGCTGAGTGAAAAGGGCGAGCAGAGGAGACATCATATGATCTCCAAATGGATTCTATACACAACTAGTAGCCATTGTTCAGGTCAACCTTTTAAAAGCAAGTTTTTGTTAATGCTCCACTATTTGGCATGATTAGTTAAGATGGATGACCCTTTCGGAATGTATTCAACCAACCTCTGCTGTGTTTCTGACTGACAGGGCTGAACTAAAGCTGACTAGGAAAGTCGCCTACTGCAGATACTTCAATAGTTCGGCGTTCTTCTTCTCCGGCTTTTTTGTTGTGTTTCTCTCTGTGGTACCGTACGCTTTTGTGCATACTGTAAAACTGCGGAGGATCTTCACCACCATTTCATACAACATTGTCCTCCGAATGACAGTCACCAGACAGTTCCCATCCTCCATACAAACGTGGTACGATTCTTTGGCAACCATTCGTAAAATACAGGTGAGCGAGTAAAATATGAAAGACAGTTTCCACGTTCCAGATCCGAGGTCCAAAATCTCTCATGGTCTTACTCTTAAAACCAAAAGTCTCTTAAATTTTAAGGTCATCCAGTACTTTCTAATGCTTAAATTCACCCTCAATTAAATTAAACTAAATTTGAAAGCCTGTTTGTTTCTTTGGGCAGGGCAAAACCTTACTGAAGTTACCTTACTCCACGCAACTCCGTTTACCGAGTAGTAAGAGGAATCCAGTTGTTAGTCGATTAGTGGATCGCTTTTCCGGGGGTAATAATCCTTCAAAAAAATAATAAATTTGTCACTCAATCCATGACTGTTTATGAGACATTTCAACTACGTGATAAAGTGCTATATCAAATGCAAGGATATTATTATTATGCTTTATAAGAATAACCAAGCATTATTATTATATTGCCCCAATGATTTTGCCTTGCAGGACTTCCTACATAAAGATGAACACAAGACTGTGGAATATAACCTGACAACGAAAGATGTTGAGATGGTTAATGTGACTGCATCCTGGGATGAGGTCAGAATTCATTTTCTTACAAAATGTGGAGTTTTTTTATCAGCTTCCTTGTGTGTGTGCTCAAACATCCTTGTATGTCATTCAGTGTCTATAACGTAGAAAGAGCTCAGTTTAACATCTCATCTGAAAGATGATACCTCCCAACAATGCAGCACACCCCCAGAGTGTCAGCTTAGACTATTTGAAAGCCTGTTTGTTTCTTTGGGCAGGGCAAAACCTGTAGTCGTGGAGTCCTGTAGCTCAGTGGTTGAGCATTCGCTTTGCAAGCGAGAGACCTGAGTTCAATTCCAGGCAGGGCGAAACCTTGGGCAAGTTTCCTTACTCCACACGCCTAATAATAATCCCTCCAAAACCAAAAACAATAATAAATTGGTCATTTTCAATCCACGACTGTTTGTGGGACATTGCTGTGCGCAATTGGCTGCCGCGTTCGCCCACAAATATACAGTCAATTCACTTCACAGTGTGTTCTGTGAAGCACTTTGGGACGTCCTCCTGATGTGAAAAGTGCTATATCAAATGCAAGGATTATTATTATTATTATTATTTGAGTTCCAAGGGGCTTGGAGCTTGAACCCACAACCTGCGTGACTCAGAGGTGAGAGCTCTGCAAACTGAGCCGGGCAGACAGGACGGTGTGAGCAGTTACATTCTTTGCTTACTAATTAGCGAGTATGGCAGGTTTTGCCAAGATATTGTGTAATTCAGTGACCTCGCTGGTAAAACCTCAGAACTAATTGGCAAACCAGTCAAGAGTAAATGTTGATCCTCCACAAAGTCTTCCTGTAAGTGTTTTCATTGGACCTTTTATTACAGGAAGTGTAAAATACAAAAGATGAAGCTAAGATAACTGACCTCGCCTTCAATCTTTAACTGTAGTGTGACGCCAACAGGGTTAATTGCCGGTCCCAACTGACTTAATCTGATTTCAGGTAGTGTACTAACATTGGCCTTAATGTCCCTGGGCTACAGAGGGGGGAAAAAAAATCAGTCGGGGGGTTCTTGCTCCTCATTGGTATCCAGTGAAGTTTCCATCTACTCCTCCCCCTTTACTGGCCCATAAAAAATATGTATATAAATATAAAATATAAAAAATATAAAAATAAAAATTCTAGTTTATTATATATCATGTGAAGCGCTTTAAGACGTTCTTCTGAAGTGAAAGGCATTATGCCAAGTGTATGGACTATTATTTTACTGGAAAGTACACATACGAGGACAGTTAAAGTGTTCCTAGTTGGACAAATAGTGGGAAGCTCACCAAACAGTGTTCTCAATTTCAAACTATGCGGTTTTAGCTGATTAAACTCTGGCAATACCCCAACTCGCATTCTCAGGTCCCTACGCCTTGGCTCTTGCCAACCAGTGCCTTATATTCTCTAGAATTAGATAAACAGGGTGTGTCCCTCCAAGGAGAGAGTACACAATCCATTCCAAACACAAGGAAGTTTCCATGTGTAGGTGGCATACATCCATGGAGCTCTGTCTGGTTTGGATGCTCTTAGGCATGGTGATGGGTTTCCATGTGTGTCAGACACACAGCTGACTAAAAAGAAAGGACAACGTTGATCCTCCACACAGCTAAATGGTGTGTCAACATTTAACTTACATATGAAGAATAGTTTGAGCTGGGTGCAGAGAATAACCAGGGCTGGTGGAACTGCACCCTAGTGGGACTCAGGAAATAAAGAAGAAAGGGAAAGAAAATTCACCTGTAAACCAGACCGAGAGTTCCATAGATGTATGCCTCCTACACATCAACCTTTTGTATTAATGAAATCCATTCCACACATCTCTCCTTTTAATTGGATACATGCCCACAAAATATGCACAGTCACACAGGATACAGTACATCCTGGGAAGTGCTTTGAGATGTCTCGACGATGTGATAAGGTGCTATATTAAATGCAAGGATTACTGCTTATTTTACATCTGAAAGCTTGAATGTTACCTAACAAATAAAGCCTTATTTTTTGAAACAAGATGATTCTCACGAGTGCCATCCCCTTACACTACTTTACACTCCCTCGTCCTAACCCCATGATAAATGTAATCACTATCGGAAAACTGGTTACACACTTAAAAGGAAAGCATGGTGATGTTCAGCTGCCTTGGAGTAGAGTAGAGCAGTCTGGGGAGAGGGGGGCTGCTGATGTTTAAGATCAAAGAAAAGGCTGAAAAAGGTAAACTCAAATCTCACATACTTTACTGAACCGTTGACTGAACTGAGGCAGAACTGAAAACTGAGGTCAACTTGACCAGAAATCTGAGTTGTTCAAAAACAATTCTCTAAAGGTGCGATTTACTAAACCTCGTTCTGCGTTACAATTTTACAACATCTCATTGATATAGACATCGTTGGAGTTTTCTGAAGCACTTTTAAGCACATTTACTTAAAAAAAGGCAAAGCCATTGTTGTTTAACCCTCTCCCTTCTGGCAATTGTCCAGTGGAGAGCGCTTTGCTTCTGAGGCTAAGCGACACGTTCAGTGACCACCGTCATTGCTGACAGGAACTGAACAAAAGCTTGGCTGATTAACCAGTAACAAAGATTACATTTTATATTTCCTGCACACCTGCTGGTGGAAATTCAGCAAGCAAAGTTTCACAACTTGCAGATACTATCAGGCCTCGGGCTTGGATGCTATCAATAATTAAACGCCCTAACTGTCTTAGTCGTAGCTGGAAAGACCATTTTATCTTAATTTAAGAGAGTACAGAATTTTTTTGAAAATTCTTAAACTCAATCTTAATTTGGAAGCAGTTTTTCACAGTTTGTATTCGAAAGAAGCTGGCGTCCAAAGAAAAAGTGAGATTAAGAATTTTCCGCAATCTTACGCAATCTTAAACCTTAAAACAAAATGTTGTTACAGGTTAAGATCAGATGGCAATTCGAGTTTCTGTGAGGAAGGGGTTAATCAAATAATTGATGTTGCTTTTGTGACACTATTTTGAAGAATATCTAGCGGGAATACAAATGCTACCTCGTTGAAAATACCTATAACAAACTCCCTCTCAACCTTCCTCTCTTCTCCTCTCCCCTGCAACCTGCCCCTGTAAAGCCCTCCAAGACGTTACCCTACATGAAGGGTGCGATATAAATGCAAGTTGTTGTTGTCTTGTAACCAAACATTATTCTTTTTAAATTACAGGGGATCGGAGAGTTGTTTGAAAAAGTCAAACAGAATGACACAGAGTCTAAGATGGTGAATGGTGACGCTGGCCTGTTCTTCAGTAACTTCTCTCTGCATGTTACACCCGTCTTGAAAAACATCAGCTTCAGATTAGAGAAAGGGGAACTTATGGCTGTCGCTGGGTCTACAGGAGCTGGCAAGGTAGGAGTTCATACACAAGTACAAACTCTTGCAGTGATGGTCACCATATGAGCCAAGGATGCGAACATCCCATTGTAAGTCAACCTCAAAAACTCGTAATCCTATAGTGTCCTTCTCATAGAATAGAGTCTCGGAGCTCTGTACAGTGGCAGGATTGGACATTGAGGATTGAGCAAGAAGTGGGAATCAATCATTATCAGAGGCACTGAACCTATTACTGAATATGGGAGGGGGCTGCATTTATCACTGAGTGTAGGGTGGAGGCTGAGTCTATCACTGAGTGTGGGAAGGGAGTTGAGTTTATCACTACGTGTGGGACGGGGGGGGCGATCTTTGGATGATGCCCTTGTTTGATCTCACCACATTGGATGATTTACTGTTGCCAATTTCAGATTTAGACAAGATGTTTCAATTTACTTTCACACGAGTATAAAGAATATTTACTGCCTTCCTCACACAGCACGATCGCAGTCTGAGTTGGATGGTTCCTGTGGGTTCATATCTCCGCTCCCTCTGTGCAAATTATAGAGGAGAGCCATGACCCTTCTCCGCAAAAGGGAATTAACCTACTGGCTTGAAAGTCCCCACTGAAGTGGAAAAGCTTGAGGCTACTCACTGTGGTGCTGATGCTGCCCTGAGATTTATGGTTTGCTGGCTCTGAAGGAGAAGGATTCTCACTTGAATCAGGCCCGTAAAACCCGAGAACAAAATCCCGCAGAGAGTCCAGTGCAAGTTAATCAGTGGGCGCTCTCGTTCCCAGAGATCTGATACAATGAACAGCGCTTGACATTTGCAGGGCAGTTTCGACCCCGCGATTTATGTCTTCTGGATTACCTGGTGCAATTGATCTCACAAAGTTTAAGCATTTATCAAAAGGTAACGACACCTTTTCTAAGATACAGCCATTCAGCCATTGTGGAACTAACTCCAATTCTCAGCACAGCACTGTGGATCAGGACCCCCTCTCTCCCCCTACCCTGCGCACACCCACCCCTCCCGCAACAGTCACTAGCTAACAAGGAGAACAGAAGTTGAACTTTATATTCAAGCTTAAGTTTCATCTGGGAAACAAAATTTGCTCTGGATTTTAAAATAAATCTACTATCAATAATAATCTTTACATTTGATATGGTGCCTTTCATGTCTGGAGGACGTCTCAAAGCGCTTCACAGGATTTACTGTAAAGTGCAATGACTGCATTTTTAAGTCAACCCAGCAGTCAATTTGCATACAGCAATATCTCAGAAAAAGAGCCATGAAATCATGAAATGAATGACCAATTCTATCTTGAGAGAATGTTGTCCAAGACACTTGGAAAAAACTTCTGTCTCTTTGCGAATAGTTCCATGGGATCTTTAACACCCACCTGAACAGGCAGACTGGACATTGGTTTAACATTTCATCCAAATGACGACACCTCCAACAATACAACAACACCCCAGCACTACACTGGAGTGTCAGCCGAGACAATTTGAGTTCAAAGTCCAGTGTAGAGTGAATCCATTACTTTCTGACTCAGAGGCAAGAATGCGACCAACTTTGTAAGCTGACTCCTGAATACCAAATAAATCATTCTGCCTTTGTGCAGAGCAAAATCCACATGGAATAGTTTTACTTTATAATATAATAATCCTTGCATTTGATATAGCACCTTATCACGTTGTTGAGATGTCTCAAAGCACTTCACAGAATATATTGTAAAATAATTTGACTATTTTGTGGGCAACACTTTGAACATTGAATTCATGAACTCATGAACCTCGCCTGCGTATCTGCGCAACTTGGAATGCAAAAGCTCTAAATGGACTCAGAAGCACGAAGTGATGGGATTCTATATGACAGGCAATTTTGCTCTGACTATTTTTTCTCCTGTCACTTAGACCTCTCTGCTGATGATGATAATGGGAGAACTGGAGCCGACAGAGGGTAAAATTAAGCACAGCGGCAGAATTTCCTTCTCACCTCAGGTGCCCTGGATCATGCCAGGAACAATCAAAGAAAACATCATCTTTGGGCTTTCATATGACGAGTACAGATACACCAGTGTTATTCACGCTTGTCAGCTGGAGGAGGTGAGTCTACCCTTCGGCACCTTTGCAAAGCACCACATAATCCACATCCAGGTGTAGTCCATGTCAACAGCAGTGGACGTTATACATCCATCTTCTCAGCCAATTTTTCTGGCTCCATCCTTTGGATGAGATGTTATTATTGATAATTCTTGCATTTAATATTTCATCTTTCACGTCGGGAGGGCATCTCAAAATGCTTCACAGGATATACTGCGAAGTGTAGTGACAGTGCATTTTGTAGGTAGATGGTGCAGCTAATTTGCGCACAGCAATGTCCCGCAATCTGCGTGAAGTGAACGACAAATTGTATCTGGAGGATTGTTAGCCAGGACACTGGGGAAACTTCCTTCTCTTTTTGAGAAGTGCCATGGGATCCTTGATGTCCACCTGAACAAGTGGACAGGACCTTGGTTTAATGTCTCATCCAAAGCACAGAGCAATAAAGATTGATGGCTGGGAAGATGAATGAATAATTTGAACTCATTAACATGTTCTACACCTGGCTGTAGATGGATCATCAATTAGACTGCAATAATGATATGACATTTGTTAATTTTCCTGTGTCAACATCCTCAGCCACCAGCAGAGTACACAGTGGGGTTGTAAATGTAGTATTTGCTATCCAGATTTTCAAATAATGATTCAGTCACAAGATACATTGCTCATTGCAGTAAACCCTGTGAAGACATCGTCCTGATGTATTAGAAGCTATCGAAAACCAAGGATCATTATTACAATATGACAACTTTCTCTACCTTCCACATCTACTTCACACCAACTTATGAAATATCACTGGCCTCCAAAGCAAAGGACAATTAACTACTACTCATTAGTATTAATGGAAGGATGATTCCTGTGAGCAGCAAGCTCATGTCAAGAAAAAACACTCAATCTTAGACAGAACAATTAATAAAGAAGCTGTCCCTTTTGCCTGTGAGCATTTTCTTTTTATGTATTTCTTTTTACTGTAATCTACGCTACGCGTTGCAGTAATGTACAACTATCAGTTCAATCACCTTAAAATTTGAAAGGTCAAACGCAACCTAACAGTCTCATTAAATCTGCTCTCTGCTGCTAACAAATGAGCTCCAGCCTTGCAGGGGCTCGTATTATTGTACCCCATAATCCAAGCTTTATGACGCCATAAAGTACACTGGAAAAGGTCACCTATGCCTTAGGCAAAGACAATGCAAACTCTTCAGAGTTGGCAAGTGCACATTTTTTTGGAAGCACACAGGTCAAATGAATAAAACCATTCTGTGCAATGTGCAGGGGGCTCATGGATATCTTGGAATACCACTGGCAGGTCACAGATACTTGAACACGATCCCCCCACCCAAAAAATAGGCTCACAAAGTGTTTTTTTTTTACTCCATTGGCACGTTCCACTGACATTTAATTTTGGTATCAGACCGCAGAGCAACATCTTATCAACACATCACTAGAGATGTTGCTATGGTAAATGCACTGAGTTTATAGCAGTTACTAGCCTTGACCTCTTTCCACCAATCTCACCATTCTGAGGTCCATGGATATTTTCTGTTCTAGGCTTTGTAACCATGTAGAGAAAATTGCCTAGTGAAATGTAGTGCGGCATAAGGGGCCAGTAGTATATATTATTATAGTTCCAACAGTGAAGACATTTCATCCACAAATACACAATCCTTGCACATGTCAGCATAGGTTGTGAAATAATAAGACAAATCCTCCGTACAGCAATAAGCTGTCATTCAGAACTCTGCAGCTCATGTACTGTCCCGCACCAGGCTTCGCGACCACATCACTCCCACCCTCGCTCGCCTCCACTGGCTTCCCATCCCCCAGAGGATCGAATTGAAGATACTCATCCTCACCTACAAGGCCATTCACGGCCTTGCTCCCTCCTACCTCTCCGACCTACTATCCCCTTACTTACCTGCCCGTACCCTCCGTTCCTCTGGCTCCGGTCTGCTCCACATCCCCCGCCCCAACCGCCCTACCATCGGTGGCCGGGCCTTCAGCCTCTCAGCCCTTAGGCTCTGGAACTCCATCCCCCAGTGCCTTCACCTTGCTTCCTCCCTTTCCTCCTTCAAGGCGGTCTCAAGACATTTCTCTTTGACCGTGCTTTCAGCTCCCCTCTCGACTCTCTATCCCCTCCTCGCTCCCTCCCTTCCCTCCCCCTGACCATTTCCCCCCTGCTCGGGTCCTGACCCAACTGTCCAGCGCCTTGGGACGTCCTCCCGACGTGAAAGGCTCTCTATAAATGGAATCTTGTTGTTGTCATCCTGTCACGGCGATGCCCACCAACACAGAAATGCAGAGCCGTTACACTTTTGGAAATAGACAATGTTTCTGAACATCAATGGAAGAGAGTTCATGTGTAAAGTCCCAACTGGGGAGAAACTAAGGTCAGAGAATTGCAGAAAAGAATGACAGTAAGGAAGAGGTTATAAAATATTTAAATGTTAAAAGAATAATGTGATTATAATGCTTGCATTTGATATTGCCTCCAACATGTTGAAGTGCTTCACAAATAATTGCTGTGAAGTATAGTGACTGTGTACTTGTCAGCAAATGCAAGGTCATCTTTGCATTGTTCCACTAACAGCCATGAAGTGAACGATCAATTTATATGGAGGATTGTTGGCCAGGACACTGGGAAAAACTCTTCTCTCTTTGTATAGTGTCATAGGATCTTTAGCAGCTGGGACCTCAGTTTAATATCTCACCTAAAAGACGAGACTTTAACTAACAGTGGAGAACTCCCCAATATTGTACTGCAGTGTCAGCTTGGACTATGAACTCAAGTGTCCAGCTCATGTATTCAAGATCTGAAAGGGCATAGGAATAGGTAAAACTGAATCCTAATAAGATGTTGAACATGGTCAAAAAATCTAAAATGTAAGAGATATTACAGTTATTCACTCCCAATGCTATTTCCATTCTGTACTTGTGCAGATCTCTCAGAGAATGTAAGAGTGGCTACTTAAATTCAACTGACTGGCATCAGTATCAACCGGCACAATCTGTGGTGCATTGTTTCCAAGGCTACTTATAACATACATCACAATCTGCAGCCACACAGGCCTCCTGCCGTACAAATCTCCAGACTCCTTAAGGTAAAATGTTAGGTTTGATTTAAAAGCCTGAATTCAAAGATCAAAGATATTTAGTTTCCTCGCCCATAACTTTTAATATTGTGCTGATTTCAGTGAAATCATGATCATTTCAACCCATTGACAAGAAATCATTATACTTCTGAAGTTCGCGAATAAGGAAATAAAGCAACAGTGCAGTGCAGAGATGTTGATAATATAAAAATAAGCCTTGCATTTGATACTGTGCCTTACCACATCAGCAAAATGTTTCAAAGCGCTTCACGGGATTTACTGTAAGGTGCAATGACTACGTATTTGTAAGTTCCCTCTGCAGAAGATTTGTCCACATCAATGTCCCACAAACAGCCCTGAAGTGAGTGACCAATTTTTTACCTGGGGTTGAGGACACTGATAGAAACTCCCTTCTCTTTTTGTAATGATAATGTCACGCACACAATAAATACACACAAACAACGTAAGTACCTGTATTGTGTCAGTTTTGTGAAATTAGACAGCAATTATTCCCTTGGGTGAAATAAAAAATAATTCCTGTACATTTGGTCCCTTGCTGCTAATCAATGAATCCTATTCAATAAAACTAAACCCAAAGCTTAGAGAAAAAAGCAGAGCAATTCACTTGAGGTCACTCCATCCCATGGCATTCACTTCAGTGTAAACTTGTGACTTATGACTGTCAGAGACCTTCTATGCAAACGAGAAAAAAAAACATTGTATTCAACAGTCTCTGATGAATAATGTCCCATTTATATCACATGTTTGGCATCGAAAGCACACAATCTTTTTGCACTGCGTTGATGCCAAGGCGGCTGTGCCATGTGGCTGATTTCTGTTTCTTTCTGACAGTGGTGATACATTCACCTAATGTACAGAGTACTGCTTACTAGCCTCTGACTGATGACAATTCCACTTCTGCAACATGTCTAAACAGGATGGTTGGTCATTATTTACAAACTCCAAGGTTGGACAGTAGACAGGCTGTGTTTTTTTTAAAACATTGTGCTTTACGTTTTTTTAAAAAACCATTGGCTCTGCTCACTCTGGTGGTGCCTATATATGAAACTCAACTTCGCAACATAAGGAAAGAGACGAACCAATTTGGCCATTCAAGCTCACTACCCTCACAGTCCACGCAAAACCAATCTAATCATGAATTTCACCCCATCTACCCGTGGAAAACATTTTCATAAAGCTTTCATTGCTTGAACCCTGAAAGTCAAGCAATTAACTTTGTTTGATACCCCCACCCCTTTAATGGCAATTGCAAGTGTGAACCACCTTGAGTACATCTACGGTTAAATAGCCTGCCAACACATTACTGTCTATGTTCCCACATGAAGAATGGTCATTTAGTCCTGTAGCTCAGTGGTTAGAGCCCTCGCTTTGCAAGCGAGAGACCTGAGTTCAATTCCAGGCAGGTCGAAACCTTGGGCAAGTTTCCTTACTCCACATGCCTAATAATAATCCCTCCAAAAAACAAAAACAATAATAAATTGGTCACTTCAATCCACGACTGTTTGTGGGACATTGCTGTGCGCAATTGGCTGCCGCGTTCGTCCACAAATATACAGTCAATTCACTTTACAGTGTGCTCTGTGAAGCGCTTTGGGACATCCTCCCAACGTGAAAAGCGCTATATCAAATGCAAGGATTATTATTATTATTATTAAGCAAGGTAGTGGAGAACAGCTGGCATCTATTGAACTTTACCCTAGAACCACCACCTCCGGGGATTTGGAGGGAAGGGTAAAAAATGCAATCATTGGCAATCCAAGTCTCTCACCTTTTTACTCTCTCTTTTCTTTCTTGCTTTCTCTGTTGCTGTCTTATAATTATAATCATTCTTCAATGATTTGGAAGTTATAAATCAGCAAAATCAAGATAACACAGAATGAAAATTCACAGCTGTTCTTCAAATCAAGAACACAGAATGAGAATTTACAACTTTAACAATTGGTAAATAACGTACAACGTCTTTTATAGGTCAGAACTCTTCAGATAAATAGAATGACTGACATATAGTTACATGCATAGAGTTTAGTGCAGGTATGCAGTTTTGTGAAATACATAGTTTTGCATACATGTACACAGTTCTTTTTCTATGTACATAGTTTTGCGTAGCAAAACAAGGAGGAATATATATAAGGTAACCAGCAGCAGATGGAAAAGGGAGTTTAGGAGAAACCACTTTATGCAGAAGGTGGTGGCGGTAGTGAGATTGGCGAACTCAAAGCATCAACAATGTTTCAGTAGAAACCTGATGCGTATATAAGGGAGAAGTTTCTAGAGGAAACATGAGAGGGGAGAAGGAGGGATGGAGACTTATGTGGAGTATGAACACTAGCACACACAAGTTGGACCAAATGGCCAGTTTCTCTATTGTAAAGTTCTATATAATTCTACCTGCGTATGATTGCGTACCTGTGTACAATTTGGTGTACATGCGTAGTTTTCTTGTGGTGGACAGAGGTGAATATCATGACACACTCTAAAATCAGTCATGCAAATCTTATCTTCAGTAACATGTAATGGAGTCAATTTGATGGAAATTGAAGCGACAAGTTGTTCATTTTTATATCTGGCAAGTTCTTATTCCAAGTCTATGAGTGTAATCCTGCTTTGGTCTAACTTTCAATTTTATTACATAGAATAATATGGAATACTATAACATGGAAGCAATTATTCTCTATTCCCTGTTTGGGCCAACTAGTTAATGCTAGTGTTTATATTCTGCACAATCCTTCACGTCTCATAATTCCCGCTCCTTTCTTCAATTTCCTTCGCCCTCACATCACGTTTCCTCTTAAGTACGTTGAATTCTCTCCCCACTCAGCTCTTCCCATCAATGACATGGAAATGCTAGGTATGGACTAGTATAAGTAATAATTATTTTATTTGATACAACACCTTATCACATTATCGAGATGTCTCAAAGAACTTCACATGATTTTATTTTGTGTGTATTTTCTGTGTATTTTGTAAGGAAACGTGGCTGTAAATTTGTATGCAGCAAACAACCATGAAGTGAATGACAAAGCCTCGTGATCTTGTTTACGTTATAATAATAAAAATAATCCTTGCATTTGAATATAGCACTTTTCATATCTTCTAGATGTCTCAAAGCGCTTCACGGAATATACTGTAAAGTGAATTGACTGTATATTTGTGGCGAAACGTGGCAACCATGTCGTGGATTGAAGTGACCAATTTATTATTATTTTATTTTTCTTGGGAGATTATTATCAGGAGTAAGGAAACTTGTCCAAGGTTTTGCCTGCCGGGAATCAAACCCAAGTCTCTCGCTTGCGAGGCGGGTGCTCTAACCTCTAAGCTGTAGACTTTCATGTTGTCTCATAATGCTACCCCACTGCACCCACTAACCAATTGTTCCATCTCTCAAGAACTCTACATCATGTTGGAAAGACTCTTTAGAGTTTGACTAAAGTGAAAGTGACAAGAGCAGAAACCTATTGCATCCAATGCATCAACTTTCATTACTGTCAAAAGAAGAGTACTGATGTTTGACTTCTTCCCCCATACAGGACATTTCAATGCTGCCTAACAAGGATAAGACTGTTCTCGGAGATGGAGGAATCACTCTCAGTGGAGGCCAAAGAGCAAGAGTCTCGCTGGCAAGGTTTGTGTTACAAATTAATATTTTATCAGAATCTTTTAACCAAAGGAAATAGAATTTATCAAAATCATTACCACTGACAGCATTAGAGAGTGTTTGATTAGGAGATTCATTGTCAAGAGATTCTTTGCCACTGAATGTGCCTCCTTGTTCTTAGTACAATCATCCTTTCATAAATGTGCCCCATGCCGATGAATCATCTTTTCAACAACTAATATTTTAATGCTAAAAATAGCCAGTTCTTGACTAAAACCTCTCTCCTCAGGAAGTTAGGTCTTTCCTGCCCTAAATTAATCCAAAAGAATGCATAGGACAAGTACATCCGTTATATGACTCAAACATTAATGTTTGATTTAGGTTTCCAGATAAAGAGAAATTGAATACTGGAGCTTGTGGGAGCTATAATAGTAATAATAGTAACCTTGCATTCGATATAGCACCATTCAGTCTGGAGAATGTCTCAAAGCGCTTCACAGAATATGCTGTAAAGTGGAGTTACTGGGTGTTTTTTGAAACCCCCCAGAAAATGCCCCCATTCTTCTCCTCTTCTATTGTTCAATAATTAGTAGTTATCAGGTGGATCTGTGTCGTTTTTTCATTGCGATTATGACCAGTCTTTTATTTCCAATTCAAGAAAAAAAAACTGAAAATTCTGACCAAAAGTCCAAGAACAAAAAATCGCACAGCAAACAAAGCAAAAAATGAGAGAAAGCAAAAACACCGAACTCAAAGCTTCCTTTTGCCAGTCTGTAGGAATGTGATCTTTTACCTTCTACCGAACATTAAGGATTTCATAGCCAATCCTACCATTCACCTGATTTGTGAATACCTGATGTTGAATCCCAACGGTAAACACTATAGCTGTGTGGAGTTGCATTATTGACATTCACCACTGGCCTCTATAACATTACTTACACTGCATCATACTGATTCTTTGACTCCACACAGAGGCAATGAGGAACAATAGACTTGGTAGTAGTTCCCAAGTTCAAACACACATAATGTGTGAACGCCCGAGCAACTAATATTAACAGAGGCATTACTGAATGCTAATACTATAGACGTACCTAATGTATAATGATATATGCCTAGAGTTTTCATTAATTGAAATGAGTGAACATTTGGCTATTCTTTGACTAGTATTTGTAAAAACAGCGCCAGAGTTTGAGGTAACATGTTTACAACCTGCCAACTCAGTTTGATCCCAGAAATAGGAGGCCCGGAATTTCATCTTGTAAAACAATCATTTTATAAAGTTACTGAATTACTGAAAATTGTTAAATTCAGTCTTAATTTGGAAGATAGTTTCCTCACAGTTCTTAAAAGAAACATGTTCCAAATTAAGTTTGAATTTAACAATTTTCCACAATTCTGCTCATCCTAAAGTTTTAAGCAAAATTGCCTTACAGGCCAAGACTGGGCGAAAATTTGGGCCCACCAAAAAAAAGTATGCCTTTGGATATAGAAAGGGAATTTGTTTCTAAGATATAGCGACACAACCATTATTATTTATTTGCATATCACAGATAAAATCACTATGAATCATTCAATGCTACTAAAATGAGTAGAAGAGTGTGGTAAGAGGAGATGACAGTAACCAAGAGAAGCTAGGGTGTGAAGGGATTTGTAGGCGAGAGTGAGGGTCTGGGATAAAAAGATCCATTGGGAAAGAGGGAGAAAGTGAAACCTGGCGAAAACTGGAGTATTGAGCATGCAGAGTTTGGTGCGGGTGAGGATGCGGTTAACAGAGTTTTGTATAAGTTGGATCTTGGGGATGGTGAACAGGGAGGAATGCAATTGTCAAAGCAAGTCAGGAGGTAACAACGCCTTGAATGAGGGCTTTGCTGATATTCTATGTAAGATGTCAAAATTTAGTCTTGGTCAGCAACAGAACTTGAGAAAGGAAGGAGAGCTGAGGATTGAACTGAGACATTTACCGAACAGATCTTTTTATATTGTTTTCAGAATAAGAACTGTAATGATGAGCCGCCTTTTTGCTGTTTCTTTGTTCACAGAGCACTTTATAAAGATGCTGATCTGTACCTACTGGATTCACCTTTTAGTCACCTTGATATGTCCACAGAAAAGGAGATATTTGAAAGGTTTGTTTTAGAAGCCAAATTATGAATAAAATTACAGGTTTAGAATTCTCCTTAAATTAATAATATCTTATGCTTGATCCTTTTAAAAAAAGGCTATGTACTGAGATTGTAACTTGAAGCATTGAAGTTTATTGAAAGACTGACTGTTTTTTAGTAAAATCACTTACTACGCTTCACCCACTCTGCACATCTGTAATCAACATTCTGGCAATTGTACGAGAAAAAACTCTAAATGGCATCTTTCATAGTGAAAGGCATTCCAGTCTCACTCTGTTCTGAACTTGTTATTTAGAACTTGTTAGCAGGTAAAAGTTTAACACTTTAGCCTCTTAAAGCACTTAACAATCTCAGAGTTTGATGCAGAACTGGGGAAAAAGAGGCACAGCCAAAGAAGAAGGTCTTCACACGTGATCTGAAGACAGACAAAGAGGGGGAAAGTTGGAGGGATTGAGACAGAGTATTCTAGGATGTAGTGGCTGAAAGTATGGCCTCTGATGGTGGAGTAGAGGGGATGAGGGATGTGCAGAAACACGTAGTCAGCCAAGTGAAGGAGTGGATAGAGTGGGGTGTAAGCAGGTTCAAATGTTCACTCTTTTTTCCCTCTGATGCAGACATTCCAATTGATCGGACTGCAATGTATTGCAATTGATGATATCCAATACTGTATTTATAATGATAACAGCTTGCTTTGGGAAATTCTGTAGGAAAATTTTAATTTCCCCACAGAATTTAAGCTTCCATTTGCAAATTACCAAACCAAGTCTTCAAGGGATCTTACCTCAATAGCATAAATTCAGAAATCCATGCAACCTTCATTTCTGTTTGTATTGATCTTAACTGCCAAAGATGGACTACGCTTCTAAAGCATCAAGGCGAGCTGTGGAGCATCCTCCAAATCTGCATTGATCCACATTGGAACAATGCAGGTCCCATTAGATACTTCTCATAAAAGTTTTAGATTCAGTCTTAATTTCGAACTGGTTTTCTGCAGTTAGAGAGGCAAAGCCATTTTGGGCTTCTGATTCCAAATGATTAGGATCTAGATTCCCAGACCGGTTCAAGCAACGGCAATGTCCAAACTGCAGCCAGTGTAGCATGAGTTGATTGTAAACCAAATCTTTTCCTTTGGTCTCATCCTCCAGTGGTGTTTGTAAGCTGATGGTAAACAAGACTCGAATTCTGGTGACTTCCAAGCTGGAGCATTTAAAGAAGGCAGACAAGATTCTCCTCCTACACGAGGGCCACTGCTATTTCTACGGAACCTTTTCTGAGCTTCAAGGGGAGAAGCCAGACTTTAGCTCTCTGCTGCTGGGATCCGAGGGCTTTGATACCTTCAGCTCTGAAAGAAGGAACTCAATCCTCACCGAGACTCTGCGACGGTGTTCCATCTCCTCTGGGGATGGCAATAGTTTGGGAAACTGCGGAGAAGTTCGAAGGTCATCGTACAAACAGCCACCGACAGAGTTCAGCGAGAAGAGAAAATCATCTATTATTATTAATCCAATAATGTCAAACAAGAAGTTCTCCCTCATACAAACAGCTATGTCATACCCACAAGCAAATGGAACCGAGGATAACCTCAGTGAGCCGGGTGAAAGGCGTTTTTCTCTCGTTCCGGACACTGATCTAGGAGAATTAGCTCAGCCCCACAACAGAATATTCAGAAGCGAAGTTGGCTTTCACGCGCACAGGCGGCAGTCTGTACTGGCACTCATGACCAACTCTTCAACATCACAGAGCAGATTACACACACGGAAGAACACCGTGCACAAATTGTCCATGGCTCCTCAGACCAACTTCGCCTCAGAGATAGACATTTACTCCAGGCGCTTGTCCGAAGATGGCAAATTTGAAATTAGCGAAGAAATAAATGAAGAGGACCTAAAGGTAAGTTGAGATGCATCGGCATTCAGAATCATGATGTTGCATTGTCCATTAAACGACCAAAGGCTCCTCTTCCCACCAGTGTTTGAAGACACATTTGGCTCAGTTAGTACTGCTCTCCGTTCTGACTCAGAAAGTTGTAGATTTATTGTCTATAATAATAAGTATAAGCCCTGGAAGATGTGATGAGGTACTATATCAAATGCAAGGATTATTATTAATGATAATGATTTGATATGGTATAAATAATGATTATTATGAATGATATAATGATAATGATACTCATTATTAATACTATATCAAATGCAAGGATTATTATTATTAATAACAATCATAAATAATAATCCTTGTGTTTGGTATTGTGCCTTTCACATGAGGATATTTGAAAGGGCTTCACAAAATTTATAGTGAAGTCTAGTGACCGTGTATTTATAGGCAACGTTCCACACTACAGCATTATTTTACAGAATAGTGGGAAGATCTAGTGCCCTGGCCAATATTCCTCCCTCACCTTAAAATTCACCAGGAAACAACTTGCACATATATAGCGCCCTCCACGCATGGCAGGGTCTCAGAGGATCTCAAACAATTAATTTCACAATGCTGTTGATGGGAAAGCCTCTGTTTACAGATTAGTTGCCATATTTTACAGCATAAGAAACATTACTATAATTTCAAAGTAATAAATTTTACAACGTGCTTAGAGACCTTTCAAGTGTTAAGGCACCGCATCAAATGCAAAATGTCCATTGCTCCTCAGACCCAACGCAACAATTATTAATAATAATACTGGCATTTAATATAGCACTCAACATCCCAAAGCATTTGTCACCAGGTAGGGCAAGTGCAACAGATGTTAAACTACTCCTAGAAAATTGGAAAATTATAGTCATGCTTATTCATACACAATAAAGAAGCGTTAAGATGCCACCTCTGAAACTTAAGATGTGGCCACTCCAAGATAGTGCATAAATTGGACAAACTGAACACTTCACAAAACAGTCATGAACTTAGGACAGTCTTTGTAATCTCAACAAAAAACTTACTTAGTTTGGCCCAAGGCCTTCAAAGGTGCTTGCTCTCTTGTTCATTAAAAGGTTTAATGATACTCTGAGGATTGCTCTTTTGAAAGAGGCAGCAGAGACACAATGGGCCGAATGGTCTTTCCTGTTGTAAATTTCTGACTCCCTACTTGCCTGATCTAATTGTCAAAAACCTGCTTCCCTAAAATCCCTTAAAAGGGTTATTCTCTTAAAAAGGCTCAGCCATTCTGTTCCATGGGACCACCCTTTCACAGCATTTCAGAGTTCTTCTGGAAAGTGCAGTGACTGTGTTTGTTGGCAAACATCTATTTTAAAAGATAGAAAAGGGGAATTCTAGTTTTTATTAAAAATAATGTTTAAGTATTGAAGCTCAAGGATTTCATTGGAGGACATCAGAATTTTTTGTAAACAATTTAAGTCTAAGGTTACACAGCATTAGCATTGAAACCATTTGTACCATTTGCACCAAAGGAATTGGGATGGGAAAACAAAAACAGAAGTGGCTGGGACCACTCAGCACGTCAGGCAGCATCTATGGAGAAAGGAAAGTGAGTCAACATTTCAGGTCCAAGACCCTTCATCAGAACAGCATCTGCAGTATTTTGTGTTTTGTTTAATTGGGATGGGAAGATGGTCAGGGTAGGTATTCTGGAAGGATGAGATCAAATGAACCCAAGGGCAAACCAATCTTGTGATCTTGTGTTTCCTATCCACAAGACTTTAAGAGACGATTGAATAAAAAAGGACCTTTGACCCATTTAATAACAATAACATGGCACCTTACCACGTCAATTAAACGTCTCAAAGCACCTCACAAGAATTACTGGGAAGTGTAGGGACTGAATTTGTAGGTGAATATGGCAGTCAATTTACTCACAACAATGTCCCACAAATATAACCATTCCTATTAAACTGGGGATCATCCTCACTCTCCTCTGCACTACCTTGAGGGCCTCGGCAGCCCCCTCAAGCTGCGGTGACCAGAACTATGCCAGTACTCCAGGATCAGCTTGACCAGAGCACTATTCCCAACACTTTTAAGACGACTGAGTTGCTAAATTGTTGAATTAAGGTTCCAGCACAACCAGTGTTTAAAAAAGTGGAAATCAGCAGAAAACTTAGGAATGTTGCCATTAGCTACAACACATATTGTCTCCATGTATTGGAGACTGGCTTCAGTTCCCATTAGCATCAAAGCTGGACTTCTCTCATTTGGCTAGTTGGGTTTGCCAGTCTTGGGGAGAACACTTTAGGAGAGGAGGGTAGACTTGTTAAGGTCTCCCTTCCTTCCCTTCTGAGGCACACCTTCTGGCAGGTCAGTCAACCAGTAGCATTGACCCAACCATGTTCATGAAGCGCCCTCTCCCTCACATGGATGTAAAAGATCTCATGACACTACTTGGAAACAGAAGGACACTTCTCCTAGTGTCCCGGCCAGCAATCCCCCAGATAAAATCAGTCATTCATTGCATGGTGGAATATTGCATGCGCACATTAATGACTGCATTTGCCTACAGATACACACTTGAAAGCAGTTCCCTGCGATGCTCTTTGAGATGTTGACTTTATAGTGGTTATGTCTAAAGCAAGCATTAATATTACTCTTTTAAGTCCCCACCCCTCCCTCTCTAAGCGTATTTCCTCTACTTTTCTCTAGGAATGCTTTGTTGATGACGAGGAAGTACGAAATGTTACCACCACATGGAGCACGTACCTAAGATATGTGACAACCAATCGCAACTTAGTCATTGTCCTTATCCTGTGTCTGGTTATATTTATCATTGAGGTAAAGAGTTAAGCAGAAAAGTACCTTAATAATATTCATGTGTGGAATGGTTTATTTGTTCTGTTATGGCCCAATTTTATATTTATATATATATATGGGACGACACCAGTTGAGAAAATCTATGGCAAACCTTTGTGTGTTTCTGGGAGGGAGAAGAAACGCATAACGTTTTCACCGCAGTGAAGTTGTGCACAACTTATGCAGTGAGGCATTTTTCACACATCTCTGGAGGATATTGCATCCTCTAAATGCAACAAAATGTTTGTGAGAAATTTTTCATCAAATCTTCAGCGAAATCGCTGGAATGTTATTCTTGGAATTTCCAAGCAGCTCGCGGGATCCGTTCATCAACTTTATTAAACCTTCTTTACTTTTTACTGGAGCATTGCACCGATCGTTTGCTTTGGGTAGCATACGGGGAAGGGCTCCAGACCCAAGAGGTGGACAAACAGGTTTTAAGGAGTGATAGGTGTGAAGATTCCCTTCCACCCCATTAAACTACTGATAGGTTGGACGGTCAGGATGTATCTTGCACATCACTCATGCACAAGCCACAGGTTTGATGGCCTGGAGCAGTCAGTCCATTCCGTCTGTCCTCATTGTCCTGCCTCACTCACCAGCACATTTTTAATCATTTCTCACCTCTATCTCCCAATCCAGGTCCTAGTTGTCTGTTCAGGTGGGTGTTAAAGATCCCATGACACTGTTCGAAAAGAAAAAAGGAGTTTATCCTTAGTGGCCTGCTTAGCAATCCACTGGATAAAATTGGTCATTTACTTCATGATTGTTAGGGGGGCGTTATTACGAGCAAGTTGACTGCCTTGTTCGACTGTAACTGTAAATCCTGTGAAGCGCATTGAGACATCCTTCTGATGTGAAGTAAGCTGGATCAAATGCAAGGATTATTGGGAATATTATTTTTATTATTTTCTTTCCACCTGATTAAAGCACTGAAGCTGCTTCCAGCAATTTATCCCAGGAATTCCTTCAAAGCTGGTTAGCATTGTCTCATATTCTGCCTCTGCTGCCAGACACTCTTGAGTGCATTACAAATGAGAAGTTATTGATTAACAAACCCCTTTGAAATGTCGTTCCTCGCAAAATAAACATTACATTTTATTCCACGCTCAGTAGTTGCCTCGGACGTAGATAGATACAGTCTAGCAGCAAAACCCCTTGTTAAGGAAATCTGACTCTGTGCAAAGTGTGGGCGTGGGGAGACTGAGAATTTTATAGAGGTTATAAAGAATCAGATATCCAGAATGACAACAAAAGACTTATTGATGTTCTTAGCCAACAGTCCTCCAGATAATTTGGTCATTCACTTCATGTCCGTTTGTTGGACCTTGCTGTGTGCAGAATGACTCAAACCCCTACCCATAAATACACATGTTATTGGGGCAACATCAAATGGAAGGAATATGATTCTTATTAAATTCTTGAGCAAGGAGGGCCTGGTATAGAGGAGCTTTTTATTTTACTGGTTAAAAAAAACATTTATCTTGAAGGCCCCAGAAAATAGAAGCACACAATACCAATAATAATGCCTTCAAAGACAATAATAATTTGATCACTCAATTCACGACTGTTTGTGGGACACTGATGTGCGCAATTGGCTGCTGCATTTCGCCAACAAAATACACAGTCAATTCATTTTACACTTTAATCTTGTGAAGTGCTTTGATACGTCTCATTGATGTGATAAGGCACTATATGAAATGCAAGGATCATTATTATATCATTTGTTTGTTTATTTTGTTTGCTCATCCTGTATTTATAGAATTTATCACATCAAAAAATAATCGTAATAATAATCTTTATACTTGATATAGTGCCTTTCAGATCAAGAGAGGGATTCTCAAAATGCTTTGCATTAATTACTGTAAAGTATAGTGACTGTGTATTTTGTATGGTTTCCAGCAATATTTAGTTTCCCTTCTGGCCCTACCCCCTTTCAAGCCACCCAAACCCTCGCTACTCCTTATTCCTGACTCAGAGTGGACAAAGACACTGTTTCCGGGATTCATGTGTTGCTCTTAGCGTACACTAAGAGATGGTCAGGTGTCATCCAGACTGACTGATTTACACCAGTGCTTACATCTTCCAGTCTCTAACCCTGAGCTCTCTAACCCTGAGCTCTCTAACCCTGAGCTCTCTAACCCTGAGCTCTCTAACCCTGAGCTCTCTAACTCTAAGCTCTCTAAACCTGAGCTCTCTAACCAGAGCTAACCAAAAACAATAATAAATTGGTCATTTTCAATCTACGACTGTTTGTGGGACATTGCTGTGCGCAATTGGCTGCTGCGTTCGCCTACAAATATACAGTCAATTCACTTTACAGTATGTTCTGTGAAGCGCTTTGGGACGTCCTCCCGACGTGAAAAGCGCTATATCAAATGCAAGGATTATTATTATTATTATAGAGCTCTTTTAAAAGGAGTGCAATGTGCGATTGTGAGGGGATTAAAGGGAAAAGTCCTGTTTGTGGAAATGGAGATTACTTCCTTGAATTTTATAAAAAAAGCTCTGTATGGTTGTGTACTTGGATCCCATGGGTTGAGCATTTCTAAGTATATCATTCCATCTGCGTTGTTTCTCCTCAGGTGGGCGTTTCACTGTTTGGACTTTGGGTAATCACAGGGTGAGTAAAATTGAAGTCCTTCCACTAGTGCATTATTTCACTTGTCTCCTGTCTCAGTATATGACTCCTTGGTAATTCAAAGCATACTATTGATAGCAGCTCAGCAAGCTCGGCTCTTTACATCTCTGTGATTGGCAGCTAGGGATAATCGACCTCTGAGGATCACCTAATTCTTAAATCATTTACTGCCCTGTCAATCACCCAAACTGCTTTGAACCTAGCAAAAAGCTGGTGCACAGGGTTTTATATTATCTCTTAGATTGTGTTTGTATTTGTTTCAGGATACCGGATGCCACCAGCTCAGAAAATAACAGCACCTCAACAGAAGAGCTTTCTGTCTTTTCCAAATTCATTACAAATGGCAGCTATTATTATATATTCTACATCTACGTGGGGCTTGCGGATAGCTTCCTGGCACTCGGTGTAGTTCGAGGCCTGCCACTGGTCCACACCCTTGTTACTGTATCCAAAGACCTGCACAAACGAATGCTGAGCTCCATTCTGCGAGCCCCTATGACCACCTTCAACAGAATGAAACCAGGTACTTGATACCATTGAAAACAATAATAAACAATTTACATTCATGTACCACCTCTCGTGTCTGGAAGATGTCTCAAAACGCTTCACAAAGCCGGCTAGGAGCCTAAGCTGGGGTGACTCACAATAAAACGAATTTCACTGTGTAAAGTGGAGGAATTCTTAAAAAAAAATAAGGCAGATTCACGAACATAGGTTGGATTCATAGCCGCATTAATCCAACATATGTGTGTTGCTGTGTGTTGGCGTGCTGAAAGGGACAACAACAACAACTTGCATTTATATAGCATCCTTCATGTGCGGAGTCTGACACCCCATTATCCAGGTGTTTTTGCATTCAGTAGAATCGTAGAAAACACAGCACAGAGAGGAAGGCCATTCAGCCTGTCGAGCCTTCTTTTACTGGCTCTTTCACTGAAGTGAACTGCTATGCTAATTCCAAATCCCTGACTTCCTCTCCATACTCTTTAATATTGCTCAATAAGAATACTTACCAGCACCAAACAGTCTTACATCAAAGCATAGCTTACCTTGTCAACCTGACACACAACTCCATTCTCGAATAGACTCTTACAGGCAGTGCAAGAGGAGAGCAATGAGGATGATCCTCAGTGTTAGAGGAATGAGTTATGAGCAATGACTAGACAAATTAGGGCTTGTCTCAGAGGGAATCTCAAGGAGATGTATAACATTTTAAATGGGATTGGAAAAGTAAACCCAGAACAATAGGATACACCAAGAAGTAAAACAAGGGACATAGGTTTAGAATTGCAAAGGGCAATTTCAGGACAGACATCAGGAAGTTTTTCTTACCAGAGGGTAACTAACGACTAGAATAAGTTGCCAGGAAGGGTGATTGAGCTAGGTCCCTGGACTCATTTAAAAAACAGCTTGATCCTGTGATGGGAGGATGGTAGGGTGTGTATTCTTGAGGGATGAGGTCAGTTGGGCCGAAGAGGCTTCTTCATCCAAACTTGTGAATAGCGCCACCCACAGCACTAGAGCTTCTTGGCATGATCTTGCCTTTGATCTCAGAAATAAATAAACCATAGCAGCACAAAACATTTTAAAATGAAGTCTTTGCAATGTGAATTCTAATGGATTGGCTATACCCAACTTTAAAACGGCTCTTTGGCTATGCCTATGGCCATCTCCCACTTCCTTCTCTCTAACCCCTCTCAGCATCCAACCCCATGTTTGTAAAATGATTTGAGATGTTGTCATACGGGAAGGGAGCTTTATAAATGCAAGCTGTTGTTTGAATTGTTTGTTATATTAAGTAGTTTTAGCTGTGATGTGTACTTCATTCTTGGCATCAATCTACCAACAACTGGGTGGTGGAACATATGTCAGGGCAAAACCAAATGAAAAGGATATGGTGTATATATCAACAACAAATTACATTTGTATAGCGCCTTTCATGTTGGGAGGACGTCCCAAGGCGCTAGACATTCAGGGATTTGGACCTGAACAGGGAGTTAGGATCAGGAGCGGTGGAGGGCATGGGTAAGAGGGTGGCCAAAGGCACGGTCAAAGAGGAGGGTCTTGAGATGTTCCTTGAAGGAGGCAAAAGAGGGATCAAGACGAAGGGACTGTGGGATGGTGTTCTAAAGGGTGGTGGCAGAGAGGCTGAAGGCCCCACCAGCGATGGTGGGGCGGGCTGGGTGGGGGATGTGGATGGAGCAGGCCGTAGCCTGCTGAGTGAGGGAGCATACAGGTTAATATGGCAACCTTGTAATGGATTAGTCTGGCTATATGATATCATTATTATTACACAGCTAGGTTTACCCATTACAAAGCTTGGGGATACACTCATTCCCAATGATATTTTGCTTTTAAGATCTCTTAGCTGAGATGAATTGAAACAGCGAAGCCGAGGTTTGTTTCGGTTCAAGCTAGTGTAGAGTGACAGCCTGAAATATACATCTTTACGTGACAAGGAAGCATACCAGCAGTGGCAATGTAGTATGGCCTGTACTGCACTGCATGCAATGTTTGTCATGTCTCACCTGGACAAATTTGTCATTCCAGTCGAGCCCTGACAGACACAGGTTATCAACATGCATTGATAAGCTGCACCTTTCTTTAGGTTTTTATTGGCGTTGGGACTGATGTGATTTAAGCACCAGTGTGAGCAATCAGTCACTGGCTGCCTGCATGGTGTAAGCTTTCCACCATGTCTCTCTGTGTAACCATGTTATCGTGAAATAAATCCACAAGCTTCAGATCCAAATATTTAATGTGGGAAATATTTCCTTGTATCCAGCTTCCCATTGAATTATTTATTTGGCAACAGCAAATATACAGATAATCAGCAAAAGCTCATTCACTGCAAAATACAAAGTCACTACACTTTACAGTGAATCCTGTGTAGTGCTTTGAGATGTCCTCTCTATATAAGATGCAAGGATTATTATTAATATTTTTACTTCACGTGAACTTTTTAAGACTCAGAGGTGAGATAAAGTGTTTGTATTTCGGGGGAATTTTGCAATGTTTCCTACCAAGATTTCTAAATTAAGAAATCTCCTTCTAGTAACCTGAAGTGCATTACACACGTCACATGAGCAAACCCAATCGGAAGTAGATCAGCCGGGGAGTATTCTCATGAGTCGGCCTACGCACTTCTGGATTTCAGAATTTCTAAAACAAACTGTAAAAAAAATTAAAACATTTCACCTTGTTGTGCATTAGAATAAATAATCAACAGTAAGTAGATAACGTAAATGATAATAGGACATTTAGGGCATATTACAAAATATATAGTGAATTCACTTTACAGTATATTCTGTGAAGAGTATTGAGACATCTCAAAGACGTGATAAGGCACCATATCAAATCCAAGAATTATTGTTATTATTATTTATCTATGGATCAGGATTTTTTTGCACAATAGGAATGAATTGTAAATGGTGGTTGGAATCCTTACAGTTGCTGCTCTCTGTTAACTAGCCGTGAGGTACCAGCACTGGGGAAAGGTAAAGTACCTCATAAAAGATCCTTTGGCAAACGTCTAGCTTTGCTCTTTCAGGCATATGTCCCGCCATTGTAAATATTGGTTTGAAATGGTTGTGTACTCCATCTAAAAAGCAACTAAAGAATGATAGAGTTGTATTCCGGAACGATTATAACTACAGTCAGCTTGGGGTTAGATGGTATGGAAACATGTATAATTTAAACAAGCATTCATTTGTCTCAACCAGTACACCTGACCGAGAGGGAAACTTTTATGTGTTTGATAAATGTAACTAAAAAACCCGATAATAAGAACAGTTTTGCATTATGTAGGATCCCCCCCTCCCCCTGCACAAACTAATAGAAATATGATATAGGAGTGAGGGCAAATCGCCAAACTTGAAGTAAGTTTGAACACTTGGAGCAATGACCTGACAGTTGCATTGTTAAATTTACTCTCATTAACAAGGTTAGCTTATAACTGGACTTTCCCATGTTAACATGCTCACAATCACTACATTTATTTTAACGTTCTTAATAAAATATGGTCAGTCAGCAGCCTAAGCAACAGGCAGAAAGTCACCAACGCAAGCAAGGTCTTGAAAATTCATAGACTCTTTCCAAGGCTGCTGGATATCTTGACATCTGCGATGGGTTTAAAACAAGCTTTCCTCGAGCTCTAGCATGTTGAACCTCTGCCAGTGGCACTACATTGACATTAGGATGTTCAGGTGTAGTCAAGAGATCTACCATGTTATTTCTGCCCCAGACAAGGTACAGCTTTCCTGTGCTCTGACACACAGATGGGAATGTGTCTGCAAGATTCAGGGAGGAAACATTCCACCTATTTTCTAGATATTTCACGCTCTAGGCTGACAATCCAGCTCAATGCAAGACAGCACTGCCTTAGCAGAGGTACCTTTCTTGAAACGTTAATATAAGTCTCGGTCTACATGTTCAGTAGGACCTGAAGGGCCCTATAGTAGAAGAGAGTTTATCCCAGTGTCCTTGCCTGATCATATTCACCTACAAACACATGGTCACTTCACTTGACAGTAATTCCCTGTGAATCACTTTAAGACATTTTGATGTTGGACACTGTATGAAATGCAAGGTTTATTATTATTAATAAAATTTGGTAACAATCGTTTTCAGTTATGAAAAGTAGTTATGTGATATCCTTCTCTTTTTCTTATATTTTCAGGTAGAATTCTAAACCGGTTCATTAAAGATACAGCTATACTGGATGACATGCTGCCTCTCACTGTTTTTGACTTTGTACAGGTCAGAGAATTCAATGTGAATCTCTTCCCAAATTTGTATGATCGCCTTCAAATTTACGAAATGAAATTTCCCATAAAGCCTTGTACATAATAGTGTTTTTTAACCTGGTTGTTAGTCGATTGGCGGATTGCTTTTCCAGGTAATAAGCTCTTAAAAATATACATATATAATGTGGTCACTCAATCCACGACTGTTTGTGGGACACTGCTGTGCGCAATTGGCTGCCACGTTTCGTGCACAAAATAGAGTCAATTCACTTTACAGTATATTCTGTGAAGCACTTTGAGGCGTCTCGAAGGTGTGATAAGGCTCTCTATCAAATGCAAGGATTTTTTAAAAATATTATGTTAAATGTTGATATAGTTAGCCCCCTTTTGCCATTCAGATATTCGCATTTTAAAGGCAATCCTTGGTTTCCGAAGTGAAGGTTGGGGAGGGCATTTGATTTTGTTTTTCCTTTTGCTCCGACCAACAGTTTCCCAGAAACAATCAGTCACTCACTCTATGGCTGTTTGTGGCACATTGCTGTGCGAAAATTGGCAACCATATGATCCCTAATATAACTTAATGCCATCTCTTCGGGCCATACAGTGTTATGTGTGAAAAAGTTTTCTGCGTTAATGAAATGCTGGAGATGTTTAGTGGTCTTTGTTTTATTTGCAGTTGATACTGATTGTGGTGGGAGCTATCGGAGTGGTGTCTGTACTACAACCCTACACTCTTTTGGCTGCTATTCCTGTAGCAGTTATTTTCATCATGTTGAGGGCATACTTCCTCCGCACATCACAGCAGTTGAAGCAGCTGGAGTCAGAAGGTGAGCTCAGGCACGGACTTATACACATCCCACCAGATGTACTCAAGTGCTCGGGGACACTACATTCTTTGAGGGGGCGCTATATAAATGCAAGTCGCTGTTGTATTTTCCTAGAGTTTCAGAGCATGCCAGAATTTACCAAATGTCATCTTCATTTTGAAGTTGGTTCTCTTTAAAATTATTTTGGAGAAACAGACGAAAAGTTTAAGACCGAATTCAATAATTTCCCAAATTCTTAAGATCTACCACTTCCACCGCATTTATAGTTATCCCCATCCTCCCGCTTTTGTTACTCTTTGTCATTTTAGAGACTTCAACCTTAAAATATCCCATTTCCCATTTCCAATTGTCTTTTATTAATTAGTTGCTGGAGCCACATTGCAGCCTTGTATGGCAGTTTGGCTCAATAGGTGGCACTCTTGCCTTTAAGTTAGAGGATTGTGGGTTTATGCATAGCATAGGGAAAGCAGTGCTTTATCAGAGGAATTTCCATACATAGGTGGGATGCATGGAACGCTCAGTCTGGGTTGGATCCTCTTAAGCACGGTAATGGGTTTCTACATGTGTCAGGCACTCGGAAGACCAAAAACAAAATAGTTGGAGAAGATCACCTTAGGGGTACGATTTCAAAGCAAAGCCCTGTCCTTCTGTCTCAGGCTGGATGTTGAGATAAAAAAAAAGGGTGTTTTCTCTCCCAGTGTCCTGGCCAACAATCCCTCCAGATAAATGGTGACATTGTGCTGGCTGCCCAGCTTGCCCACAAAGATATAGCCATTTCAATGTGATAAGGTGCAGTAAAATTGCACATTCTTTCCTAACACTGAATTTAATAAAAACACCTGCATTTACTTCCATTTCTCCACAGCTCGCAGTCCTATTTTTAGCCATCTTATCACGTCGTTGAAAGGACTGTGGACCGTGAGAGCATTCGAACGCCAGTCGTATTTTGAGACACTTTTCCACAAAGCCTTGAACCTGCACACCGCAAACTGGTTTCTCTACCTCTCGACGCTCCGCTGGTTCCAGATGAGGATTGACATCGTATTTGTCATCTTCTTCATTGCCGTTACATTCATCTCCATAGCAACACATGGTAAAATCAGTTTTTTTTGATCAAAGGATGAATTTAGCTGGATTCTGGTTTTAGCTGGCCTGATACGAAATACTATCATCCTTTATGCAAACTTAATCAATGTTATAAGTCTCAGCAGATGCTCCATTGCAGTGCTAAGGGTGCATCCTTCAGATGAGGTGTTAAACCAAGGCTGTGTCTGCCTAGTTAGGTGGGCAATAAAGATTTTGTGGCACTATTCAAAAAGGCAAGAATTTCTCCCCAATGTCCTTGCCAAAAATCCCACAGATAAAATTTGTCATTCGTTTGATTGGTTATTTGTGGGCCAATGCTGTGCGCAAATTGGCTGCCTTTTTACTTACAAAATATACCATCATTGTAATTCACAAACAGTCGTGGAGCTTTGAAATGTTCAGTGTTTTAGGTGCAATATCAATGCAAGGATTATTATTATTTTTCTTCATCATAGTTATTCCCTCTTGTGTTATCTGGAAACTACTTAATTTGGTTCCTGCAAGCCCCTAATACCTGAATACACAAATTCTATGCCTTGCATTTTATATAGTGCATTACTATATCATCAAGACTTCTCAAGGTGCTTCACGGGATATATTGTAATGTGGTTTGATTTTATTTGAGAAATTTGTTGGCCAAGACACCAGGAGAAACTCTTTTTGAATAGTGTCAAGGGATCTTTAACATCCACCTCAACAGGCAGATGGGACCTTGGTTTAACATCTCATTCAAAGGACGGGTTACAAGTTTGTTAAGGAATACATTGCTCGTCAAAACATGCGTCCAATTCAACAAGGCATTGTTTTATTTAATTCTTACAAAATACTATCAAATTTAAGTCACCAACTTCAAATGTGAGGCTTTCAGCCACTTCCCCACTTTCAGGCACTGCATCCTGGAGTCCCTCCATCTTGCTCACTCCCTCACTCATTCAAGATCCATCTCAAGATCTACCTCTTTGACCACCCTTTCGGTCATCTTTCCCCTCTCAACCCCCTCTGCTCCCACCTCCATCTCGGCTGCCAAGCCAGGACTGTTAAGTGCCCTAGGACGTCCTCCTGCCATAAAACACATTGTAAATGTAAAATTGTATAATTGAATTCTATTGTGAGGTGTTTCTGTGCTTAAAACCTTTACCACAATACTGCATTTTAGTTCTTATTCTTCAGTCCTACATTTTACCATGACCCAATGTGATTATTTTAAGCTCAACTCTTGTCCTGTTAAATCAATTGAAATTACTTATTGCAGAGGACTTATTGCAGCAATTGCTTTGAGAAATAACATTATTTTCTCTTTCTAGATGTTGAAGAAGGAAAGGTTGGAATTATCCTCACGTTAGCCATGAATATCATGAGCACTTTGCAGTGGGCTGTAAATTCAAGCATTGATGTAGACAGTCTGGTAAGACCGATCGAAAACAATTCAGAATGTGCTGTAAATATCAACTATATGATAATAATAATAATATATTATTATTATAAATATCACTTGTGCCTAAGCATTTAAGGGGCAACCAGACGTGAGGCTCATCAACCTGTGGAAACTGCTCTGATCTGACCGCACGTCAGAAAGCCTAAATTTTGGTTAGTGCAAGGAATCACTATTTGAGATCACTATTCCTAATCACTACATATTAAACCCCGTTACGTGCTAAAACATAGGAGCTTACATCCAACGTTTTACAATGGTAATCATCCCACACAACATTTGTTCAGCTAGGTGCACCCTATCCATTAGTGCTTTGCTTGTAAGCATTGAGGAGATTGCACCTGTCTACACCTCCAGGTTTCCTTTGCAATACTGGGGACCTGCCTAGATTTCCCAGACATGTCTTCTCATAGCAGGTTTAGTCAAGGTAGTCCACTTACATTCCCCCCAACCCCCAGGTGTTTAAATTTACTCTAAAATATATAATAGCATCTCTTATAAATAAAAGTGCCAATTTACCTCAATGCCTCCACCTCACCTCCTCTTTATCTACTTTTAAATCCCACACTAAGATCTACTTCCTTCAACCGCCCTTACAGACCTACCCCACCCACACCCTCCTAATTTTTGGCATCCAAGCCTGCCACTGTGCAGCACTCCGAGATGGTAATCTGCATGAAAGGTGCTATATAACTGCAAGTTGCTGCAGTTGTTGTGCGTGTTCATGTGAGTTAAAACTTCTCAGGGCAAAAAAGTGATTGAATATAAGCTGATGGCAAAGCTTATACATTGCAATGATCTGAACATATTCTTGTCTCCAGATGCGGTCTGTGAGTAGAATCTTTAAATTCATCGACATACGCCAAGAAGGGGGTGAGACTGAGACCAGGCACAGTGACGGGGTACCCTCCAATATAGTTGTGATTGAAAACAAACACCTAACTGGTGAGTGGCCGTCCGGAGGCCAAATGATAGTGAGGAACCTCACAGCCAAGTACACCAATGATGGACAGCCAGTGCTGCAGAACCTCTCCTTCTCAGTAAACGCAGGACAAAGGGTAAGACAAACAGGAAGTGTGACTCAACATGCTACATGACATTCTACACTATATAAAAAGGTTAATTTAAAGCAGAGTGCCCAACCATCACTGTGAATGTGCTTTGGGACGTCCTCCTGATGTAAAAGGCACTCCATAAGTGTAAATTGTATTGTGTACTAACCAAACAAATTTTACACAAACTCACCATTAGAAAGCTCTTGGTTAAAAAAATAAGGTAGGATGATCCTAGCTGGGAAGCTTGCCAATCAGTGCTTTCAATGGCAAGCTCTGGGGTTTTAGCTGGTTAAACTCTAGCAGTACTCCCCCAAGGCAGACACTGGGTACCCCAAGCCTTGGCTCTTGCCAACGTATGCCTAATACTTTGCAGAATTAGGTAATAGGGTGTGGCGGTCCAGAGAAAGAGTGTGTATTCCACCCCAGACAATGAAGTTTCCATGTGTAGATGGCATACATATATGATACTCCTAAGCATTGTGATGGGATTCTGCATGTGTTAAGATTCACAGCTGACCAAAACAAATGTCTAGGAAGCAGGAACCGCTCATCAACAGCTTCATATCCCAATCCATTCCCCCAGGTCAATCACATGGTAACCTCCCAATAGGAGGGGGGAAGGCTCAAGCTGGTAAACAGGGTTGGACCATGAGTCAATTAGCCAGTTCACATTACTAGCAGCTTCCTCATCCCCGATAATGGCCTGAATGACTATCCATGGCTGTCAGCCAGGTCCCACTGTAGAATATGCAGGGTACAGGCCTACTATTGTATGACATTAGTGATGCATAATGGGTCAGATGTTTGTTACTTGGTTGAATGCTTGAATGTGAATGTGCTAAAAGCAGAATTCTTAGGTTAGATGCAACTGAAAGAATATGCATAACATTAATGGGGCCTCTGTATATTGAGTGTCCATGGTGCTGACAAAAGCATTGGATGCACAGGGGATGCATAATTCCTGTGAATTATGAAACTATATGTCTGTCAATTCTATAATTAAACACTGTGGTTGCACGTCCTAACCAGATTGGTCTGCTGGGAAGAACAGGTTCTGGGAAAAGCACCTTACTCTCTGCTCTGCTGCGTCTCTTGTCCACTGAAGGGGAAATACAGATCGATGGGATTTCCTGGAATTCAGTCTCTTTGGAAAAGTGGAGGAAAGCATTTGGGGTCATACCACAGGTAATGTAATGACTTCCAAAACAGGGGAATGGAAGACCAATGCTGGGCACACAAGTATAAGAATTGTCGCCTTGGGACATCCTCCCGACGTGAAAAGTGCAACACAAATGTAATTTTGTATTGTATTTTAAGTACCAAGCAAATGTTGAGATGCAAAGAGCCCCCATTAAAGCATAGGTTTCTTTATTAACTTCAGCAGAAGACAGCTGTTGTGGGATGAGGTGGAAATCAGTAAATCCAAAGATAGATGATGAATCAATAAACTGAAATATTTTAGTTGTGCTTTTTGTTAGTAAAGTTTTTCTCAAGATTTTTGTCATGTAATGTGGTCGGACCACATTGGGTTAGGACATGACAAGTCAAGCGAGTGGATTTGTAACTGGTGAATCCCAGCTTTGTCCGAGTGGAGAGTCAGAGGGTTGCCTGTGCTATTTCCGACTCAAACCAATGCCTGGTCTCACCAGTCTCGTTCATCAAACTGTTGGGGACAAATTGCAGTTGATGATATTTGTAGAATTCCTGAATAAGGAATCCCGTAGAATTCCTTTTCGACACAGGAATTCTGCCCTGGATGTTGGTTGTGTCGCAACAGATAGGTAACGTTTTTCTGGTTCACGCAAGGAGTCCCCATTTCTGTTAACTGGATTCTATTTGAAGGAATCATCGAAGACATATCACAAATTAAACCTGATGTTGCGACCTTCAATTCTGCTTTATATGTTCTAAAAAGTGCTTACTATATTATTAATATTTTTTATTATTATAGTGAGTTACAGCTTTAAGATGAAACACTAAACAAAAAAATAAGAGGACCTGTTAGCCTTTTTCCCCATTTATGAATATCCGCCAAACCTAGCGATTAAGATTTGCAAGGTATTGAGCACAACTGGTTGTAATTCTCATTTCAGTGTCCTATTGTCATTATGGTTTGTTAATTGTGTTGTGCTGTGCCTCGTTACCACACAAACACTCTGAATCTACTTCATTTTCCAATTCACACTGCATTGTATTTGCATTGTGGGAGGTGCCGTCCTTCAGATGATACATTAAAAAACAAGGCCCCATCTGCCTGCTCAAATGGACGTTAAAAATCCCATGGTACTATTTGAAAAGAGAAGGGAGTTTCTCCCTGATGCCCTAGCTAACAATCCAACAGATTAAAATTGGTCATTCACTTCATGGCTGTTTGTGGAACATTGCTGTGCGCAAAATTGGCTGCCACATTCACCTACAAAATACACAGTCACTAATCTTTATAGCAAGATCCTGCGAAACACTTTGAGACGCCCTCCTAACATGAGAGGCGCTCCATCAAATGCAAGGATATTATTGCTATTATCATTCAGTATACATTCTAAAGAATACACACACAATCAAATACTGGACTTATAACAACAACTTGCATTAATATAGTGCCCTTCACACAGGATAGTGTCTCAAAGTGCTCTGAGCAGGGCCTGTTATAATCAAGACCCGAATCTCGAAATGAACTCCGTGAGCCTAGTGTTACTTTCTTATCTTCTGCTGTGATGATATGTTGATGAAATTATCCATCAGAACAGTAGTAACCTGGGACAAAGCCACTCAGAAGAATCATTATCTTTCAATATCCCACCTTACAGAAGGTCTTTGTGTTCTCGGGAACCTTTCGGAGGAACCTGGATCCTTATGAGCAGTGGAGTGACGAGGAGATCTGGAAAGTCACTGAGGAGGTAACACATGAATTGCTTTGATTGTTGGCCGATATTTGTAAATACTGAGGATCATTTGTGATACTGGGCTAGCAGAAAAAACAGTTCTCTTACTATGTGCCAATAATAATTGGCTGCTGATGCATTTGCCTACAGACTACACAGTCATTGCACTACACCTTGTATCTTGTGAAACACTCCTCTCAATGTGATCACCGCTATAATCAAATGTAAAAACTTTAGAACCAAGGAAATTTATGACACAGAAGAAGGCCACTTGGCCGTTGTGTCTGTGCCAGCTCCCTCAGAGCAATCCTTTCAGTCCCATTTACCTGCCCTTTCCCCATACCCCTGTAGCTGGTTCTTGTTAATTCATCTGTCAAGTTCCTTCTTGAAGGCCAATTACCTCAATATTATCTCAACTACCAATGCTGGCAGGGCATTCCATATCCTAACTAGTGTGTTTGTGAAAAAATATCTCCTCATCTCCCCACAAGAACTTGCCAATCCACTCACATGACAATCAAAACACATTTGGAAAATCAACTCCAAAGTCCCTCACATCATTATCTGTGCTCTAGGTATATTCTGCAAAGTGCTTTGAGACGTCACGAAGACTTGATAAGGTGTTATATCAAACACAAGGATTTTTCTTTCAGAATAATCAAGGATAGTGTTGGTTCACGGGTTAGGACTGAGATTATAGGCAAATCTGACACCAATATAACCAGGCTATCACAATGCAGATAGTAATATATATCTGTCCATATTTCTATTGAAGTTCTTTGTTGTCTATCTTTCAGATAATAGTTTGTAGAAAATGTAATCTATTATGAATGGTCTGTTACTGTATAAAAACAACTTGGAGACTAAAAGCATTAGAGTGATAATTCCAATAAAAAAAATGATATATACATTGAGAAAACACAAAGGAGAAAGTGATTAAATTGATTCATTTGGATTGTATCCACTTGGTTTACTACAAAATATTTAATCAATCCTCCAGATAAGATTGGTCACTCATTTCATGGTTGCTTGTGGGACATTGATATGTGCAAGTTGGCAGCCACATTCACCTACAAAATATTAAGTCACTACACTTTACAGTAAATCTTGTGAAGCGCTTTGAGATATCTTGGCGCTGTGATAAGGAGCTATATAAAAGCAAGGTCATTATTATCATTTAGACTGTACATTGGTTTTCCTACAGACATTTAGAGTGTTGACATTGGTTTATTGCAGTTCCGGTTAGAGACAGATTGGGGGGGACGGGCAGAGATGAGTCAGAGGGTGGGGCAGTGATCAGTTAGGAGGGAAGCAATAACTGTACAGAGGGGCCAATGACTGTTCGGATGGGAGCAGTGACTGGTCGGGGAGTGCGGGGGCAGTGACCAGACAGAGGCAGTGGGACTTAGTCATGTTCTTTCTGTGATGAACATTGCAGGTCGGTTTGAAGTCAATGATTGAGCAGTTTCCCGACAAACTGAACTTCATTCTGGTGGATGGGGGTTACATCCTCAGCAACGGCCACAAGCAGCTGATGTGTTTGGCCCGATCCATTCTCAGTAAGGCCAAGATCCTGCTCCTGGATGAGCCGTCTGCACATCTCGATCCTGTGTAAGTCTCCTCGGAACAAACCGTGCGTGAACTGAGAGTTCAGTGTCAGAGTCCAAATCAAGTCCTAGCTCTTTGACCACGCTTTCGCAAAAACGGTGTCCCTCTAGGGAGGGAGTGCGCATTCCATTCCTGTCACTTAGACATGTGGATATTTCCATGTCTAAGTGACATACATAACGTATTGGTTAGAGCAATCGCCTTGCACACGAGAGGACCTGGGTTTGATTCCTGGGCAGGGCAAAGTCTCGGGCAAGTTTCCTTACTCCACACGACTCTGGTTAGCTAGCAGTAAGTAGGAACCCGGTTGTTAGACGATTGGCAGATTGTTTTCTGGGGTTAATAATCCCTTTGAAAAACAAATAATAATAATTTAGTCACTCAATCCATGGTTGTTTGTGAGACACTGCTGTGCGCAATTGGCTGCCATGTCCCCCACAAAAAAAACCTCACTTTACAGCATATCCTGTTCAGCGCTTTGAGACGTCTCAATGACACGATAAGTCGCTATATCAAATGCAAGGATTATTATTATTGCATATGTGAGCTCTCAAAATTAATTCTTGGTATTGTTTCTTTGCAACAGAACATTCCAGGTCATAAGAAAAACCCTGAAGTATGCATTCGCAGACTGCACGGTTATACTCTCAGAGCACAGAGTGGAAGCGCTCCTCGAGTGTCAGCAATTCCTAGTAAGTTTCCATTGTCTCACATCCCGTCAGTCCACGCAACAGTGTTCTGGGCTTCTGAGGGGTTGAATGGTAACCCCCCTGCCCCCTTTACAGATTGAGAGCACAAAAGATAAATGGATAAATAGGATCAACGACAAGTTCACTTAATTAAATTCTGGGCAGAAGTGGTCGTGACCAGACTGACGTGGGTTCAGATTTATGGAATTTGAAAGTCGATATTTTATACATTTGCTACATTTTGTTCTTAAGGTGAAGCACGTCAGTGCTGCGAATGGCATCAAGGACTCCCTGGTCAACTGTGGCACAGTTACACGCCGAGTACTGCTGCCTTTCTACTCTCCGTCGACACTGCCAGAGTATCCCACTATCTCCATCAGTTTTGAGATTTCTATTTCTCATGCTGGGGTGGACTGTGCCAAATTAGAGACACATTTGTGCGATGTGAATCAGCCTGTCAAACCCATTTGGTGTAACACACTTAGAGCTTGCTTCTCTTCTCATTGAAGCCAGGATGTCTTTACCCGTGTGTGTATGTGTGTGCATATATGGGTATGTGGAAGGGGGAGATTAGCATGTTGCAGGGAAAGCTTGTTCAGATGAAAATGAGAACAATGCAAAACCTTTTACAAGAAACTTTTGGCCAAGTATTGCTTATTTCAGACAATACAAGCAACTATTTTTTTCATCATCGGGGAAGATAGAGAGCCCATCATAAAATCTGTACTACATCTAAATCCATGCAATTAACACAATGAAACTATTGGGAGTGCCAGCAGTACAGTAGAATAGATGTTTGGAAACATAAAATATCTTTACGTTTGGAACAGGTGACAAAAAGTTTGTGGAAAAACAGATTTAGGGTAATTTTAAGCAATGTACAATTGAAAATGACCAGCAATGTTTCATAGCTAACTTGACACTAAAAGTTCATGACATTAACAAACAGCAAATTACATTTATATAGCGCTTTTCATATTGGAAGGATGTCCTGTACTGACCTGCAGGAAGTCAAGTTAGAGCTGACCTGAATTGGATGCCTCTTCTGGTTGTTAATTCTGTGTCCAATTTCTTCTTCCCAGGTAATCGAGGGCTGCTCGGTTAAGCAGTTTGATGCTCTTCAAAAACTACTGACTGAAGCCAGCCTTTTCAAGCAGGTCTTTGGACATTTGGACCGGGCAAAGCTATTTTCAGCTCACCGAAGGAATTCAAGCAAGAGGAAAACACGACCAAAAATAAGTGCCTTGCAGGAGGAGGCAGAGGAAGACCTCCAGGAGACGAGATTATGAGCTCTGCAGATTACTAAATGCATTCAACGTTCATGAAGATATCACAAGTAGTGGAGTTGTATGTGTGTATGTGTGTGTGTGGGGGGGGGGTGGGCTATGTGTGTGTATCAGCTGTATGTGTGTGAACTATGTGTGTGAGCTGTGTTAGTTTGTGTGAGCAAATGTGTGTGAGCTGTGTTTGTGTAAGCTGTATGCTGTGTATGTGTGTGAGCTATGTGTGTGAGCATCTGTGTTTCAAAAAAATGCAGAATATCCTGCTCAACACTTTCATCCAACACCTTAATGATGTCAAATTTATAATGACAAGAATGCATTTATATACACAAATGTGGATTGGATGTGATCCACATAGCACATAGGACTCTATGCAATAAGACTATTAGGCAAGGCTGCATCGAAGTTCTCACCAGTTTCTGTGGTGGACTTAATAATCCGATGACCTGGCTCTCCGTAGATGCCAATGGGGGTGGAAACCTTGTCAACCATTGCTGCAACCAAAATGGGTGTCTTGAAAGTTTCAGACCATAATATTCATCACTGTGATAACATGGAAGCCTGTGCACTTACAATGAGTAAGCAGGGTCAAAGGTTCACAGTCAGGAAGATACATTGTGAGACTGTTCTTGGCATAGATCCAAGCTCATATGTTCATAGTTGTTGAGGAAGAGGTGCACAGTGCTCTTGACACATTTGCACTTAAAAAAACATAATTCAAAATTATTAACTTAAAAGGCAAAGTTTTAATTTTTTAACATTCATTCAGGAACCTTAGTGTTTCCTCTTAGCCTCCTTCCTCTCCAAACACAGTTAAAAAGCCTAGAGTACATGACAGGAAATCATTCTGCATTGTGAGAAATAGGAGCATTACATTGAATTATATAGAACGATACTTGATTGAAACAGGCCGTTAGGCCCAACAAACAACAACTTGCATTTATATAGTGCCTTTCACACAGGGTAGTGTCTCAGAGTATGTAAACTAGTCTGTTCTGGTATTTATGCTTCATCCTTCCTTGTCCCCAATCTTATACCCCCCCCTATTCCCTTCTCCCTCAGGTATGCATCAAGGTTTCTCTTAAGATACATTGCTCCATTTTGCTTCAAGCACAGCTTCTGACAGTGAAGTTCCACATTCTCACCCCCTGAAGCATATTAATTTCACTGCTCAGTTTTATACTGAGTGATAGTTATTCTGTTTCAAGTTTTACATCAATCGGGATGTAGCAATTGTCCATGAGATGTAGACCAGAAATTGAGTAAGACAGCATTTGTGTTCTAAACCTTCAAATATCTCACGTGAGAGACAAAAAGTGTCAAATATCTCCAGCTTCTCACTTAAGAGTTTGTTTGCTTGTTTGAACATAATCATTAGATCAATAACTTTATTTTTTGTATTTTATTCATACAATTCCTTTGAACATGTAGAAACTTATGAGGCGTTCAGTATTTAAGAAAAGGACGGAAAACTTAATTTCTTGCACTGCAAACAAATGTATACTTTTATATAAATGTGATTACTATTTTAAAATATATCTTATATGGTTACAATTACAATGCTCAGAATTCTCTGCATGATGTTACCATTGGGGTCCAAATGGTACTGGATTTTTTTNAATGCAGAGATTATGGTTTGCTTGGAATAGTTCCATTAAGATTACGTTAGGTTTAGTGCAAATGTATTGGAAGCCAGCATATAGACACAATATTGCGTTCGTGCCCAACACAATCTGCAAAAAAAANCATTCACTTTGGGACTCAATCGTGTTATTTTAACATTTTTTTTTAGATCTGTATAGATCTGTTGAAACAAAGATTGTGGGTTTAATAAACAAATTCTTGTTCTAATTACACATTTTCATATCATTTACTTAATTTTTCATTCTGTAATACTGTGAAACTTTAGCAGAGCACCATTGCAGCCTAGTTAACTGGCTGGAATCACTTTGAACTACATTAAATAAAGAGCACAAAAATTTCAATCATGGAATGTCCATTCGTCCCAAGTAGTTCCATTGTACCCAATGAGTCTGATATATGTAGTGCTTATAATGTTGAAATATTAGTGTAGAAATATAGTCACTACTTTACCAAAAATTCTGGGAGCCCTTTGAGATATTTCAATATGTGATAAAGCGTTATGTCAAATAAAAGTATTGTATATTGTCATTAATGCCTCAAATGTCTCAATGTGTTTCACAGAGAACTGCTGTCAAGTATAGCAATGGTGTACTTGTAAGCAAATTAAATTGGATTATTGTTTCAAGAGAAAAACGTGAAAGAAAATGCAGCAATCGCAGGGGAATGGCATCAGAGATTCATCAAGGAACTGGTACCAACAGACAGGATGGGCCAAATGGCCTCTTACTGTGACATAAACATTCTAATTGGGATAGAAGGCAGGAAACAGAAAATTATAGGTTTAAACTAGTAGCTCAATGGTAAATGGTCCTTGGTTTCAGATTGTATATGAAGCAGTGAAGGAATTCAATGACACTTGAACGTGGAGATTCCACACAATCCAGGTGTGGGCACGTGTCCAGGAATCTTGCAGGCTGATCAATGAGGTGGAACTCCAAGTGTGTGATAAAGCATAGACGTTTTTAAACACTTAAAATATAACAATACACCTCCAATTTGATATGTCAGGAGGTCATCTCAAAGAGCTCCACAAAATTTACTGTAAAGTGTAGTATTTTGCAGGCCAAAGCAGCAGCCCATTTGTGCTAAGCAATGTCCAACAAACAGCCGTGAGGTGAGTGACCAATTTTATCAGGGGGATTGTTGGCTAGGATACCAGGGAGAAATTCTCTTCCCTTCTCAAATAGTACCATAGGACCTTTAACATCCACCGGAGCAGGCAGAAAGGGACATAGAGTTAATGTTTATCCGAAGGACAGCACCTCCAACAATACATTATCACAGCCTCCCACCTGAAGCACTGCACAGTAAGAGAGAAAAAAAAACTAAGAACGACAAGAAGCAGATAGAATTCAATTAAAACATTTAATATGGCTTCTTGTTTTGAAGGAAAGTCTTCTGAGATTCCAATAACACTTATTGCCACATTCTATTCACTGAATAAAATCCAATGAAAAGGAGGTTTTTATATTAAAAAAAGTAAATACATTTCCTTATACTGTACATATGAAGCCATGGGTATGATCTATGTCCCCCATGGTTCTAGTCACTTCATAATATATATACTTCTGTGGGAAAAATCCTGAATAATAACGATGCATCAACAATGATTCCAAAAGCTCTTTTATGTGCAACAACCAATTTGCATTTTATAAAATTGTTCTTCTTTTGGCAAAACCAGCTATTTTAGGTTTGCAACCCAAGAAATAAAAGGCAAAACTAAAAACAAAAACAGTGCATTGTCACAGCACTGTTAACAAACACTCAGTATTTAGTTAGTCACTGGTCCCAAATAAACATTGTATAGTAATAAAGTGGAACTTTACATTTCATGTAATATATTACATATCTATTGTATCTACCTAATGGATATTGGGGATCTATCACACTCTGATCACGAGAACAAATCAACTTATGGTCAGAATGGGAAAACCCATTGTAAAGCTATAATACAAAGATTTCTATTGTTGGTGATCAGCACATGGTGGGTCCCATTGGGAAATAGAAGACTTAGAAATAAAACCTTCAGACAGGATTGTATCCTTATTCATTGTTGTTGGCTTCATGTTTAGTTTTGTGTGGGTTCCACATCTCCTCGGTTGTATTGTTGTTCGTTTCTAAATGCCTTGTATTGCTGCTGCTGCTGTGGTGAATACGGTGCGTGTTGTTGTTCAGAGGCACAGGGAGATGCGACTTTGCTCTCGAGGTGCCACCTGATCGGTTCACCCTTCTAGTGCTGCTACTTGACGTGGGTGCACCAGTTTTTGTAGACTGGTCAACAACCTGAAAATCAAACACAATGCAATTCAACTCACATTGACACCTATCCTTGTCTTCATAGGCTCCAGACCCGCAGTAGAATCCACGGCAGCAGAGTTACAATACAATTCTATTTATACAGCGCTTTTCACTTTGGGAAAACATCTGGATGGACACCTGAGCAGGGTTTGGGAGTCGAGGTGTGTTCGGTGGAGATGACCAAAAGTGCGATCATAGGTACATTTTTTGCCTTGAATGAGGAGAAGGAGAAATAATGGGATTTACTACTACAATCACAGTGTAGAGAACCAGCGCACAAGCAAGGGCTAAAGGATTGTGCTGAGTATAGCATGCCGTGAACTCCTTTTTCCCCTCTTATGTCATTCACTACTTTTTTCCTTCTTTTATCACTGGTTAAAATCATGTGTAGTTTATCTTCCCTCCTTGTGGGTCTGGGGAGCACATTCTGCATAAGTTCCAAACATCACCAGGAGGACAAGTTGACTTGTCCTCCAGTATTTTCTCTTCCAACCAGCTTCCCAACCTATTGCCAGAGAGCACCTGATGGACCAACTAAGACTGGGACATGGCTGTGAATAGTGAAAATGAAGACAATCTACCATTCTACAGCACAGCAGTAACCAACTGAACCAACAGACCACCTTGGAACCTTTAAAAAGCATCTCCTGAATTCCCACACCCAATTCATGGTTTGTGGCCGGTATTTGCTCCACCTAGTTTGGAGCAGAGGAATTTTCAGGATGTTGTTTAACATTCATTACCTTTGGTGCTGGTGACTGAGCAGTGTGTTCTTTTGCCATCTTTAGGGCTGACTGGTCACTCTGAGAACCAGGGATCATAAAGAAAAGATCTTTTGACGTGTCGATCTGCAACCAATTTAGTTTCCAGTTTAGTTTCCAACATGTAAACCAAACAAAGCCCTTCATTCGATATGAAACCTTGCATTTGATATACCACCTTATCAAATTGATGAGACACCATAAAGGATATACTATATAGTGGTGTGACTGCATGTATTTTGTGAACGAATGTGACAACCAATTTGCTTACAGCAGCATCCCACAAACAAACAAACAGTGTGAGTGAGTGAGTGAGTGAGTGAGTGAGTGAGTGAGTGAGTGAGTGAGTGAGTGAGTGAGTGAGTGAGTGAGTGAGTGAGTGAGTGAGTGAGTGAGTGAGTGAGTGAGTGTTTATTGGCCGAGACACTGGGAGAAACTCCATTCTTTAATAGACAGCACTCAATCCAGGGAAAAACAACACACCATTTGGCTGAAAACTATTTCACCCATTCTAACTGTGTATGGCGCAAAGAAGCTGCAAATAAAGGCAACCGGAATGTCAATTCAGTTTAACATACAGTACTTGCATTCCAGAGTTACAATAATATACTCTCTCTATTTCAATAAGGTTAGAAACTTTCAATCAGTAACACAAAATCAATAAAGGCGGCCTAAAGTGTTTGTTCATTGGCTTCCTAAACACATAACCTAGACAAGTGGATCAGGTGAAGTACTTTGGTTTCAGTGTTGTATGCAAATCTTACGTTCAGTGCAAACATAGGCTTCACTTCAGAACATTAATACAATCACACCAAAAGTCTTCAAATACATGCTATTCAAACACATTTTGTATGACTTAACAATAACAACTTGTACATATATAGCACCCTTAAAGGATGGTGTCTCGGAGCACTTAATAATTCACTCCATGGCGCATTGGCTGACTAGACTGTCTGCTAAGATACTGAGCCACAGCCCATACACCTTTGCCTGCTCACACACTGGGGCAGCCTGAAAGATGTGCTTTTAAGGTAACCAACATAGTTTGGCAGTATCTCCGGCTATGTAGACAGTGTCCTTACCTTGCTAATATCAGACTCGGACCTGCTTAAGCACATGCTCTGGAGCTCTTCCATGAGGTCATCATCTTCATCGGCATAAAAAGCCATCCCTTGCTCTAGATCCGCAGCTTTCACTTGACCACCCTCCAGTGAACTGAATGTTAAGACAATTCAAAACCTTACTCTAGATTAGTTCTTTAGGCCTATATAAAGATTGTTACGCCACACCGACCTGCATTTATACAGTACCCTTCACACAGGATGGCATCTCGGAGTGCTGTACAGTGGCAGGATTGGCGCTGTGTCAGGCAGAGGTGACCATAGGTGCGGTCAAAGAGGTAAGTCTTAAGGAGGGTTTAAAGATAAATAATAATGGGATGAGGCAAAGCGATAGAGGGAGGAAGTTCCAAAGTTGGGGAGGTTTGAGAAGTGACTGTTAATAGTATTCAAAGTTACTCCGAAAACAAAATGATAAATGTAGTACCAAATACCAGCATCTCAGCACTCAGCATTCTAATGATCATTTGAGCGTAAACCATAATGCTCCAGTTATACCTATAGTTGTTTAAGACCAGTACAAACACAAAGGAACAAGTTATACAGCTACCTTTATCTTCAGTTTGGTAGAGCTGCAGTACAGTCACCCGCAGACCCTAATGATGGTTTGTGAATGATTTTTTAGGTTAGTAAAGAGCTTGCAAACACGACCTTTATTTACGAAGAAGCCTGCTTTGTACCGGGTGCAATTATCCTTTGGCCAGTGCGAAACCAAGTGATATGAGACTATTTCCCCAAGGTAGTTTCGCGTCATGTGCCAAACTTCAGACTGCTCAGATGGGTAACCTCAAACCACAAATAGGCTGCAGTTTCTGCGCAAATCACTTCACACTGACAGCTGCCCAAGCAAATGGACACAAATTGTCTTACACCGTAACTGGCCTGTGATTTTCAAGAAAAGACGAGGAACGAAAATGAGATACAGGAGGAACCCTTATCTCACGCAGTCAATCAAGTAGATACGCACTGTCCACCACCAAATTGATTAAGTACTATTATACCTTATTTTACATGAAAGCTATTCAATAAATGCAAGCTCATGTTATGGATGTTAAGTCTTCAGTATGTGCAGATGTAAACTCCATGTCTTTGGCTAAAACAAATACCATGCTGTTATAACATTTCTGCCCGTCAGTTTCAATTGCCTGAACCCTTGAATTGGCTGCTTATTAATATATTTTACAGATTATCACAACTTAACAAATTGCATGGTACAACCCACAAAGCACATGGTTATGTTTTATAACCTATATTTTTGTAGGCATTTGTTCCAGTTTCCCTTCAATACACTATGTCGGTCCTTTTTAAAAAATAAATGAATTCACATCCAGCAAACCGCTGGGAGCTTTTGCCTTTGGTGATTCCTTTCAATAAAGGAGTATTCAGCCAAAGCTGAACCATCATTAAGCAGTGGAGAGAACATATGGACAGAGCAGCAATATGTCTCAGCCTGCAGTGCAATCTCAGCTTCAAAGTCAGGCAACGATTGACCTGGAAAAACATCTTGCCCCCTTTGCCCCCAAATAAATTAAATTGCCTGTGTTCCTTGGCAGGGCAACCATGCTGGTTATTGGAACATTGCATTCCTCTATGTTACATTAACAATACATCCTTTTACCTGAAGGTCACATACATCCAAACTGCATCAAAAGATTTTTTTTTTTTTAATTTGCCTGCCCCACCTCTCCAAACCCACATCTCAATCCTTCACTGATGATAGCTGCAATTATCCAGTACGTCATTCATTAGACAAATGTGCTCAGTGGAACTTCAAAGGCAAAGCTGTCCACGTAATTTTGCTTGTGGCTATTTACAGACTCCAGTAAGAAGACATCTGGGTCGACTACCTTGGATTGAAATCCCCGTCCATCCAGAGAAGGGCATTACTCAATCGATTGTTCAGCAGGTATCTGGCTGCACTCATTATTAACACGGGCACCTCACAAATACCATGAATACCGGTGCTCCAATTGCAACACTGACTTGCATTGCTGTGAATATTAATAACTTCTTAGCTCATGAATTACTTCAATTCCTTTCCATTGAAAGGAATCACCAAAGGCAAAAGCTATATTTTCTAATATAGAAAATAACAAGCGGGCAGGAAATAAACTTTTTACAAATCGAAATGAGTTTTGTTTCAAAAGAAAAACTGTAATTAAACCATGTTAGCTCTCTTAGAATTTGCAACAATTTAACCACAGAAGGTCGATGTTAAGCAAGGGAGGGCGATAAATTAAATCAGATTGTAGTCGTATTCATGCAAAGAAACTTACTGCGGTCTAGTTTGCACGTTCAACTTGTTGAAGTCTTCAGGTGACTCTGGCATAAACTGAATTGCTGCTCGGAAACAAACACGAAACATGTAGTTAAAGTGGATGATGTGATTCATGTACCAAATAGCAACCTCTCAGTTATTTTACTCATTGATATATTCAGCATTACAACCTCAGCAAGCTTAACCCCAGAAAATACCCATGGGTTACTCTTTAGCTACCACTGGCACGGTTTGCTTTCCTTACTTACCACACTGTGCAGAGAGGCGTAACCCTGCAAGCCAAAGCCTTAATGGGTGGGGTAATCCTAGCAGTGGACTATTGCTTCAATGGCAAACTTTATGGTTTTAGCTGGTTCGACTCCAGCAGTTCCCCCAAAACACATTCTGGAGTCCCCAAGCCTTGGCTCTTGCCAACCTGCAACTAATATCCTCTGAATTTGGTAAGGGAAGAGCACACTTTCCAATCTAGACACATGGAAATATCCATGTATAGAGGGCATACATAAGTGGAACTTTCAGTGTGGTTTGGATATTCTGATGATGGATTTCCACGTGTGTCGAACACCCAGCTGATCAAAAACCAAATGCACTAAGAGATGACTTCTCTTTTATTCGCTCGCCTTGCCAACCATTTGGGAGATACACACACACACAATTTTCAGCACTGCGTACAGTTGGCAGAAACAGTAATGGAGCTGGGTTTAACTCACGACCAGAATCGATCAGTCCCTTGGAAATATAACACACAATGGTCGACTTAAAAAAAATACAATCAAACGCAAATTAAACAGAGCAGTAAAACTCTAATAAAACCGATGATGAATTTTATGTTTTTTAAATGTGTTGAGGATTTAGGTGAATAAAACAGTTAGAAGGCAGCTGGTGCTGAAAATGTTTTTATTTTCCTATTAACTTCCAATACCCATTGCTGTAGATGCATTTAAGAGGAAGCTAGAGTTTCACATGAGGGTGAAGGGAATAGAATCAGAGTGTGATAAGAGTGAATGAGTGAGTGAGCGAGTAGAGACTCGTGTGGATTATAAATACTGACACAGACTAGTTGAGCCAAATGGCCTGGTTCCGTGCTGTACATTCTATGTAAATCTATGTATTGTCATCAAAGTGAAGGAAGAGAGTACATTCCCAGGGCAATTGTGATGCATTGAGTGTCCTATAAATACTGAATTAAAGCTTCGGAAAAACCAAAGACTGCAAAGTTAATGATTAAGAATCTGATACAAACACCTTTCCAAATTTGTGCATTATGTGGAGTCTTGTAGCTCAGTGGTTAGAGCACTCGCTTTGCAAGCGAGAGACCTGAGTTGAATTCCAGGTAGGGCGAAACCTTGGGCAAGTTTCACACGCCTTACTCCACACGCCTAATAATAATCCCTCTAAAACCAAAAACAATAATAAATTGGTCATTTTCAATCTACGACTGTTTGTGGGACATTGCTGTGCGCAATTGGCTGCCGTGTTCGCCCACAAATATACAGTCAATTCACTTTACAGTGTGTTCTGGGAAGCGCTTTGGGACGTCCTCCCGACGTGAAAAGCGCTATATCAAATGCAAGGATTATTATTATTATTAATATCATTGATGCTGGCAACGTGGTTGATTTTTGAACATTTCAGCCTGGCTCAGTCGGTAGCTCTCTCACCTCCGAGGTAGTAAGATACGGGTTCAAGCCCCAAGTCTCTGTACGCTGAGCTCATAGCTGACATTTTAATTCAGTGCTGCATTGTTGGAGATGGCATCCATCAGACGAAACATTAAAGTGAAGCACATCGATCTGTTCAGCAGGACGTTAAAAGATTCCATGGTAACATATTTCAAAAGAGAAGGGAGTTTCTCCCATTGTCCTCCAGATAAAAAATTGTCATTCACTTTCTGTGTGTTTTGCCTGTTTGTGGGACTTTGCTGTGGGTAATTTGGCTGCTGAGTTTGTCTACAAATACACAACCCTTACATTTTAAGGTACAACCCTCTGAAGCGCTTTGAGATATTTCAATGTGATAAAGCAATCTATAATCCTTGCATTTGATAAGCGCCTCATCAGAAGACGCTTCAAAAGGGCTTCACAGGATATACTGCAAAGTGGGTCAACTGTATGTATTTTGTGGGCAAATGTTAAATACCAGAATCATTGTAGTACTGGGATTACTTTGACCTTCTAATGGGCCTTACCCTCTCTTTGTCCTTCAAGCTTGTTCCAGGTCTGGGACACCGAATGAGCAGATTTTTTGCGGGGACCAGTGCTCACTCGTCTCCACGAACTGCTGTCGATTTTCTTCTTGCTGATTTTGTAGCTGGTTATCATGGTCAGAGGAAAGCTCCATCCCTGGAATTCCGGCAGGTATTGGTCTAACTCTACAACCATAAATCTTCAGTTACCCACTGATTCCCATTACCAGTCTTCACACACTTCACACTGAGGGGATGGTGGAGTGGAGGGGGAGAAAGATAGTTCAGCCTCCCACACCCCATATATGGTTTGCACATTGTCTTTAGTTCCCCACCATTCTTTCAGCCATTCTGCCCTCGCTCTCTGGAAATCCATCCCAGAATCCATCCCGACTCTCTCCCTCCTCACCTCGTTCAAGGTCTGTCTCAAGACTTATTTCTTTGATCGTGCTTTCAGTCATCTTTCCCATTCCTCATCCCACCACTCCTCAGGTGCCCAATCAGCAGTGTCAAGCACGTTGAGGTGCCCACCAACTTGCAAGACACTGTATAAATGTAAATTGTTGTTGTTGTTCACACAGCACCTTTTACAGTGGTCCATGTGTTTTTTACATCATTCACTGAGTAAATGGAAGAAATGCAGCATTGTTTATTAAAAATGTACTCTTTGACCAGTTGCTTTGTCCAGTAACTCCTTGTAATTGAGCTTTTAAAAACCAGAGATATAAAGGGAAGGTTTCCAGCTGCCAAGTAGCAGAATACACAGTTTTTTTGAGATGGCACTTTCTGCACAGGACACCCAGTTTGGCATCTCAAGGTTTACACTCCTTAACGGGGCACTGTGCTGTGTGGTCGAGTAACCTGACAATTATATAATACAATACAATTGATATTTATACAGTGCCTTTCACCTCAGGACAGTGTCTCATAGGAGCTTAACAATGCTGGATGGGCACCTGAGCTAAGGGTGGGAATCGAGGGGTGGGGGAGGGAGGAGAGGGAAACAAGGCCGAAAGTCTGGTCAAAGAGGTAGGTTTTGAGACGTGCCTTGAACTAGGGTAAGCAAGTGAGCGATTATAATAAATTATAATTAGTGCCATGATGTATGCCAGTGCAGATTTTCCGCTGCTTATTTTACCTTGTCTAGAAAGTGAACAGCCGTGTAGTACAGCTTTGTTAAGCAAGATACTGAGGGCTGCCTTGACCACTGCTTGCTGGCTCTGGCTGAGGACCTTGGTGGCTGGCTGGCTCTGGCTGAGGACCTTGGTGGCTGGCTGGTTCTGGCTGAGGACCTTGGTGGCTGGCTGGCTCTGGCTGAGGACCTTGGTGGCTGGCTGCTCTTGCAGGCCTGGAGGCCTCTTCACCGAGGCTCTGGAAAGTATGGCTTCTTCTGCTCTCGGGCCACCACATTGTTCCACAGACTGGCCATCCACCTGAAAACAATAACAACAACTTGATTGTGCTAACTGCCGGGTTGCTGGACTTCCCAACTCTTGCCTCTGCAAGCTGCATATTATTCAGAAATCTGCAGCTCATGTCCTCTCCTGCACCAGGCTGAGCTGATCATCCTCTGGCTTCACTGGCTCCCCAACTCCCAGAGGATCGAGTTCAGAATCCTCATCTTCACTTTCAAAGCCCTCACTTTCAAATAACAATAATAATACAAGATCCAGATGAAGAATTCTAAAGAAACATAGTTCCTATAATTATGGGTGCAACTGGAATTGTTAATTTGATTATTCAGAAGTGGCTTGACAAAATACCTGGTGAATAAAAATTCCTGCAAATAATAACTTTACTGCAAAAGGTAGCTATTTTAGCAAATTCAAACATACTAAAAGTAACACCCATTAATATATAATGTGGCTGTTATTGGTCTGGCTGATCCATCACTGAAACCTACTTAGAAACTGCCTCTACAAAGTGATTTAAGCTGTAATAATCTAACCATAATAATAATAATCCTTGCATTTAATATGGTGCCTTTTAAGTTGGGAGGACGTCTCAAAGAGTATCACAGGAATTACTGTAAAGTGTAACGACTAAGTATTTTGTAGACAGAATATGCGATAAAATGAATCCTCCAGATGCACTCAGTCACTGCATTCTGCTGGCAGAATCATTCCCACTCACCACTTTGATTGCAAAGTCACCTTTGGGTACAGAAAAGTCCCTCGGCTCACTGACGTGACTGAGTTCCAGTTTATAATACAGCGTTTATCACCATTTCATGGCACGTCTCAAAATCTATGACCATGCTTTCAGTCATTCTTGCTCTCCCTCCCACCCCTCAGCTCTTTATCATGGGCAGGTTTCAATCGCAAATGCATGAAAAACATCATTTCAGAAGGATTGGAAGTCGTAAGAAGAAAAACTTAAAATGGTTAGTATTCCTCTCTCTGGACCCTCCCCCTAAAACAATCCATATAATGGGTAACGGAATAGCAGTAAAAACAAGCACAACCTCTCATACAGCAAATGGCACATATAACCTCAGGAACAGCAACCTACTTCATTATAGCTTGTATCTGGCCTGGTAAGACTGGGCAGGAAAAGAAATCTCTTGGTCCCATCAGTGCCTCAGGTGTTCCTAAGCGAGACAAGTAAGAATTCAGCTGTCGCCAGACGGCAGAAACCCACAGCACAGCCTTACGCATCGGGTCAGCTGGAGGTGGAAGCTCTCCTTGGAACTGCAGAGAGAGAGAAAAAAAAATCTTTATTACCATCTTTGACTCTTATTGTCCTACAATGCATCTCAATGGCCTCACAAAGAGACTCAGAGAGAAAAAAAGATTTATTTTTCTACAAACTCAGAGCTTCACAAAGACACTGGTACCTAAATGTGATGGTCACGAGCGAGATGGGAAGTATCAAATACAGCTCAGTCAGCCTGAGCAGACAGTTCAGGGTTCAGCGATTTCTGAACAGCAGTAAAGCAGAGAGTGAAACGGACGACTTGTGCAATGATGGCAATTTGTTCTCCAGTTTCTTTCTTTTCTTTGCACTTTGGTGTCTTTTGGAAGACACAATGAAGCCCCTGACATAAGTCAGTTATTCGATGGAATTTCATTGCAAGACAGGATTATGTTTGAAACCCGCGGCTCACATTGAGACACAGATGCAGTTTCAAAATAGCTCAACGTACTGAAGGGTTGGCACTCCACACTGCCCTTCTGATACTTAAAGTACAGCTTAAAACCTATTCTGACAGAGACTAATAAATCTGCATCTGATCGACACATAGACATTTCAAATAACTGTCACCTGTGCTGCCAGATAAAATACATTTTATTTTATTGCTGGAACCAAGTCTGAATTTAACACTTGGACAGCACATGTTTGATCACCAACAACCTATTGATATTCAACTGCTTTTTGTAGCCTGGTGAAATAGTAACTATTTACTGGCAACTTGACCCTGCTGACACAAAATGAGATTTCACCAGGCTACAAAAAACATACGTCCTGGTTCCATTTGCTCAGGTTTGAGATGTACAAATTATGTTAATTCCAGCTCATGTCCTCCTACAACTACATACAAGGCAGGCAAGGCTGACCCAGGCTATCAGAATGAACTCTCACCGCGTGAATCATTTTCCTTTTCAGGAACCTCTGAAGCAAACCACTGATAGGCTCCGCATCCCATCGCAGCTGCACCCAGCGGAAATGCTGCTGCACCACCAGGTCTGAGCTTTGCAGTCTCAACTTGGCCATTGTCCCGATCAGAAAACCGTTCTCTTGGAAGCAGTAGGCATCTGAGGTCCCATCACCTGGAGGTCAAAAGCACACACATGACGTCTCTACCAACAAGCAGTTTTTACTCAACAATTAACTATGAATATGGCTGCTAAACCAAACCTCACATGTTGCCTTCAGCATGCCAACAACAACAACAAGATTCCATTTATAGAGCGCCTTTCACGTCGGGAGGACGTCCCAAGATTTGGTCACTGGATGGGCCTGCCTGGTTATTTGGTACCAGTACTGTTTATTTGGAGCTCCTGTTTATTTTTTGGTTTCTTCTTTGCTAAAACCTGTTTTGGGTTGTGAAGCTTAGATATGTGGCAGCATTGCTTGGGTAAGTAAAGTGGGTTCCGCTCGGTGTCCTGGTTAACAATCCCCCAAATAAAATTGGTCACTCAGTTCATGGCTGTTTGTGGTATATTGCTGTGTACAAAATTGGCTGCCACATTCACCCACAAAATGCACGATCGCTACACTTTGCAATAAAATTCCGTAAAGTGCTTTGAGATGTCTTAAAGGTCTGATAAATGTGCTATATCAAATACAGTATCAGGATTATTAATGTTATATTCGTTGGTACGGCTGGTATTTGATATTTGGCAGCTCTGTTTGGTGTTGTTGTGCAAGACAGGGCAGAGGAAACGCAGCATCACACTTGATGCTTGATTTATTTAAGGATGGAAACAGACCCACATATTTGTCATTTACACATGAATGACCACCTCGGGATTCATTGGATCGGAACTCAGTTCAGCAGTGAATGTCATTTGCCCCATAAGATACCACACTACATTCACGGTTTTTGTTTCACACATAATTTACCTTTTTCATACTGGTAAAATCTCCTTTCCCTAGCCACAATAATAATCCCTGCACCAGATTCACCCATACAACATCATGCAGCAACAATAACTTGCATTTATACAGTACCCTTCATATAGGTAGGATCTCAGAGTGGAGGTGGCATAATATCATAGTGGTTACAGTTCATGGGGAAAGTTTGTGGTTCCTTTCAGCCCTCTTCTCAAATGGAGCATAAAAGACTCTTAATCTAGCGTCCAGTTTAGAACTCACTCAAAGACAACGGCAGCATGGAGATTGAACTCTCCTGTACTCTGTATAGATTTGAGTGGTCTACTGCTGCAGGCACTTGGCTACACTCTCTTTAACCCATATTTGTTCACTGAAGTGTACGTGCTTTTTACTTTGCTTGAGCAAGTTTTTGCTGTGCAATTGACCATATTTATGCACAGCAGGGGACCTTTTAATACTAAAATGCAAAGGTGCAAAAGACTAAATGTACAACTACACACAACAATGAACACAGGGAAAGGAGACTGGTGTTAAGGTTTAAACCTAGACTAACATATTTGCACCGTTTGCAGGACTTCTCATCTATGAGAATACATACAATACTTAAATTTATATCTCATGTGCCTATTTACACCCAGCAAGCACACAGAGTCCTATGAGTACTGAGAACACATTATTATGTTCCAAGGGAAAAAAAATTCACGTATTTTTAAATACAGTTAAACGCTGCTTATCCATTGGCCCATTATGTTTCCAGATCTGGAAATTAGCTGCACTGCGCGAAGTAAGGGAGTAAGCACTCTGAGACGCCGTCCACTGTGAAGGGCTCTATATCAATGAAAGTTGTTGTTGTTGTAATTAAACAATTTTATACAGCTTCGCTGTAGAGTTATAGGTGGGAGAAGGAAGGGGTGAGGGAAAGAGAAGGAAGAGAGAGATTTAATACAAGATCTCAAATCCTTTCACAGGTAATTGCTGTCAAGTGATGGGACTATTTATTTGTAGGTGGGCAGTTTGTGCACAGCAAGGCCTAATAATCATTAAAAAAAAGAATGACCAATTTATCTGGAGGATTGATGGCCGAGACACTGGAAAAAGCTCTCTTCTTTTAAATTGCATCTCAAAGGACATCTCAAAGTGTTTCACACGAATACACTGAAGTGTACTTTGTAGATAGCAATGCAAGGCTCCCCCAGCATTTGGCTGGAGGGTCTGTCTAGATTGTGAGCTGAAGACTTGGCAGGCTTGGTGATGGAACAACTTCTACTACATGTCCAATGTCAAACATGCATTTTTAAACACTGTACAAAATTAGAAGGTACCATTTGACAGAATGTAAACAGTTATTTCTGTACAGATTTGACCATCCTTTCACTGACGTAGAATGCAATACAAATTTACATTTATATAGCGTCCTTCATTTCGGGAGGATAAATTGTCTTCTCTGCTGAAGCCCATTCAAACACAAGTCCCGGCACCACTGGCAAACACCCCAGACACATGAAAAATGATGTGTTACAAAGTTGACACAGCACAAAATACTGTGGAACCTCATTTTCTTAACAGATACACTTGCCGGATCAGTCAGGTATATCCAGGTCTAATTTGCATGGTTTGCTAACAGGATTCTTTGCGTTGGTAGAATGATGGCAGTTCACAACTTTTGAGCTTAAAAAAAAAGAAAGAAAAGACTTCTGAATCTAGGCAAGAAGCACAAAAATCCTGGCTCTTTGTCTGACATTTTGGTTTCTTCCTCAGCTGGGAAAGAATAGCACTTTGGGACACGCTCCTGATGTGAAAAGCGTGTAATAATAAATAATAAGAAATAAATGTAAATTTCTATGTAAACAATGTAAATAATGGTTCTATTCCCAGCAGGGTGAAATGTTGGCCACACTTCTTCACTCTGTTTATCTAGCAGTAAGTGGGAACCGGTTGTTAGTTGATTGGCGGATCGCTTTTCCAGGAATAATATTCCTTAAAAAAAACAAATGATTTGGTCACTCAATCCAAAACTGTTTGTGGGACATTGCTGTGCACAATTGGCTGCCGCATTTCGCTCACAAATATACAGTCAATTCATTTTACAGTATATTCTGTGAAACGCTTTGAGTCGTCTCGAAGACGTGAAAAGCGCTATATCAAATGCAAGGGTTATTATTTTATTATTATTAAATTTGTATTGTATTGTTTCAAGCTGAAAGCAAACCGCTGACCATAATCTCTACCACAATCGGTATCTCTATCAATGCAACTTGTCCAATCTGTAAGTGGAGCAAGTTAGACCCCATTGTACAAATCAATAGTTGTGAAAGCTGTGACCGCACTCTCACCAGACCCAACTGAACCTTTTTGGCTTCTCAGGAATGTTTAATTACAACGCACGACTCTAAGGCAACTACAAATGGACCAGCAAATAATAATCTATAAATACGTCTTAATAAGTCATCATGAGCCCACTTGAAAAAGTACAGGACGTGCAACAGGAGAGTTCCAGTACAGGGACTTCTTGATTTATTTTCCAATGTGATAGAGTGGCGTTCACTCAACAGATATCAGATGTAGAACAGGCCAAGTGTTCCAAAGCTGAATTGTTACAAAGTTACAGTGCCTGCTCCATCCATTCGTTTGCAGTGGAGAGAAAATTAATTGAATCCAACAGAAGGTTCTTGTTTTTCTCTCCCTTCTTCAACTTAGAATCAACAGAAAAGAAGGCCATTCAGCCCATTGAATCTGCACCAGCTTTACACCTACTGAAAATTTCACTAAACATTCAAACGTTTTGTTGAGTCTACATTACAAATGGTAGAATAATAATAATAATGTTCATCTCAAAGTGCTTCACAGAATATACTATAAGTTGAGTCACTGTACACTTTTGGGTGACAATGGATAGAAACCCGAGGCAAAATAACAATAAAAGATATGGGGGGGAAAAAGGAGGGTAAATAAGTGAGAAGTGAAGCTCCAGTGAAGATGATGGTGCGGAGGAGGAGGAAGAATCAGCACCAGACCAGATATAATGGGTTGAATAACCAACGTATTCTTCCACTGTATTTTTTGTAGAATTCTATAATTTCCAAAACAAAATTGATGAAACTTATTTTCAGATTTCTGCCTAACTTCAAAATCTTCTGGCTTCCAAGTCCTGAAAAATACCTAAGGCGTGAGAGTCCTCACAACCAGCACTAATTACCTGTCCAAACCTCCGACTGCACTTTGGTGGGTATGTCTCCACATCAGTATACTGTATAATACTGGACATGACAGCAGTGCCAACATCACACAAAGGACTAACTGCTGTATTAGCACCTCTGCTTTATAAACTTTTTGTTTTGGTCAGTCAGGTGTCTGACACACATGGTTTACCAGCTAAAACCGTATGCTTGACTTTGAAAGTACACACTGCCTGGCAAGCTTCCAGCTAGGCCCATGTTACCCTTCAGGGCTTTGACTTGCATGGTTAACAGGAGCTGACTGGGAAAAATCCCTGTCCCCAGTGACTAGTTTGCCCTTCCAAGTCCTACCAATGAGCCTGCCTGGCTGGGAGGTTATCAGCAATGCCCTGGAGTACTGCAGGCCTCTCTGGCTCAGGAAGCAAATTACCAAGACCATCAGAGAGAGTTGACCCAATTCTTATATTCAGTAGCCAAGCACGTCACCTTGGTTGACGTAGAAAGGAAAGTTAACAGAGTGTAAGATGGACAGTGAGCTTTACCGTGCTGGAAGGTGAACGGGTTTCCTGCACCTCGGTTTTCCAGTGCATCGAGCAGCTCACCCAGAAACTCAGAAAGTGAGGCAGGTTTCTCCAGATTTCTCATGAGGACAACGGTAACTTGCTGACTGATAGAAGCCTGCTTCAAAGGGACCAAGACACCTGGAATAGAAATCGACAGGACTTGTTTCAAATCCAGCTCTATTCACTTTAAGAAAAGATTGCACTTCATGACATCCGTGTCTATAGCTTTTCTACCGACTAAAACAACCCCAAATGTATGAGAGAAATAACAATATTAATTCTTGCATTTGATATAGCATCTTAGCACATCGCCAAGATAAGAAAAAGTGTCAGCTAATTTGTGCAGAGCAATATCCTCAAACAGCCATGGAGTAAGTGATAGTTTTATTTGGGGATTTGTTGGCCAGGACACCAAACCACAAATAAGATGAAATTGTATGAAGATCACATAAATATATGGACAGGTGCTGGAATGTGCCATACACCAATTAGCCTGGCTCAGTTGGCAGCACTCTGGTCTCAGAGTCAGAAGGTTGTGGGGGCAAGCCCACAATATCTAGGCCGATATTCCAGTACAATGCTGGGGGGAGCACTGCATTGTCGAAGGTGTGTCCTTCGGATGTGATGGGAGGTTGCTAACAAGCCTCGTTTCTTAATCATTTGCAAACTCACCCAAGGAAACTGCCAACATTGTAATAAAGTGGTCAGATGAAATACACCCAGTGAGGGGGTGAAGGCACGAGCAATTGTGTACATGTCATCAGTGACTGCTCAGCACTTCTCACAAAACGACGATTTGATCAGGCTTTAGCAGTCTGCCAGACCTGATCAGTAATCTGGATATTGACGAGCACTGGGGTGCTGGTACCTACTGTAGGTAGAGATTTGATACGATACTAGAGACTAAGGGGGAAAATGATACAGAAGTGCATACCATTATGAGTGCAACAGGAAGCATTAATGAAACAATTGCTGCTGGTGGATAATTGAAGTGTAGCTGTTGAAAAGCATCAACAACATTATTGTAAAGACATGTACAAGTGTCCTTCAACATTTCTCTCCTCACTCCAGGTTTTGGCTTTCGACAATGAGTGTCAGGTGCAATTTAGCTCCAGTTGCAACTCAGCAAGAATTTGAAATTATGTATTAAAGCATTATTTTTTCACCTAGGGCAATGTCTCAAAGTACGTCACAGGGACCGCATGGAAACCTGGGCAAAGTGGGAGGAAGGTAACTGAAGGTCCGATCAAAGCAGGGTTATTTTACAGGGGGTACAGGGGGAGGAGAGCGAGGAAAGGAAACAGTTCCAGACAGCAGGAGCAATGTGATTGAAGGCTCTAATTCGGAGCCTTTCATTGTGATACTAATTGGCTCTAAATAAAACCAAACTGCAACAAAGGTTTTCCTTCAATTTAAGCCAAGAACATTTTGGTGGTGTATTCTGAGAATATAACAGCACTGCTTTAATACTATTAAAGCAGTAAAATAGAACCCACCGCTCACGCCCCCGCCCTCCCCCCCACCATCCACACTCACAAAATGTCAGAACAATCTCCATTTAATGTTCTGCTCTCATTCTGCAACACAAGCTAGACAGCTGCTCTCACACACCACACTGGGGCTCTCACAATTGAGATCCACAACTCTGAGGCTGCCAATACAAGGAGCCACCAGAGCTGGCACGAGATTTACTAGGATCTGGCAAAATAAGGAGAGAAGGAGCAGGCAAAGGGATTTTGGTAGTCCAAAGAGTGGTGGAATAATGTCTCAACACTTTCCACACCATCTATTTATGTGATGAGCATCTCCGCTATTGAACAAGCCTGCACTCACCATCTTTCAAGTGGCATTTCCCAACTTTGTAAATCGCACATTGGCATCTCATTAGTCTCTTACCACTTTGTATGAAGAACTCCACCAACTGGTCCTTTGAACAACTTCCATCAATTTCGATTTCAATGATCTCACAGTTGCTGCCGGCGGCTTCTTGTTTGTGCTGTTGAGAGATGAAGAGCATTTTTAGAACAAAGCAGACAATTTATATTTTAAAAATTAAATAAGGGAGCATATGCGCACTTGCCTACAAATGCACAGTAACTCCATTTCACAGTAATTCCTGTGGAGGACTTTGAGACATCCTTCCGACGTGATAAAATGTTATACCAAATTGCAAGGATTATTATTATTAGCTACAATGATTGATGTCCATCCCACGACTGACTCTCGTATCACTAGGCGGGTGTTGGGTACCAGTGGTGTAATTGTAACTTATAACTCCAGCTCCACATATTGCAGTGTAGAATATGGGCCCTTTGCCTGTCAATAAGTATCAAAACAGCTCGTAGTGCTGCACCTCTACAATCACCTGCACAAATACCATTTCAATGGGGCATTGTACAAAAGAAAGGAACTAAGGATAAAGCTCAATTCATCACTAAGGAAGACAAGTGAGCAACGGATTTCTATGCAAGGGGATTTCTCCATTACAATAGATTAAATTTGCACTTATAGTACCTTTAAAGTCAGCAGGACGTCCTAAAGAGTTTGGCAATTCTAGTTGGCCATTGGAGCTGGAAGGAAGGGGAGGGGGAGAAGAGGAAAGATGACAAAAAGCATTGTCAAAGAGGTACGTTTTGAGACACAATTGCGTGCAGAGGTGTGAAGCCGATGTAAAGCAACAAAGCGGAAAGGAAAAGAGGGTTGCAACCCAGAACAATTCAACTGGCACTGCCACTGTTTATCTCCTGGTGACCAGGTCAACAGCAGCTGAGCCCTGAGAACAGGGAACTTGTCCAGCATCACAGGGATGATTTACATGTTGTGCATGTGGCACAGCAAGCTTAAAGGGATGATTTACAGACAAACTGTACTTTCATAAAGCCAGTGTTATTTTTGTAAGTCTAACGAAAACAGAGAGAGAGAGGAGAGAGAGATGGGGAAAGGGGGAAATTAAGTTTTGAATACGTACGTCCCAGAAAATAGATATCTCTCTAGTGAGTGTCCTAATTCAAAGTCATTGCCAAATCTTGAGTGTTTCTTATGTTTCCCATGTTAATAATAATAATAATCCTTGCATTTGATATAGCGCTTTTCACGTCGGGAGGACGTCCCAAAGCGCTTCACAGAACACACTGTAAAGTGAATTGACTGTATATTTGTGGGCGAACGCGGCAGCCAATTGCGCACAGCAAATTCCCACTGACAGTCGTAGATTGAAAATGACCAATTTATTATTGTTTTGGGTTTTGGAGGGATTATTATTAGGCGTGTGGAGTAAGGAAACTTGCCCAAGGTTTCGCCCCCTGCCTGGAATTGAACTCAGGTGTCTCACTTGCAAAGCGAGTACTCTAACCACTGAGCTACAGGACTCCGTCATGTACTAATTTACTGTCAACTCATGTTGACAGTAAATTAGGAATTCAAGTTAGTTCTGAGATGCCATCAGCTGAAATAATGTCTGGTCAATAATTAGGAGTTCCGTTATAACCCACAACAGCTTCTGAATGGCATCACTGGGACACATTTGACCTTGAGCATTAAACCCCCAATTGCCACTCAAGTGTGCAACATTCTGAAACAATGAGCCTTGGAAGAGACCGAGAGAGAAAATATGCAAGTTTGGAAAACAGTCCAAGACAATAAAATAAATTTCTATATCATCTTTCATGTCAGGAGGATGTCATTAACATATTGTGAAGGAAAATGCAGATAGAAAGAATTGTACTGTGAATGAAAGAAAATCCTTGCATTTGACATAGCATCTTACCATGTCATTGAGATGGCTCATTAAAGCGTTTCACAGGATTTCACTGTAAAGTGTGGTGACTGTATATTTGTAGCCAAACACAGAGGACATTTGGGCAGAGCAATGTCCCATAAACAGCTGTATATTTATATATTTAGAAGGTATTATACTGTGAAGGAAAAAGTGAACAGACAGAAAATATCATAAGGAACAATTAGAGATACATTATCTAGGAGTTACCTTCATAACCTTTTACTTATGTTTACAGTATGTTTACATCACTTTAGAAAACATCCTGTGAAGAGCTTTGAGACACCTTCAAGTGATATCAAATGTAAGAATTTTCTTGCTTTTACAGTACAATTCTTTCGGGTGATAACTCGACCCTGGCTTAATCAGCATCTACCACTTAAGTCATCAGGCTGTCAATATCCCGGCCGTATTTATTTATGTACTTATACATATGCCAAACTCGTTACTCTGGATAACTTGTCATTGAGCCCTTCCACCATTGGCGGAAGAGCCTTCAGCCACTCTGCCCCCAACCTCTAGAATTCCATCTCCCAGTCACTCCGCCTCGCCCCCACTCCTTAGCCTCCTTCTGCCTCAAGAACCTCCTCTTTAACCATGCCATCGGCCATCCCCCTTCCCTCCCTTCCCCCCCACCCAACCCCAGCTCGGGTCTGAAATGCTGTACTCTGTCCAGCACTTTGGGACATCCTCCCAATGTGAAAGGCACTATACAAATGTAATCTTGTTGTTGTTGTTGTTCAGTGAGGGAGATTGATGTGGGAAAGGTGCTGATGTGTGCGTCGTTCAAAACAAGTGTCACATGATTAAGACATGGGTCAGGGATTTAATGAGGAGAATGGGTAAAAAAAATAGATCTGGTTCCATTACAGTTACACTGTGGTCCTGAGACCTTGTATTTAATGGGTTATAAAGTGAGCTCCAGGGCTTATCATAACACATGAACAAACAATAAAGGCTCCGGGGTTTTGAAAGGTTTGCCATGTAGTGAATAATGGGTATTTGGGAGCAATTACAAAGGCCATGATCAATCAAAGGGCTCCGGTGGTATCAGAAATTGCACAGAGCAAAGTGACTCACACCATTCTGAAAGCAGAGAGTGAACATCATTGTCGTGCACCAGTCAGTCGTGGGCTGGTTGTAGTCAGTGTTTTTTGCCTTTGTGATAGATGCCAGTGCCCGAGGGGAGCCATCCAGTTGGAAGGCCTTTGCTACCCACCAATGTCATACAGGAGGAGGAATGGCTGCGGACCTTCCTGAGCCGCCTGGTAATAATCTGCAGCTCAGTACAGGCTCAGTACTCCCTCCGTGTCCAGCACTCGTTCCAAGTGGATTGTGACAAAAACTGATAGGGTGATAAGTGGCCACATTGTGACCTGGTACTTTGTGTGAGCAACTAAACAACTTGAACTCGACTTTGAAAAAAGCCCAAAACGTCAGATTCCTGCTCAACTGTTCCATTACCCGAAATAAATGCTTTATTCATTGCGAGATGCAGAGAAACGTGATTGTAATGCATTTATGGAACCAATTTACCTTAATACTCTTTGCTATTTGATGTGCTATATGCTCTTGGCAACTCCCTTCCGGCCCATGAAAGATAACATTGTGATACTGTTCGACCTGTGAAAGACAAAAAGTACAGAAAAAAATCGCAACAGTGAATGCATTACAAAGACAGCAAGCTTGAGCCTGCTGCACATCCCCCCACACCCTCACCTCTCCCTCTGCACCTTCGGCAACCACACCCTCACCCTTTGCAACTCCCTCCTTCTGTCCCTCAGTTTTGGCCCTTTCTATCAGTCTTTAAATCCTATCTAAAAACCTACCACATTGATCATGCCTTTGGTCAACTTCCCTTTCTCCCCTCCCCCACCCCGGTTTGGCATCTAACACTGTCTCCGCAAAACTCTCCGAGGCTTTGTCCCAAGTGAAGGTCACTATATAAAAGCAAGTTGTTGCGCACAGCACGGGAAGGTCGGCAATTAACATGCACAATATAACAACATTAGGTTGACATTCGGTGCAACAAAAGGATAACAGGTTTTTGGAAAGGTTCCATGAAAACTCATTAATTCATTAAACACGCTGAACAGGCACAGTGGGAATAGACCTTTCTCACACTGATATCCGAATGTCACGGTGAAGCAGTTTCCTCAAGAGAGAACGCAGCTTCACAAATAACTAAGATATAATCCACTGCACCATATGGGAATTTTTCAAGACAGAACACGAGCAATAGCTTTGGTACATACTGTAGTGAATATCCAAAGGACCACATGTATTAAGGGGCAAGATTTCCAAAATTGCATTGAACGTTATTATTCTGCATGATCCCCATCACGGGAAATATATAAAGGATTTGTCAAAACTTCATTAAAGCTTTAAACACCCGGTCAGTATGCATTTCTACTGGGGACAAAGTAATTTCTGCATTACTCTCTGCTGGCACTCAGCACTGAAGTGTTAGGTACAGGGTGAGTTGAAATGTCAAAGAGGTAACGATTTAATGCTGAGCTATTGACAGAGATGAATAAATCATCACTTATGGTTAGCTTTTTGGAAGAGTGTTGTGGATGTTGAGGGATGAGAACAAGACAGATATCAGTAGGGTGCGGAAACTATATAATCTGATTGATGCATCTAGAACCAGCTGTTTCTTGTTGCTCTGCCTTCTGATATGCCATTATTTTTCATGATTTTTAAAAATCAGACTATCAGAATATCCAAGGTAGCTTTTCTCATCATAACCAATAGTAAAGCAACACACTGCAGCCTATAACATCCCTTTGTGACGAGGCCAGAAATCTCATGAAACAGTCATTGGACAAAACAAGAGTTATTTGTTATGTATCCCCAATTGCTTCTAGTTTTGGAAAGGGCAGGTAACAGGGAGGAATGTTAGTGTAACAGCATTAAGTTTATGGCAAATTCTAGTTTTGGTTGTTTCTTTTTGGGGCCAGATAGCCAATGACTCTTGTGAGTAATCTACAGTCAGGCAAAGGAAGCTTCATATTGTTGTGTGTAAATTGACAGCCCGTTTGTCTATAAATCACACAATTACTCCACTTTGCTGAATATCCTGTTAAATGAGACGTCCTCCTATAGCAAAAGTAAAGATTATTATTAATCTTATTGTTGCTTCCAAACAGAAATTGAATTTCTAAGAGTTTTCCTGAATTCTGCATGACATTTAATTTTAAGATGATAGTCTTAAGGCTAAAAAAAACAGAAATTTCAGAACTTAAATCTTCCAGAAGAGAATCTCTGCAGGTCATGCAATAACTGGATCGACATTGCTGCTGTTGTTGATGACTGTGCAATGTAATGGTCCTGCCAGAAGAGGGCAATGCTGAATCTTTTTTACCAAGCGCTCATGTGAGGAAGACCCACAAAGCAGTGCACCACCAAGGCTGAAGAGAACAAGCAAATAAAACAAGGTAGCTCAAGCGAAGGTGGTTTGTGCCACTAACCTTGGATTCTCAAGGTCTTCAAATTGTCAGTGCAGGGGAAAGCAATTGCAAATAAAATACGTGCTGGTTCAAGATTACTGTGGTACATAATACACTATGGTCATGCAATGAGGCTACACAATTGCCAACAAAGGTGTCTGAATGATAGAGAATCATAGACTGGTCCAGAGCCCAATTTTCCATAAGTGACAAAGGTGAGCGTTACCAATAATAATAATCCTTATATTTCGTTACGCCTGTGAAATGCTTTCATATCAGGAGGCCGACTCAAAGTGCTTCACAGAGTTTTACTGCAAAATATAGTGACTGTCTGAGGCAGAACACAGAAGCCAATTTTGTACACAGTAATATCCTACAAATAGCCTTGAAGTGAATTTCCATTTTTAAATTGCGGGATTGTTGGCCAGGACAGCCTGCTCTTTTTGAATAGTGCCATGCAGCTCCTGTACCACAAAACTGAACGTCTCATACACCGATCACTGGACTTTTATTTTGTAAATTATCTGCATTTTCTTAAAAGATAATCAATTTTTTAAAAAATTGATAAACTTCTGTAATTAACGCAACTACTCCACCCAGTGGCCACAGTATGAGCAGCACGTTCACGTCCCTATGATGCTCCCAGCACATTGCATGAGTTACAGAAAGCTCTCTGAATAAATAAATGATTGATATAAATTATTATTTGAGCAAGCTTAAATATGCTTAGCCTAATTACATGGGACAAATGGCTGAAATTGAATTTAAGATTGCAATTCAGTACATGGGCTTCAATCATTCTTTTATCCAGTTTCCTGGCCTCAACCATCCTTCCTGACAACCTGTTCCAAATGACTAAAAAGCACAGTCAAAGATATACGTCTTGAAACAAACCCTGACTAAGGGTTAGGCGAGGGAGAGCGCGAGGCAAGGAGGGAGGTGATGCATGGGCTGGCCTTTCAGGTTGGAAGATAATGATATGAGATGTGTTTACAATGGATAGAAAGTGCCATTTATAGAGAATAATGGCTACCTGGGAGGGAGTAAGAAGGCTGCAATTTCACAGGGGGTCAGGAGGAGTCAAACTGTGAGAGTAGCTTGATGGAGATGAGATTCCACACCAAATAAATCAGTGATCAGATTGCCCTCTGTGCAATCACAACCCTTTATTTCTCTCGTTCTATCTCTTTCGTTCTCTCTCTCTTAGATCGGTTTCACAAACAAGGATTTGCTGTTAGTTACATGTTATGAATCAGCGTGGGAGAAGCTGTTGTTAACCTCCTGCTGCAGAAATACTGCAACTCAGTGATTAGCATTTCCAAACTGTGACCCAGATTTGAGGGGATTAAGAGACAAGTTTATACTGTATGTCAGGTACTTGGCCCTTCCTGAAAGATGAAAGATTCCAGCTCCACCATCTCCCAGGCTTCACCCTGGATTCCTGCAGCTCTCAGTTTATTTAGATATCTTTCATGCATCAACCATATGAAAACAAAGGTCTAAACCCATTGACAGTGATCTGCACTGACTTCGAACGCAAATAAGATGTATGGTTTACTCTTAACATACCAGCCTGAGGTAGTTCTGCAACGTATGAAGAGGGATGAGAGAACCATAAGCGACACTGTCAAGACAGCCGTCCTGTACACCTGTTAAAGACACAGCAGTGTTTATACAGCAAACATACATCTTGAACCATGTACACAAGCTTTAGGCCATGGCATGTTCATGGCAATTGCCAAGCAAGCTGATTTCTACTCTATCTGCCTGAGTATGTGAGGACCAGGATCACATACAAAGCCGTCCATGGCCTCGCCCCACCCTACCTCTGCGACCTCCTAACCCCCTACCAACCCGCCCATTCCCTCCGCTCAGCCGGCTCTGGCCTGTTCCACGTCCCCCGACCCACCCGCCCCACCCGCCCCACCATTGGCGGGATAGCTTTCAGCCACTCTGCCCCCAACCTCTGGAATTCCATCCCCCAGTCACTCCGCCTCGTCCCCTCCTTAGCCTCCTTCAAGTCCCGCCTCAAGATCCTCCTCTTCGACCATCCAATCGGCCAACCCCCTTTCCCTCCCCTCCCTTCACTCCCCTGACCCCAGTTCAGGTCTGAAATGCTGAAATGGGACGTTCTCCCGACGTGAAAGGTGCTATACAAATGTAATCTGGTTGTTGTTGTTGTAATAGGATGAAAAGTAGCAATACAAACACACCCACATGTGTGTGCACACACAATTTACACTTAGATATTGCTTTTCACACCAGAAAGGAACCTCAAAGGGCTTTAAGCAGATGGTTAGGCACCCGACTAGGGGAGGGAGAGGAAAGCTGAAGGGGGTGTGTGTGGGGTGGTAGAAAGATGACCGAAAGTACGGTCAAAGAGGTAAGTCTCCATGCGAGCTTTGAAAGTAGGAAGGGAGAGGTGAGCCAGAGGGACTTCGGGATGGAATGCCAGAGAACTGGCACCAGCTCAAAAACTACAAATTGCATCTTGATGAAGTTCCTGTCTAAATATTGCAAGCGAAAATCACAGGCATTCAATTACATCCAATGTGCCCACACAGGGTAGGATAATAAGAAAACAGGCCTTCTGCAATTGCTAACAAGAATTCTGCCCTAAAAAGAAGGATAAAACTGCCACAACAGCAGCAGGGACTTACCACTTAAGAACACTGTGATGTAACTATTTTGGCTCCAATCAATCAGTGACCATGGGGAGGCTGTTAACGACTGTCCTGGCATCCAAAATTCATTTCCTGTTAAATAGATTGTTGCTTGTTAACACAGCTCCTTTATGCCTGCGCCTCTTTACGTTCGTAGCAGAATGTAAAAAGGACGGACTGATTCAGTTAGAAGCAGTTCTGCTACAATCTGGCTTTCTGGCTGTGTAGAATTTGCCCTGCGATCTCACTACCTTGAAGCAACACACAAAAGCACAGGGTACCCTACCCAGCAGTCAGGCTAGTGGCTCTCAGCTCACTCAGGCATAAGTTGGCATTTCTATTGAGTTTGATACAAAACATGCGCTTATTTGCTGCTGAAAACAGTTACACGAAATGAGAAGCCAGAAAAAAAGTCGTTTGAAGTTAAATTGTGGGGAAAGTCATTTGCTTTAACTTAGCTTGTTTAAGAAAAAAAAGAAACAATTTCTAATTCACTCGGGTTAGGGAAAACAAAAGAAAATATAATCTCGTAAAGTCTGGGAATAAGTGGTGTTTCAATTATCCGCCAATATTCTGGTGTATAATCAAGGTTTCACTGTACATGGAGGCTGGTTATAAAGAAGCCAAATGAGTAAGTTTACAAATTAAACTGGAAACCATGCAAAATTCACACTATATGTTTTCTAAGTGTAAACATTCAATGCTTTCCTGTGCTATTAAAGAGATGGTTGTATTTCTGGCTCCGTGAACACATTTTACAAAGGGAATCAGCTCCAGGTGTCAATAACACAGAGATCATCATGACCCTTGGCTAGAACCAATGTAGAACGGGAAATATAAATCCAGTTCCTGCTCCAAATCCCACCGCTACTGGGAGCAAACATGAATTGTTCCAGCAGAATAAGTGAGGCTCATGTCTCCCTTCTCTAATTCCATGGCATTTATTGTACACTGGAGTCCAACAATTGTAACCCATCTGGAATACTTTACATTCAGCAGCGTTACATATCAATTGCTCTACATCGAATACAATTTCCTTTTTATAAAGAGGCATCTCAAAGCACTTCACGCTGCTTGCTGGAGATCCGAGCTGAGAGGAGGAGCCATAGAGAGTGGGGAGGGGAAAGATGAACGAAAGTGCAGACAAAGAGATGCATTTTGAGATGCTAATTCAAGAAACAGAGGGAGTGAGGGAGTCAGAGGGATCCTGGGATGGAGTTCCAGAGAACTGGGGCAGAATGGCTGTAAGCTTTCCCCACTCCTGACAATTTGCATTGATATAGGTCGATATACAACAATCATAAGATAACCTAAAACCATTCACTGCACCTTGCATCTATACCGCTATGATAAATATGAACAGATTACTTCTGGTTTCAGTATCCAGGTCACTCATGCAGCGTACACAAAATGAGCAAAAGCATCATCGCTTTATGGACAACTCAACACCTTTCCTCCAATATGACACTACATCTCTCACCAGCCCTCTCGGCTTCCTATTTTTAACTAGGTTCCTATGAGGTGCCATGCTTCAAACTGGATTCCAGTGGCTTCTAGCTTAATTAGTCATCTTTCATGTGGAGCTCTTGGCAAAAAGCTTTTTGAACATCTAAATCAGCCGCATCTCAGGGAGTGTGTCTTAGATGAGGCTGATTTAGACCTATAACATTATCAAATATCAAATGCAAGTATTATTATTATTATTAAGGAGACTTCCCTTTCTGAACCTTCCTGGCTGTTTTCTAAGTTACTGCTTTGCAGTTACATCCCAAGCTGTCTTTGGAATAAATGATACAATTTAGACTTATATATCGCCTTTCATGTCAGAAAGCTATCTCAAAGCATTTAAATTACAGCATTCTACACGTTATTGATATTAGGCTAATAACTTGCAATTGGTTGAGTCAGTTTGGCTGCCCCTATCAAATGCAGGTCCCAACACAGCTATACCATGACTTTTCTGACCCCAAATTCCACCTCTTCTTAGCCAGAAAGACCATTTGTCTTAAAACTTAAAACAAGATCGGGCAAAATTGTGAAAATATTGTTCTGTTTGGTCTCAGTTTACACGACAGGTCTTTTAAAAACTACGGAAGACAGTCTTCCAAACCGAACCTAATTTGGGAATTTTCCACAATTCGATAGTATTGGCTTTTAAGACAAAATGGTCTTGCAGGAAAACTAGTTGAAATTTCAGACATATCGTTTGGGTTTCCCAACTGAAAAAGCAGATTCTTCTACCTTCCAACCCAATGAATAATCCTTACGCTCATCTGGGTTGTCAATGTATGATACAATTTGCACTCACTGCCGTAGTGAAATTAAAGTTATTGCTCTAACTTGTCTTGTGGTTCGTCAGTGACATCCCTAGAAAATAAGAACATAAGAACGTAAGAATTAGGAGCAGGAGTAGGCCATTCGGCCTCTCGAGCCTGCCCTGCCATTCGATAAGATCATGGCTGATCTTCAGACCTAACTCTAATTACCTGCCCTATCCCAATATCCCCTAATCCCTCTGTTTTTTAAAAATCTATCAGTCTCAGCCTTGAAGATGTTCAAGGACTGAGCATCTACAGTCTTCTGGGGTAGTGAATTCCATAAATTCACTACCCTCTGAGTGAAGAAATGTTTCCTCAACTCTATTCTAAAAGGCTGACCCTTAATTTTAAGACTGTGACCCCTGGTTATAGATTCTCCTACCAGGGGAAACAGACCCCCAGTGTCTACTTTATCCAGCCCTTTAAGAATCTTATATGTTTCAATAAGATGCAGCCATTTGGGTCATAACATGCAAAAACAATTTAAGTCTATATCGATTTCGTTCTCTCTTTATGGTTTGTCTTTTAATGGTGTTCTTTAGGGTTCTGTCCTTGGTCCTCTCCTCTTCACCTGGTACATGCGGCCGTGCACAATTGGCTATGTGTTTTGTCCACAAATATACAGTAATTCAGTTTACAGTATATTTTGCGAAGTGCTTTGAAATGTCTAGAGGACGTGAAAAGCGTTATATCAAATGCAAGGATTATTATTATTTTATCATTATCATCCACAGACATGGGGTCTCCAGCCTCGACTCCAGGACCACTGCTGTCTTGACAGAATGTCTGTCAGACATCAAGTCCTGGATGAGAGCTAACTTTCTCCAGTTGAACATCAACGAGACCGAGGCTCTGCTGATTGGCTCCCGTCAGCACCTCCGGCGCTGACAGCATCACCATCCAAAGATGCACACTCCACCTTACTAAGCCAGTCTGGAACCTTGGTGTCTGGTTTGACCCTCAACTGTCCTTTCTACCCCACATCCATGCCATGTCCCGTTCTGCCTTCCCCCACCTCCGCAACATCGCCCGGCTCTGCCACTGCTTCTCCCCTCAGGCTGCCGAAACTCTCATCCACACATTTATTACACACAGGCTTGACTACGCCAACTCCCAGCTTGTCGGCTTTCCCAACTCTTCTCTCCACAAGCTGCAGATCATCGAGAACTCTGCAGCTCATGTCCTCTCCTACTCCAGGCTCTGTGACCCTATCGCCCTCACCATCGCCCAGCCCTGCTGGCTGCCCATCCATCAGAGGATAGAGTTCAAAATCCTCATCCTCGCCTTCAAAGCTCTCCATGACCTTGTTACTTTCTACCTCTGTGACCTTCTAACCACATATCAACCTGTCCGCTCCTTCTGCTCAGCAGGCTCCAGTCTGCGTCACGTCCCCCACCCAGCCTGCCAGACCATCAGCGGTGAGCCCTTCAGCCTCTCTGCCTCCACCTTTTGGAACTCCAACCCACAGGCCCTTCGCCTTGCTCTCTCGCTTGCCTCCTTCAAGGCATATCTCAAGACGCTTCTCTTCGACCGTGCATTTTGGCCACCTTCCTACCCCTACCTTTCCTTCCCTCCACCCCACCTGATCCCAACCCCCAGCTGGGGTCCAAATCCTTAACCGTGCAGCAACTTGGGACCCACTCCTGACGTGAAGATACAATACAAATGTAATTTGCTGTTGTTGTTGTTTCTAGCAAGGCAATTGAATCGTCCATACATTCAGTACCTCCCTACTCGACTTTTCAAATGCCCTCTTCGCAGGTCTCCCTTGCTCCACCATGCACATCCAGATGATTCAAAACTCCGCCGCCCGCGTACTCACCCGCACTAAACTCCGCACCCCCATCACACCAGTTCTAGCCAGGCTCTATTAGCTCCCAATCGTTGAACAAATTGATTTCAAGACCCTCACACTCGTTTTCAAATCCTTTCATGCCCTGGCACCTCCCTAACATTCCGATCTGCTTACCCCTAACTCGCTAGCTCCGCTCGACTGGCTCCGGCCTTCTGCATGTCCCTCATAGCCTCCATTGCATCAACGGTGGTTGCTCTTTCAGCCACTATGCCCCGAAACTCTGGAACACTCTTCCTCTATCCCTCCACCTTGCCCCCTCCTTCCCCATCTTCAGGATGCACCTGTAAACCTTCCTCTTCGACTGTGCTTATGGTCAACTAACCCTCCTCCTGGCTTGGTGTCGTGCACCGCCACTGGCAAGCGCTCTGGGATGTTACCGTGCGTGAGGAGCACTATATGAATGAAATTTGTTGTTGTCGTATGGGATGCCAGTAGACAAAAAATACAAACCAGCAGATCAATTGGTGAATGGAAGGAGGCACAGTAAGTCTACTTCAACTGGAATCAAAGAAACATAAATAGTCACGAGATCAAGATTCGTTTGGATGAAAATGGCCCTTTGATCCATACCATCTCATCCTCCCAGAGGATCCTACCTTCCCACCAACACAGCATAAAGTTGCTGTTCAAATGAATATCACACAAAAGCAATGGCTTGACCTAAATAAACACCATCATCCACTGACTTCAAGCAACAGAGGTCACAAAACTAGAAATGCCAGTTGGTGATCCAGGGCACTCTATATCTTCACAAGTTGTTCCAATTAGCAGCACAATTCATGCAAATGTAGAAGGAACTTGTTGAGCAGACTTCAAATGCAACCAGAAAGCAATGAATCCTTCAGAAGGTCAGCTGTGGGACAATTGTCCAGCGCGTATTTATTCATCACAAGCCTATACAAGGACAGGATTCATTCACAAACTTCATTTTATGCTCTGTATTTATCTTAAGACTTGTAAATAAAGCTGAATAAACATGCTAGAAATAAATGAACAGCCTCAGTCAGTCTGAGGGATGGCACTCTCTACCTGTGCACTGTTGGGGTAAAATTCCACTTGGGTTTCAATTCATTCCATTAATGTAAGAGTTTGCCAACAAAACACACTACACTTTACAGTAAATCCAATAAAGTGCTTTAAGAGGTCCTCCCATACCAAATGTAAGGATTATTATTGTATGAATATTAATTATTATCAGCAGTAGTATTATTTCACAATTCCAGAAGTTGGCAAATTCTTAAACATGGCCTTAAATTTAAAGCAAGTTCTTTTAAGAAGTAAGGAACACTGGCTTCAGAATTCAGGTTGTAGTTGAGAATTTACGAAATTGTAGCTGCTTTAAAATACTGTTCGACATTAATAATAAAAAGAATAAATCTAGACGATGGTGGAATTTTACCTATTGTGTTCATAAAACCCCAGAACCACAATAGCTTGCAGTTGAACTCCTTTATCTGTTTTGGAAGTATTTCGAATTAAGTTCTTTTTCATATAAAAAAATTATGGAAGTAAGGAATGCCTTAGATATAGATATACAATCAAATTTTGAAAAGCTGGGAATGATGAGACAAATCAATCCTTGGAGGCCAGATGGCATTATAGCCACGAGAGGCAAATTTTAATGGTTTATAGCTGTCATGTTAATCTTAAAATTCAATTCAAGCCTAATTCTTTTCTGCACCATCTCTCATTATTTTCTGCAGTACTTGCTTGCGGGGCAGCTGAAATGACATTGAAGACTGAGAGGCTACGGTGTTATTACTGCAGATACTGCTTACAAGGGTTTAGGAAAAGGAGGGTTTGCAGTTCTGCAGCAGGATTTCTAAGCAATTTAGAGGCCAGAACACACATTAATTCACATCACAGTGCATCTGTATAGTTACACATGCACCACATAACATTTTCATCTAGTTGCATACACTCTGCTGCAATCCTAAGGGAATGACAACAGTTTTTCAATCTTGCTTTGATCAGAAACTATTCCACAAACGTCTGGATGTAATGCTTTCATAGTATCTCCATATTGTGCTGACCTTTCCCCTAGTCTAACGGTTGGTCAGGCAGTTTGCAACAGATTAAGGACCGGTCCAGATCTTACCCTGGTTTGCATGTGACATTGCCAAGTTTGTTCTGTGCTAAGGTGACTAAAGGGACAATCGCGATGAGATGATAAGACAATTGATATAATTTTGGTACAGTTCATCCCTGGTGACATTCCTCTTCCTGACAGCTGTGAACTCTTCACTGTCTCAATGAGTCTACTCACCTACATTTTAACAGAAGCCATGTGAGACAAAGCTGTTGCATCCTGCAGCCTATTTAAAACTTATGGGTAACAATCCTTGCACTTGATACAGCACCTTATCACATTGTCAAGATACGTCAAAGCGCTTCACAGGATTTTACTGTACAATTTTGCACACATCCATACCCCAAAACACCTTTGAAATGAACAACCAATTTTACCTGGGGGATTGTTGGTCAGGACACCGGGAGAGAGAAACTCCCTTGGTCAGGAGAGTAAGGAAACATTTCAAACTATTTAGTCTCAGTGTGTTTCAGAAAGTGGAACATGCTGATGTTTTGTTTTATAACCGTGACTGTGATGAGAATAGGTTGACTCTTATCACGCAAAACAATACTTCACAATGCGGGTGGCGGAGAGTAAAAGAGGCATCCACACACTACACGTTTCTATGCAAACACACACCTATTTCCACAGCAGACACATCGCTTGAACTAAAACTGTGTTCAGTATTGCTCACAAGCGCCGGATCCTCAGCTCCCCATCCATCCATGACCGTTCTGAAATGGTTAGTGACTGCAGCTGTTACAGCTCTCGATAAGTCCGCCCAAGTAGTCAGTTTCCGGATGGTCAGGCTGCCAATGGCTATGTTGTTTTCAGCATGTTCTGTACTGCTGCAGATCTGTTCACTGGGATCCACAGAAATCTGCAGCAGTACCTTATGAGCGTCTGGAGGACAAGAGGGCATGTTAGTCAGAAAGAAAATTGGGTTAAACTTGCACAATTATATTAAAAGCCAACACCAATTCATTGCTGCTATCACAATGACCTTTTGCGGTCTCCACCAAAGGTGAATTGGTTTGAGTAATTGGGTCAGCGGAGTGCATGATACATGCCACTACCCATCACCATGCTTACGATAATCCAAGCCAGACTGAGAGTACCACATATGTATGCCACCTATACATGAAAATTATTGCATTTGGAATGGAATCAGCACTCTCTCCCTGGAGGGATGCACCTTGCTTACCTGATTGCAGAGAGTATTAGGTGCACTTTGGAAAGAGCCAAGGCTTGGGTACCCCAGAGTGTGAGTTGAGGTACTGCTGGAGTTTAATGAACTAAAACTGCATAGTTTGCGAATCAGAGCTAGGGCTGTCCTACCCGTTAGGGCTTTGGCTTACAGGGATAACAGGAACTGAGTGGGAAGTTTCCCTGCCTCAGTGATCGGCCTGCCCCTCCCAAGTCTTGCTGATGAGCCAGGACTGCTGTGCTTTCATCAGCAGTGTCCTAGAATTCCTTCCTGGCAAGGAACCCGACTACTGAGACCACCACAGAAGATTGACTCAATTCCAATATTTTGTTGCAAAGCACGTTGCCTTGGGGCCAATTCAGCTCCAAGGAGTCCCTGCTTACAGGGAGTAACTCAACAAAGGCAGATCTGAATAAAAACATCTGAAACTATACGGTGTGATGAAATGTGGCTTCCAAAAACAAAGCAAGTCAATCTCAAACCAGCTCCTGGCACACAGTGACCCTGTCCCATTTTCCTTCAGCTATAACCCAGAATGTGGTGTATTACGAACATCCCTATATGAAATCGATAAATAATGGAAAGAAATGGACTAAAAATATCTCCAATTCAATGCTGTACCCACTTTGGACAACGTCAGGAATTCGTCATGAAGCATAAAATTTGATGTCCTCATCAATAATATGGACAACAAAACTGAAAAGCTGCCAAAAATCCCTGGGAGCTGGGCAGACAGAGCTTTGCTCATGCTTCCAGGGAAAAATAAAAAATGACTTTGATTTTAAGGTTGTTGCACCAGTTTTGAACTAACTCTAAGGATTGAAATTCAGATTTCACCTCCCACACAACCCCCCCTACACTCTACGACTTATGTTTCACTAATAATGCAAACACAAAAACTTTAGAGAAAGTGATTTTGAGATCTGTTTGTGGGACATTGCTGTGTGCATATTGGCTGTCACAGTCGTTAGTTTGTAGGATCTGTAAGTGTATTTGAGATAGCGAATCTGGAGGTAGAGGACGGTTTCAAAGACTTGACATTCTGGAATCTCGCTGGGAAACACATTTCACCTTCGACTCCCATAAAGCTGAACTGCAGCAATCTCTGGGCCCTGGCACACAATCAGAGGGTCGGTCCGAGACAAAGCCAGGCAACGTTCAGTTTCCGCTGTTCACAAATTCTTTACGAGTCTCATAAATTAGGTTTCAAGTGAGCTCAGGCACACCTCTGGCCAGCCACCAAGTGAGGCTTGTAACTGTGTAGTGTCACAGCCCTGTCACAGTGCACCTCTGGGGTCAGGGCTAGGCCAGAGTTCCCTTAATCTCACGTAACATTGATGTTTTAGAAGTAAATCAACTAATAGTACAGGAGGTGGAAGCGGGAGATTTTCTTCCGTGTACACAAAAAAGAAAGGCTGCCAAAGAAATAAACCTGAAACAGCACCATGCTTTGTAGCTTGTCTTACGAAGTATGTTACAGGCAGTCAGGCTGTGTGTGCGTGCGAGTGTGTTTCACAGCACACACACCACAACTGTATTCTGCACATGCAGGGCCTTGGCAATGAAAAGTATTCTGAGGCCCCGGTTTCCGCACCACAAATACAGTAAAAGCAGAGCTGCAGTAGCACCGCAAAGATCATTGCAGAAAAAACAGGTTATTATGTTTCTAAATAGTCGGTCTCACCTCAAATGACTGGGAATTTAACTGGCATTTAAAGAAGGAGCTCTCACCCTAAATTATAGATCCAAAGGCCACGCTGAAACTACTCTCTATTACTCCTGCCAGGCAGACCCTCCCTGCATTCTGAATTGTACCCAAACTATTACAGTAGTATTAAAACTAATTCAATAGCAAAATTGCCTCAATTATTTTGGAAATGTGGGATTTATCACAGTTCCAATTACCTTAAGAATTCCAGAGAGCCTTTTGTTTAATAAATATAAAGATTTTTCTTCCTTAAGTGTGTGCTAACTGTTGTCGGCTCTCACTGGCTTGCACCCTCCAGTCGCATTTGAGACATGCTAAATCAGGATGTTTCCTCAACGTTTAGCCACATTTGAAGTAAAACACAATAAACTGCAACTTGTTTTTCTCCCCGCCACCCAAGTTTTCCACCTCTCCCAAAGTTGAACCTGGGGTATGATTTCAGACACTAAACATTCTCTCGTGTGTACGTCCCATATGTTAGATCATGGTCAGTCCATTTGGCTATGTATCAAAGCCAATCCCAAACCTGTCTTCATCCGAAGCCTACGCTTACATACTTTCCAACAGGGATTAATTACTGAAGTGACAAGGAAGGATAACTCTGGCTGATTCCTCACTCGTCTCCCACTGACTCAGGTGCTAAGGCTAATTGAAGTCTAGGATTAAAACTGGCATCTGCTCTCTATGGCCCAGTGCTATATCGAGTGGCACCTTTACCCTCGCGGCCATCAGGAGGGTCAACACAACACTCAATCCTAAGTGAAAACCAATCTGCAAACAATCAAACAATAACAAGTACATCAATCACATCTTTGACACAGTAAAGAATAGCAGTTCAGCGACGTATATCTCACGGAAATCACTAAGCACAGTCTCACATCTAGAAGATTAAACCCGACAGGTCAACATCATTCCTTTCACAGTAAATAAACAAGGACTTGCATCTACTATGGTATGACACATGCACAATTCAACACAAATCAGACACTGGAGTTTCATAGAGGAATAGAGTTGAAAGGCTGACCGTCTTCTTTGCACAGCTCGATTTGTATGAATGTATAGGTAGAAATTGGACTTTCAATGCCTTAGACCAGATCCAATGATGAGTAGTTCACCCGTTCAGCATCAACAACCTCTAGGAAAGACCATCCACACGTCAAACACAGGACCAATCTATTGCACAGACTACACAGCACGCAGGAGGCTCCTGGAGACGAAATGAGCATGCAACAACAGAAGCTGAATTACCAAAATATGGTGAAATCATTTGGTTTGCTGTGGTTCATCCTTTTCAAAACAACAGAAACTGCATCAATACATTTATTTACGACATATGCAACAGTGACAATGCATAGCTCTAGGTGGGAATCTCTGAGCAGCTTTCAGGTAGTGCTGAAGTTAACCATGGCTACAATCCTCACTACGCATAACCTTAAAAACACCAGAAGGGGATAAGTGTACATTCTGGGGCTCCCTGCAGGAGTGAATTGTGGCATTTTCAGCATCACATTTCCCCATGTTACGCATCATGCAATGCGATGGATGGTTCCTCAGTCTCCAAAGAGTTATATAAAAATGGGTTAAAATGAGTGAGACCCTTTTTTTCTGGGCAACGATTTCTGCGCAAATAAAAAAAGGGGGTAAGGATTCGCTTGTTATTTTATACCAACAAGCAAGGAAATCCTTCACCAGCAAGCGTCGTTTAATTGCGGCAGTGGGTAGGTAACTCAACACAGATAGTTCAGTTGGATAAGAAAGACAAAGCTTGAGATAACTATTTTTGCAGTATCTGGGCTACACTCCTACACCACATTCTTGGTGCTCACGGTCTACATTAAATAAGCGATACTCACTCCAGTTCTCCAGTAAATGCTTGCAGTCATCTGTGGCCACATCATGCACTGTTCGGTGACATTTATCTTTCTTGTCTGGTTCTAAGCAACTGTGCCAGCAGAGCACGTCTAAGCAGTTCTAAAGTAGAGAAGAGTGGGGGTGGGGGGAGAGAGAGAAAACAAGTCAGTACAAAATAAAACTCCAATCCTAGCAGTGTGTGTGCATTTTCTCTGCAAGCTAGTTGGGTGAGTAGCCAAGCCATGAAAACCAGGAGAGCCCAAGCTCAGTCAGCAGTCTGTACTAAGGTGATGTCTGACAGGGATGCAATTTCCCAGGTAAGTAAAGGGTCAATCAGCCAGTTGCACAGCTGATCACTCTCCATTGAGCCCTTGTAGAGAAGTACAGGAACAAACTGACAGCAATGATCCCTTTGGTTGAAAAATCCAATGATGCTCACTGACAAAATTCACATATGAGAAATGGCCAATTGCTTTGCCCAGCACCAGAGAGAACATTTGGAACTCCTTGTTTGGGAACCTTGGATGCAACCTGCTTCCCAAGACTGTGACACATTATTGTCTTTTCATTCATTTAATTTCCACCCTTCAATTGGCTTAACAAGTGGAAACTAGATTTGGTTGAATTCTTTTTACCATCCCAGTTGTTGGTTATCCTTTGTGTAAAGATATAGTACTCAATGGCTGTCCTAAATGTTCCCATCATAACCCTGAACTTGTCCTACTGACTTGGTATGCCTAAATAAAATTGTTCTTTATTTACTTTCTTTGTCCCACTTAGCATTGTCTATACTTTAATATGGTCCTCTTTCATATCCCTCTTTTCAAGACTGAAGTGCCTTAGTTTCTCTAATCATTTATCGTATCTCATAGCCTCTCTGCTCTGATATAACAACACTTAAAACCGTGCTTTCAGTCATTGTTCCCCTCCTCACCCCTCCCTCCCACTCAGCTTCCATCCTCTGCACCAGAGTCCGGCCAGAACTGTCAAGCACTTGGGGTGTTCTCCCTACATGAAAGGCGCCAATGTAAATGTAAACTGCATCGTATTAAAATTCCAGCAAAACTGACACCAATTACAATAACAGAGTAATTGTAATTGTAATTGACACCAATTACAAAAGAATCAGATTCAAGATGGAAAATGGCTTGAACATTTCCATTTGTGCTTCCTTATGGAATTGTTAAAAGGGTTACTTTTTAATTCTAATTCTTTCTTTGGCACTTGGAAGAATTTATGACATTTTCGAATTCTGTAATTTTGAATGAGAAACAAAAAGCAGCCAATTCATCAAGAACCTTCCGTCTTACTGAAACACAGGTTAATAAATTAATACTCTCCGAGGTGTGCACTTTTTGTTGCATGTTTTCAGAAGAGTTTTCTCCTGCAACCATAGATTTATGTTAGCTAATTTTTACGCGATAAAGCAGTCCAAATGTAGGTCGAGAAACACATTTAATATACTGCAGATTTTGACACATTAAGTTAGCTACACATTTCTAAAGCTCACCATATGTGAAATTTAATAATTCAGCAAAGGGCATTTATCAGAGTGAAAAGAACAAAAAGATGAGGACAAATCGGTCCTGGGTAAACAGTTGTGGGTTCAAGCCCCACATCGGGACTTCGAGACATAGTCTTGGCTGACACTCTGATGCAACCCTGGAGAAAACACTGTATTGTCGGAGTTGTTGTCCTTCAGATGAGACATTAAAACAAATCCCGTCTGTTTGATTGAATGGATGTTAAAAATCCCATGGCACTATTCAAAAAGAGAAGGATGTTTCTTCCCTGTTTTCTAGTTAACAATCCCCCAAATAGATTTGGTCATTCACTTCTTGGCTGTTTGGTGCGAGGAAATTGGCTGCCTTGTTCAAAATACAGTCATTACACTTCATGGTAAACCCCATGAAGCGTTTTGAAATGTTTTGACAATGTGATAAGGTGCCATAAATATTGTAGACATTAATTATTTATTATTATACCCTACTTATTAGCAAAATTCATAAGAAGGAGGCTGTCTTGTGTTGCACAAGCCAGCATCTGTCGGTAAAGGTTCACCGATCTCATAAGGTCATTGAAAGTGCCAATCATATCAGGCACACAGCAAGAGTTAACCTGTGCTGTTCTAGTATGTATCCCTGCTCCAGGCAAAGGAAGTACAGCAGTTCACCTGTTCACTTATTATGCTGGAGAAGGGGGTGGGGGGGGGGGGGAGAACACAAAAGAGGTAGCACACCATTGTTTAAAATGTGACCATTAGAGAAAGAACGTGGATAAGGAACAACTGACTGAATTCTTTAAGGGAGCATTTCCAAACACACTGGAGTAAAACGATAGTCAAGTTGAATTGTGAACTGAAAAAGTCTTTTGGGTTCAAATCATCAACTGCCAGGTGGCCGTTAATAAAGGTAAAATGTTAGCCACACAATCCTGCTCTCTTCTCACCCACACAGCACAACTAGCAATTGTTAACAAGAGAGGGCTGCTTGTAAAACTCAATCGAACTGATGTGGAATTGTGCCATTGCGTAGTTTGTACAGGGTGCTGTGACACTCTTAGTGCTTTGGCTGTAAATAAATTGAAAGCACTTACACGGGTACACGTGCTTGTCAGTAAGGACATGCCTGTGACATTTAAAACATGATCTAAATGAGTTGCCAGAATAATGCTGTAAGCTGAACTGTGGCATTCAGTTAGATTTTCCTCCTGTTTGTTTTCAAAGCTCCTGTTTTATGAGTAAGCTAACCTTTCGGCTAGAAACAGACGGATGGTCTGATGCCCCAATGCCTTGCAGTACACTTGGTGCTTCCTCATCAATGTGTTCTGTCTTATCAAGGCACCACTCGGGAGCCATATGGTGTTCTCTATGTATGATCGCCAGTTACACTGTGAAAGGATGACAGTTCCAATGGTGCAGTGGAAACAGCTGCAGCTCCCAGCCTGGGAGCTCGCTGGTTAGAGCGAGGGTTCCTTGTTCGAACGAGCGAGTATGGATTAGTGAGGAGAAAACTAGCTTCAAGTCCCTCAATTGGTTGCACATATGTGTTTGGGGGAGGGGAACAGCTGGGTGAGAAGATGTCAGACTTTGCTGTGACGCCCACCACAATTGAATGACTTGCCGACACTCACTGCCAAGGCTCACATATTGAACAATGGCCACTTGAGCAGGACACCAGAGAGCAACCAGTTTCCAAGTATAAACACACTTCAGCCTTGAGGTGGTTGGGGACCAAGAGTAGAAATATATGCTCAGTATATCACTAAATAACTCTCAATTTAACAATAATAAAGACAAAAAAAGTGAAAGGTTTTGTTAACAAATGACGAGGAAGAAAATGAATACAACATGTGACTTATATTAACCCAACCTTCAGAGGAAAATACTGCCATACCCAGTCACTGTGCAGAGTTTCAAATGCCGTACTTTTCTTACAGATACTTACTTAGCATTTCCATACAATTATCTTTAATGAACTGTTTGGATTAAGACCATTCATTTTATCACCATTGGAGGGTTGGGGAATGGGTTGGAGGAGAAAGCAGCTTTTGGGACCTAGTCATGTGGTGCAGTCCCCACCACTGATAACAAGATTGGAATCACATCAGTGTCATTAGTTGCAGTGAATTTTATAAGCAGTCCTCTCTGAACAAACCTGCACTGCACTGTGTGGGTGGAAAAAGGGTAGGATTTTGTTGCTCACATTTTACTTTCACAAACATGCGATCGAAAGTCACGATTTTGTACTGCTGAAGAGGGCTCAGTCACTGTTCATCACTTAATTTTTTTAAAAAAAGGCCGACTGTTTTTTAAGGGAACAATACATTGTTTATACACAGAGTTATTTATCCATCAGAATATATTTCTGGCACTAGTACCAGAAAAAATTCCTTCCTCTTCCTTCTCTCCCCCTGCCCACAGTATAGAGATGCTAAGAATTAAAAAGAACAGGGGGTTATTTATAATAATCCTTGCGTTAGATACAGAACTTTACCACATCACTGAAATGTCCAAAGAGCTTCCCAGGATTTTAATGTAAAGTGCGGTGACTGTGTGTTTGAAGTGAATGACTGATTTTGTATGGAAGGTTGTTGGCCAGGAAGAAAGGGGTAAGAGAAGTTTACAAAAACATCAGCATAGATCAAGCCTTTAAATTATAAAGCATACCCATTAATGAGGGCAATTGTTAGCATCCACAGTGTGAGCCAGCGCCTGTTACAGAGGAGGACTGCTTGTAAAATTCACTTCAATTCATACTGGAATTATGCCATTGTCTATTTCAGATGAGCTGCTTTTGCAGTGTTAAAATTAAGTGGTTGTAGTGCAAATTGAAAGCACTTATCCGTGTATCAGCATCAATGTTTACACTACAAACACTTAATTTTAATGCTGCAAAAGCAGCATATAGAAGATAGACAACAGAATTAATTCAATCGTGAAATGTGGTGAGTTTTACGAGTTGTACTTGCCTGTAACAGTCACTGGCTAGCACTGTGGGCGGGAGAATGTTAGCATACATGTACAAACTAATGATCCCAGCCGCATTTGATTATTGCCACTCATTATACGAGAAGTGAAGCCATAAAGCAAAATTGTAAGCACCCTATCCACTGATAGCAAAGACTTGTCAGCTTCCACGCTCTCCCTCCCACATCAGAAGCTGGATGTCAACCAGCACGAAAGGCTGTGCAGCTCTTCAGAGCAAGGCGTTTGAGAGTGGCTGTGACTTGAACATGGGTCTCCCTTCCCCCATGAGGAGGCAACTTCCAAACTGCAACGCAATGCCTCCGCAGAACACAAAGCCAAGACAGCGCAGTCACTACGTAATGGCAATGGTGAGTCCCTGAGAGACTGCATACCAAAGTACACCGTCCTTCACTGTAACATAACATCACTGTTGTATTATTCAGCATCAACCGAGCAGAGAAGCTTCAAATTTTAATGGGTTTGAATCTTCATTCGTTGGTAAATCCACTGACCTAGTCGTCAAGGGAATCTGAATCTTACTTCGACAGGACATTTATCAGAAGCATAATTTTGGATGCCCTGAGACAGCAAAACAAGAGGACACATGCATTGACACATGCACTCCATTGGCTCCCTAACCTTCAGAGAATCCACTTCAAGATCCTGGTCCTCACCTACAAAGCCCTCCATGGCCTCGCCCCACCCTACCTCTGCAACCTTCTAACCCACTACCAACCCACCCACTCCCTCCCCTCAGCCGGCTCCGGCCTGCTCCACGTCCCAAGACCCACCCATCCCACCATTGGCGGGAGAGCCTTCAGCCACTCTGCCCCCAACCTCTGGAATTCCAATCACTCCGCCTCGCCCCCTCCTTTCCCTTCTCCCTCCCTGACCCCAGGTCGTGTCTGAAATGCTGTACACTGTCCAGCGCCTTGGGAAGTCCTCCCAACGTGAAAGACGTTATACAAATGTAATCTTCTTGTTGTTGTTGCTGGGTTGCAAAGGACAACTTCAAGATAGATAACAAGAAATATATCTTTACTCAAAGGAACACACCCCCAAATAAAATGAATCAATTCATTTCATGGCTGTCTGTGGGATATTGCTGTGTGCAAATTGGCTGCTGTGTTTGCCTACAAAATAGACAGTAACTGGCTTTAAAATATATCATGCAAAGCACTTTAAGATGTCCTGGAAGGAAAGTAGCCAGTTGCACATAGCAATGTCCTACAAACAGCCATGAAGTGAGTGACAAATTTTATTTTGGGGGATTGTTGGCAGGACACCGGGAGGGAGAAACTCCCTTCTCTTTTTGAATAGTGCCGCGGGATCTTTAACATCCACCTGAACAGGCAGACAGGATCTCGGTTTAACGTCTCATCGGAAAGACAGCACCTCCAACAATGCAACAATTCCCCAGCACTGCATTGGAGTATAATCTTAAATGATGTGATTCCAAGTCCCGACGCGGGGCTTGAACTCATAACCTTCTGACTCAGAGGCGAGAGTGCTACCTGACACACATGGAGGCATGATGTTTTCTTTTTAAAGGAACTTTATCAGAGTTGCTCTGCCACAATATAACATTACCAACAGACCTTAAACCCTTTAGAAGCGGCGATGTGGGCAGCGGTCCAGCCTTCTTTGTCAGCATGGTTTATTAAGTCGGCTGAAACCATAGGTTCTGCTCTGGATTTATAGCTCCCTTCTGCACATTCAGGGGTAATGGAGCCCAATTTGTGCTCTGAATCATCCACCAACCTTCTGTCCCCAGATACTTGGTGATACATGAGAAGCTTCAGGCAATCTATGTGATCAGAATTCACAGCTGCATGGAAGGGTGTCCAGCCATCCTGAAGGAGAAACAGAGAGAGAGAAAAAACGGAAATCTTTGATTTTAGTTCAGCGAGTTTGTTATCTCAATGTCATGTTGCATTATCATTTAAACAAGAAATGGCCCACGTGCATTATAAGGCTAAATAACAAGTTTAATTGGATTCACATGCACAATTTCCAAATATCTTCATTATCTCATAGCTGCTAATTTAACCTCAAATGTGTAGAAAGCCACGTTGAGTGTAAGATCCTAAATGGGAGAATTCAGCAACAGGCACTACATAGGTAGACACTAAATAGCAACCCTGGACAAGTTATGGTCTTGCAAAAGACAAGTAAGTCTTGACTAACAGGCAAAATTAAAAATTTAAAAATTAAATTTGTCGAACAGTTTAATCTTCCCTTAGAATCAAGGCCTCTGTGACCCAAAATGTCACCTCGTCTGAGCCTGCAGCCTGCTTTGGATTGATGGAAAATTCGCGAATTTAATCTCAATTTGGATGCCAGATTCTTTTTTTGAAAGAAGCGAACTACGGAAAAACAGCTTCCAATTTAGGAATAAATCAAAGAATTGCCCATAATTATGCAAATGTCTTCAATTTTACGATGAAAATAATCTTTAAAACTGAGACAGGATGGAGTTTCGAGCCTGTGAGATTACAGGGATGAAAAAAAGAATGAATGTATCTGAGAGAAGGTGGTGAGTAAACCGCATCCTTTTCCTGTATCACATTTCTCTTACAGGGACAATGAATCGAACTTCCAGGAAGCAAATCCCTGCTCCCCAAGTCACTTAAGGTAGTTGCCTCAGGAGTGGCTGAAGTACAATTATAATTTAATTTCCAATTTAAAATAAAGCATTTCACAAGATACTGAATTGGAATTATGATTGAAGATTTAAATGGTTTTTCAAGCACGGCTGGCTTACACCACAGCACTTCCTAATGACATTTTCAATTGCCTGGAGGATATACATCTTGAAAACACTGTATATTGAAATAGGATAGCTGCAAAAAAACTAATGTAAACAATATTTAGTCAGCATTTTACACTGCACCAAAGATATGGTGTTGATAGTTGGCCAATTATTTAGCAATTGATGTAGACTGCAAACAGCTGCTCTACTGAGAAGCAACATTACACAAAGCTCCGAGCAAGGCAGTCAAATCGCACTTTCTGTACATGAGCAGCTCATCCCTACAGATTTGCCTTCTACACTTTTCATGGAAAAAGTACTCAGAGCAACGCTGAGCAACTCCCAAAGTAGCTCATGCTTGGAGTGACCAACACTGGTTAGGTGACTCTGGGTGCTGTTTACTTTGGCAGATATTTCCTTGGCAACTTGATCTTTAAGGAGCTGGAACTCAAATATCCCCTTTGAGGTACATAACATAACATGTAGGAACAGAAGTAGGCCATTCGGCCCTTCGAGCCTGCCCCACCATTCAATCATGGCTGATCTTCTAATCTAACTCCAGCTAATAACTTAACCCTGCCGTATCCCCATATCCCTTAATCCCTTTTGCAATAAGAAATCTATCTATCTCAGTCTTGAATATGTTCAAGGACTGAGCATCAACAGCCCTTTGGGGTAGTGAGTACCATACATTCACCACCCTTTGAGTGAAGAAGTTCTTCCTCTGATTTTAAGGTTGTGACCCCTGGTTTTAGTTTCTCCGACCAGGGGAAACAATCTCCCACTATCTACTCTATCATGCCCTTTGATAATCTTATAAGTTTCTATAAGATCCCCTCTAATTCGTCTATATTCTAGAAAATATAGGCCCAAATTGGTCAGCCTATCCTCGTAACTCATCCCCTTCATCCCTGGTGCTAACCTAGTAAATCTACGCTGCACCCCCTCCAAGGCAAGTACATCCTTCCTTAAATAAGGAGACCAAAACTGCACACAGTATTCCAGGTGTGGTCTCACCAGGACCCTATATAGTTGAAGCAAGACTTCCCTACCCTTATACTCTAATCCTTTCATAATGAATGCTAACATACTGTTCGCCTTCCTGATTGCTTGCTGCACTTGCAGACTAACTTTCTGTGATTGGTGTACAAGGACACCCAAGTCCCTCTGGACTCTAACACATTCCAATCTCTCCCCTTCTAAAAAATAACCCGCTCTACTGTTTTTGCTACCTAGGTGGATGACTTCGCACTTCCCTACATTATACTTCATCTGCCACCTACCTGCCCAATCACCTAACCTATCTATGTCTCGCTGCATTTTTTAATGTCGTCCTCTGTGTTGACACTTCCTCCTAGTTTTGTGTCATCCGCAAATTTAGATATATTAATTTGATCGTTGATGTAGATGGTAAATAGCTGAGGCCCAAGGACTGATCCTTGTGGCACTCCATTAGTCACATCCCGCCAATCTGAAAAGGACTCGTTTATCCCTACTCTTTGTTTCCTACCCGTTAACTATTCCCCAATCCAAGTTAATAATTCCATGGGCCCTTATCTTTTGGACTAACCTTTTATGCGGTACCTTATTGAATGCCTTCTGGAAGTCCAAATAGACCACATCCACTGATTCACCCTTATCTAGTTTAATCGAAATATCCTCAAAAAACTCTATGAGATTTGTCAAACATGACTTCCTTTTTGTAAAGCCATGTTGACTTGGCCTAATTATATTGTGCTCCCCTAAATACCGCACTACCACATCCTTAATCAATGATTCTAAAATGTTAGCTTCAGAGAACACACTTAGCTTGTGGAGTTGCAGTCCACATTAATGTCTCCATCACACATGCACTCTCTCTCTCGCACTGTACCAAATCCCCCCCCACACCCAATCTCCCCTTCTGCAGATGGAAATACTTGAAACTATTAAATCACCATTGCAACAGTGTCCTTGATCTCTTACAACCGACAGATGCTGTTCACATGGGATGCTTAGCGTCCTAACTTAGCAGCGTTGTCAACCAGAGTTTTGAATTCGATCAGAAGCGCGGTGTGGCCTTTGTGATACAGAGAAAAAAAACGCCCTGAAGCCGATAATCACTGCACTAGAGCAGCAGAACGAGGTCCCTTCCTCACCAATGCTGACCTACATTATACAGCTGCTTTTCATCATTTCATTGCCTGTTCGCTGCCGCCGTATGTTGGATGGTTTGCTTGCCTGTGTAATGGAGATGGCGACGAAGAATTCTGGATATTGTAAGCAGGTCATTCCCTCCCGCACTGTCATTAGCTGTGACAAAGCTGCACCAACTGTTCAAACAGCCGAAAAATCTATATTTAGCGCCTTTTGCAACCACCTACCCCTTGTCACTAGAAAATGATTTTGACGCTTGAGCTCCAGGTGAACTGTGTCAACAGGAGTGTCAGGAATCCGCCGTGAGATTCACACGGCAGCATATTAAAGGAAGCGATGCAGCACTGAACAGTGTGTGGTGCTAAAGGATCTAAAATGAGCAACGGGTCAAACACAATTCCAATTCTTGTTGGGAATTTCACTTCTCCCACCGGCGATCACCATATTCACTTAGTTGTTTACCAGCAACTGTCTAACAGCTGATCCCTGGGGGCTAATGCTCCTGATTCTTGTACATTCTCTTTCCTGTCTTGTCTTCTCCGAGGCCTAGTTCTCTTATTAGATCTACTCTGTTTCTTCTTTCCTTGCTATCCCCGGGCTCTCAATGGATCTCTCTTCTCCTGATATGCTCCTCTTGACAGCTGTTCGCATTTTAAAGTGAGTCGTATGCTGTGTCATCAAAAAATGAATCAATGTACCTGCTTCTATGGCCTATAGTTCCTGTACTTACACTGGTCACTGTGTTACGATCAGCTCCAGCTTCCAGTAAGGTAAAAGTACATTCAGTGTGTCCATTTACACACGACAGATACAGAGGAGTCAGGCCTTCTTCACCAGCATGGTTTATGCTTGCACCGTAAGTAGTAAGCACCTTAGTGCACCTACAAAGGTGAAGGTGGGAAATAAACAACATTAAATCACATGCCAGAATTGATAATAATAATAATAAATAATACTTGCATTTGATATAGCGCTTTTTACGTCTTCTAGACGTCTCAAAGCGTTTCACAGAATATACTGTAAAGTGAATTAACTGTATATTTGTGGGTGAAACGCGGCAGCCAATTGTGTACAGCAGTGTCCCGCAAACAGTCGTGAATTGAGTGACCAAATTATTATCGCTTTTTTTGTTTGAGAGATTATTATCCCTGGAAAAGCGATCTGCCAATCAACTAACAACTGGGTTCCTACTTACTGCCAGGTAAACAGAGGCATGTGGAGTAAGGAAACTTGACCAACATTTCGCCCTGCTGGGAAACAAACCCAGATCACTTGCTTGCGAGGCGAGTGCTCTAACCACTGAGCTACAGGACTCCAAACAGGTTGTGTAAGTTTAACAACAATTCCTTTCTCTGCTCGCCAGAAATACTGCTACAGTATGAGATGGTTCTGCGGTGATAGAATCCCTAAACACTGTGCAATAGTGGAAGGATGTGGGTTTAGATCCACAAATCTCCACATATAGAGCTCTCAACCTCACGGCATGTCACCACAGGGAGGTAGTGTGTGGCTGCCAGATGGTTTCCCACAAACTAGACGGATTGGGGTGGGGGTGAGGGGAAGAGAAAGTGAGTCATCCTAGTGTTCAGGCATCTCCCGAGACTTAGTACTGAGCAGTTCTGGCACAAGTCCATCAGAGTCATCACACACCTCCTGCTCACTTGTGGGATGTCAAGAGGTGAGATTAGAAAATAACTTAGATTTAGGAAAAAAATACCATTGTTAACTAAAACAACTCACGTTTATATAGGGTTTATTTTTGCGGGGGGTGGGGGAGAAATCGATTATAGAAGAAAAGCCTCTACAGAATGAGGTTAATTAGAAATAAAGTGAATGCTGTTATGAGGGTAAACATGGCACCTAATTTAAAATTATACATTCATCATCCAAATTTATTTTACAATAAAAAAATCAAGTTGCAGAGATGCTAAAAGACATGGTCATTGAAATTTAGAAGTAAAATGAACTATTTCAAACACTGAAATAGAACCATTGAGTGTAACTCACTGGGTACATGTTTGGATCTTAAACATGAAGCTGTGAGTGAGGAAAGGGCATTCAGTCCATTATGCCCACTCCTTCCACAAGCTATACAGGTAGCTTATCGTGGACTGCATTCCATTCGTTCCATCTCCAAAGTCAACGACAACCGGCCACTTCCTTTAGTACTTTGGATCTGATTGGCAATGGAGAAAATCCTCTAAATGTTAAACCTTTGCCCTCCAGTTTGGGGCTCTCAGATTAAGCCAGATAACCCATTGACATCCATGTCCCCCTGTACTTTCTCCATTGAAAAATTCAGCTATGCCCTAGGTTCCACTCCTCTGAACTCTTGCCAATGCATCAATGTCCTTCAGACGAAAGGGTGTTCAATACCGTACTCAATCCAAATATTGCCCTATCAGTGATCTGATAAGATCAGTCTGAATGAAGAAGGCCTTTTGGCCCATCCCATCCGATCCCTCCTGAACACCCATCCTGTCATCCTCCCACTCACTGCATCAAGATGCTTTTTAAATGAGTCCACTGTCCAGGCCTCTACCACCTTTCCTGGCAACATGTTCCAGTCATTGATTAACTTCTGCATAAAGAATAACAACAACAACATTACATTTGTATAGCGCCTTCCTACTATCTGCCCTGAAATGACCCTTTACAACCCCGAACCTATGTCCACCTGTTCTACTGTCGTGTTGCATCCTAAGTATTACTCTGGGTTTACTTTTTCAATCCTATTTAAATTTTTATACACCTCCTATGAGGTCCCCTCTGAATCATCATCTCTCAAGACTGAAGAGCCCTAGCTTGTCTAATCTGTGCAGAGTTTGGATACTTTCTTTTAACTTATGGTAAAATGCTCTCGAGACCAGAGAGATAAGGAGGTACCAATGGGTGGATGGATAGATTTATAGGTATTGAGTGTGAGGTGGGGACTGAGGAGGGTGATGTTGCATAAGTGAAGGAAGGCGATCTTGGTGAGAAACCAGCTGTGAGGGAGAAAGGAAAGCTGGGAATAGAACCAGGCACCAAGGTTTGGGGAGTTTGAGAGAGAGGGAGAGGGCCGTTGAAGAGGTCAGAGCCACAAGAGGAGAGACATAGGTTGGGTTCATCGGCACACTGAAAAACTATTACAAGAAGTACTTGCCCAACATGTCCGTTTGCAGCAGCTGCACACAATGGCGTGAATCCATTATTCTCAGCAGCATCAATCTGTGCTCCTGAGGACAGCAGCAATGTTACACAGTCTGTAGGGAAATGGGTTGAAGAAAATTAAAGAGACATATATCAGTGCTAGCTTCAGCAGACATTATTACACATGTAACAATAAGGCCTTGCAATAAGCTTCAGGCAGGTTTTCAATACAGCACGAGGCATGTCAGGCTTCGAAAATGGTGAATGCAAAGCAAGAATTTCTCTCCCTCGTACCTCCCAATTTATTTTGTACTCTAACCCATGAGCAAAAAAAATAAAACAGCATGTTGCCAGTGTACATAAAGATAAATTATATTAACAACCTGAAATTGCCTTGCAAGTTGGTTACAATTGCAAAAGCCCTTTATAGAATGCCAGAAATACATTGTATTATTCAGTCAATATTGCTGAAACATGTAATTGCATTAATACGGATGTTGATTGAAAGCGTTCTTAACTACGAAATACGCAGACGCTACACTTTATGGTAAATCCTGTGAGGTGCCCTGAGGCAATATCCAATGCCAGATATATAATTACTACTAATAATGATGATTTAAAAAAGGCATTTTGTCATGACAAGTTTGAAAAACTGGTGGTCTTTTATAGTTATGCACTGTGCTGACAGATTCCCAATCACCAAAGTAAGGGAACTAAAAATCTTGAGCAGAAATTACCATTAGTGCTGGCTGGTAACAGTACAAAAGGCAAATTAAAATCTATGTTAAATTAATCTAAATGGTGTGTTTACCTCACTTGGAGCTACGCAAACGCCTGATTGGGATCTCGGTGGTGGGGGTGGTGGGAGGGGGGGGCGGGGGGAGACTGCAGACACAGTGGGCTGAATGTACTACTTCTGCTTTGTAATTTTTTTATGATTTAAAAATAAATCAACTACCTGTGACCCAATCAATATCACACTGCTCTGTAGTTGATAAGAGATGAATTTGCACTGGTGAACAGCTCGAGACTGCAGTGATTGAAACCTTCATGATTTTTCTTTCCGTCTGATTAATATTCCTTTCTGTTCACACAATACAATTTTACAATTTACATTTATTCAGTGCCTTTCATGTCCTGAGGATGTCTCAAAATGCTTTGTAGGTGCGTGTGGGGGAGGAAAGCTGACCGAATGCACGGTTTGAAGAGGTGAATCTTAAGATGGCCTTTTAAAGTGGGGAGTGAAGGGACGAGCTGGAAGGACTCCAGGATGGAATTCCAGAGAGCAGGGTGGAGGTATGTAGATTGGCTGCTCACCAGTGGTGGGACAGATCCGGTGGGGGACATGAAACAGGCCAATGTTTGCTGAGCAGAGGGAGTGGCCAGGTCGGTAGAGTTACAGGAGGTCACAGAAGGATGGGGTGAGGCAATGAAGGGATCTGAACGTAAGAACCTCAATCTTGAATTTTATGTACCAGACTCGACGAGTTAACCAACCATCCTTCACATTTCAGGTTACAAACATAGTTATTGTTTACGCTTTTGCTTGTCATAGAAGCATGAAAGTAATCCATGTTTACCTCAAGTCGCGCCCACACAGGTCAGTGAGTACAACTTCACCAGCTTCTAAAAAGTGTTTGCAAAGCTATTCAGAAATGGACAAGTACCACCATCACAGCATATTCAAATACTTCACTAGTTCGGACCAGTGTATTGTTATGATGAATGATGAAATTGATATCGAGAGAGAAAGAGAGACAGAGATAGAGAGAGAGAACTGTGAAAATGATCCAGATTCTCAGTTTATAGCAAACAGTTTGAAAAGGATCAGCAAATGATTTTTTTTCAGACAGAGACTAGTTTCCAACAAAATCACGTGACTGATCCAACAACAGCACAGCAAGAGCGGATCCTGAAAGCTACGGAAACAGCGTTGTGCTAAAGGATTAACATCCACTCGAATGAGTCTGCTTAAACGAGCAACATTCATCACAATCACCAAATCTTTGACCGACCCTTTTGTTTTAAATGTGCAGTAGAAATTGAACAAAGGAGGTGGGAGAGCAATGTGTGGCATTTAGACACTGGTGGCCAATCCTACATGGTGTGAATTATTAATGCCAATAGTCAGTGACCCAGCATGACTGAATAAAGGACAAAGAACTAATTAAAGCACAAGGCAAAGAACTGAACGCTTCAATTAGCTTGAGGCTCCTTATCCTGAAGCTACTGGATCAATCCCTATGTCAATCCACAGCTGAAGAGGAGCCATCTTTAACTTTGATTTGTACAGTGCCCTTCATATAGAATAACATCTCAAAGCGCTTACAGTGGAGAGGGGGTGACCATAGTTAGGTTTTAAGACAGGACTTGAAGACAGATATACAGGGACCGACGGAAAGGTCGAGCTAGACAGTTACAGAGGTTAACGGCATAGAATCAGAAAGCTTTACATTTATTTCATGCAAATGTTCCTTTTTCAAAGAAATGTTCAATTCAGAAAATATTTTGTGGACAACCCATTTCGATCAGGAATATTTAATGAATGCTCTGGCATTTGGTTTTTGCTCCAAATGCCTCTGGAACTACAACACCAACAAGATTCCATTTATAGAGCGCCTTTAACGTCGGGAGGACGTCCCAAGGTGCTGTACAGTTGGGTCAGGAGCAAAGGGGAAATGGTCAGGGTGAGGGGAGGGAAGGAAGGGAGCGAGGAGGGGGTAGAGAGTCGAGAGGGAAGCTGAAGGCACGGTCAAAGAGAAAACTAACAATAATAATACTGATAATCTTTGCATTTAATATAGTGCCTCATCACATCGTTGAGATGTCTCAAAGCACTTCACAGGATATACTGTAAATGGATTGGCAGTGTATTTTGTGGGTGCAACATGGCAGCCAGTGCACATAGCAATGTCCCACAAACAATCAGGGAGTGAGTGACCAATTTTATTTTCGGGAACTGTTGGCTAGAACATTGGTTAAAAAACTTTTCTCCTTTCAAATATTGCAATAGGATCTTTAACATACTTGCATGGGACCTCTATTTAACATCTCATCCGAAGGACGGCCTCTCCAACAATGCAACACACCCCCAGGACTGCATTGACGTGTCAGCTTGGACTAATTGATTCCAAGTCCCAACATGGATTTATCAAGAGTTACCATCAAATTTAAGACAGGAATTTTTAAGCTAAGAATAAATTATTTTATTTTATTCCTACCTGCTCCTTTCTTCATTCAAGGCACGTATCAAAATATACCACTTTGTCTGTGTTTTCGATCATCTTTCCCACCCCAAATTCAGGTGTCCTGCCAGCAGTGTAAAGTGTGTTGAGATGTCTTTCCTACATGAAAGGAGCTATATAAATGTAAATTGTATTGCACATTTATTTTAAGCCAGGAATAGATGACCTCAACCGTCAAAGTAGCCCGAATACTATACTCAGTGAATTAATGACCTTAAAATTTCTACACTGAAAAATATAGGAAATATGTTGGCCACAAAGAAACTTTCTATTCCTAGATGAAAAACCATGCTAGGAGTAGTGAGTGAAGGCAGATTGAACTGCTTTCAGAACTCCTCAGTGTTCAGTAACACAGAGATTATCTAGAAAATGGTTGGTGCACATCGGGGAACTTTTTGGGTCAGCTGAGTACCTCAAACATCACCATGCTTAAAGAGCATCCAAACCAGATGGAGAATTCCACATATGTAGGCCACTGACAAATGGAAATCTCCCTGTGTCTGGAATAGAATATGCAGTCTCTCCCTCGGGAGAACACATCCCGTTTACCGAATTACGGTAAATATTCGGGTCAAGTTTGCGAGTGTCAAGGCTTGGGGAGCCCACATTGTGCTTTGGGGCAATGTGGAGTTTAATCAATTAAAACTGCATAGATTGTCACTGAGAGCACCGTCCAGCAGGTTTTCCCACTACTTGTCCAGCCTACAGGTACCTCGAAAAGTGCAGCACTCACCCCACTTAATTGGGGTGACATCACTAGACTTTGAGTTCAAAGTCTCAGTGTTTAGTAACACTTACACACATGCACGAACTAAGCAGGTCATTACTTATCAGAAAGAGAACATCAATTCCAAAGTTAACTGCAAATTGGAAATGGTGAAGATTTGGAAATAAGCCCCTATATATAGTGAGGTGCTGACAATGGTGTTTAATCTGTTGCCGCACAGGACAAATTCAAACTCCAAGTGTTTCCTCAGCCATTGCTTTTGTCCCAGTTGTCTACAAATGAAAGGTTGCAATAAATCTTTTACTAGTTTTATGACAGAACCAGGACTTCAAACGCACTCATAATTGGAGCAGTAACAATGAACTGTAAAGTGTGATTCCTCCTGGAAACCAGGAGTCTGTCACACTGACATGTAGAAAGTCCACCAGAAATTCCACGTTGTCTTAGCCTGCACGGTCTTTTTTACCTTAAAATATTAGATTGCGCAGAATTATGGAAAACTCTTCAATCCTGTTTGGAAAGTTGGAGTTTGGTTCTTTTTAAGATCTGTAGAAAAATAGCTTCCCAAATCAGGATCGAGTTTAAAAATTTTCCACAACTCCACGCACGCAATTTTAAGGTAAAGTGGGCTTACAGGCTATGACTAGATCGGCCCCTCCAAGTCCTGCTGATGAGCCAGGCTGGCTGAAGACCTGGCGTACTGCAGACCTGCCTGGCTCAGGAACCTGCTTGACTACCCTCCTCCCACCCCAAAATTCTTAACTTCGGCTCATTAGCCAGTCTCAAACTAAGAGATCAGCTGATATAATTATAGGTGTGTAAATTGTTTAAAACACAATGCTTGTTTAAGTCAGCGATTTTAGGTTGTAGGAGCGTGTGAGCCTGACACCATCAAGGAGCTCAAGGAAAGGGAAAGGACAAAATTAGAGCCAAGCATGGTTTGAAGGAAGATCAGAGAATATTCAAGCTAAGGACTTGGTGAGTGTGCAATGCACCATCCCAGAAGACTCTAGATGCAGAATGAGACATTTAAAAGGGTGTTAAATACAGAGATAGATGGGAAACGAGGGTGTTTAGGGATATGGAGAAAAGAGGTACCAGAAAGTGCCTACATTACTATGCATGAGTCATGGGGATAGAGAGAGGATTATAACCTCTGAAAGGATGTTTAGAGAACTTTTTGTTCTTTGGCATTCTCCATTAAAACATTTTAACATTTAGCTGGACTGCAAGCATAACGCACAGCACGATACAAAGGCTTAGATTCGACCCCGAGGCCAACGTTCAACTCCCACAGTTGACCGAACAGAATCAGTATTTTTACAGATGGCGCTGACTGTGCAAAATTGTGTAAAACTCTTCAATTGTGTTTGGGGGCAGCTGTTGGTTTTACGCACAGCGCTGACCTCGCAAACCTATGCAATCGTGGATTTATTTATTTATTTGGCATATGTTGCACCTAGGTCACACACCCCTGTTCAGGTGGACGTTAAAGATCCCAAGGCACAATTTAAAATGAAAAGTGAGTTTCTCCTGGTTTTCTGGTCAACAATCTCCCCTGCCCCCCACTACTCCCCGCCAACAAAAGTGATCATTCACTTCATGACTGCTTGTGGGACATTGCTGTTTGGCAAATGGGTTGTCGTGTTCACCCCGCAGTCACTACACTTTATATGTGTATCCTGTGAAGCACTTGGAGACATCCACCTGATTCAAACGCACAATACCAAATGCAAGGATTATTATTGTTATTATTATTTCAAGAAATAGCCAAGTATATTTAAGTTTGCAATTTGGAAACTGAACACTGAACAACGCAATTTACCTGTATATCCATTTTTAGCAGCAGAATACAAGGCAGAGGAACCGTCCTGGTCAAGGTGATTCATATCAATTCCATCTTCATTCAGCAGCATTGACAATAAAGTGACATTTCCCTGGGCAGCAGCTTGAAGCAGAGTGGACCTGGCACCCAGGGGGACAGGACCACCAGACATTGACGGGGGGGTTAGGGAGGGAGACCTGCCTGTGAGTTAAAGTGACAAAGTGATAAGGGGGAAGGAACAAGTGAATACCATCTGTTTTCATGCACTGATGCTGCAGCACAAGGTGCAAAGGAAAAAGCACACGACCTTCATTTTAAGCATCAAACAGATATCAAGCATTTAGAGGTCAATGGAGTATTTCTGCTGGGAATTTCAATGTGCTTCTCAATCCCGCTGGGACACACATTGTGCTTTTTTATTTCTGTTGGCAATTTGCAAGTGCTTGCTTACAAAAATACAGTCACTACACTCCACAGTATACCCTGTGAAGTGCTTTGAGACATCTTCCCAACGTGAAAGGCTCTATATCAAATGTAAGAATTGCTTATCATTATTATTAATTCCATTCCGTTTTTAAAACAGATAGTTTGATTGTATGTTCATTGGAAAAGTTTAACCAAAAGCCTAAACCGGAATTAGAAGCATTCCGAGTGAAAAAAATATATATTCCAAACTGGTTTAGCAATGATTTTCACTTGAACTGTTCCTTCAGGGAGAAGCACAATGATGAAAGATCTAAACTTTCATTATTTTCAATGAAACCAAAAATATAGCTTCTCTTGAAATAAGATCAAAAGCTTCCACAGAGAGACACAATCTAAATGCATGTTATTGTTTTGGTCAATTAACTTTTCACATAAAAGTGAAATGAAACGTATCTAATGACATTGTTCATACTAGATTGTAAAGCTTTGGCTGATCCTTAGTACTTAAATGAAGTCTCAACGGTGTAAAAATCATGAATAAATATAAATTATGAAGGCCAAAATAATCCTTTGTTTTTGTAAGGTGATCTACTTTCAGACCAGGATTGATATGTTTAAAATGACAGCAGTTATGGTGCTAGATCTTCAATACATTAAAAAAACGGTGCTCAATAATGTCCACACCGAGGTTAATAACAAGATTAATAGCACATTACTTTACTCTGCCATTATCTCTATAGACAAATGGACAGGTTGGTTTATTCACACCATTAATTTGGTGATTTAGAGGTTTAGCTCATGAAGTGAGTAGTCTATTACGAAGTGTACGGAAGGCTTTGTATATCCTTCCTTGAACAAAAGGCTGCAAAGACAAGACAAAAACATAAAGGAAAAAGGAACAGGGTTTCGTTTTTGGACAACCCGCCCATCACATAGCGTCTTAATGTACTTCAGCAATAAAACAATCACACACCAAAGTCTACAACAGATTGTTAGATGAATGAATTGAGAGAAGCAAGTGAGGTGAAGACAGTGCACTTTTGGTGTAACCCTTTGTGTACAATGGTTCTATATAGGTATATAACGTAGCGATGCTTAAATAAAAGGATCATTCGTGAATCCCAGTTAGATTTAGGTATGTACACTTTTTTTTCTGAGGCCTTGGCATAATAGCCATCATCCCTATCTTTCGCAATAATAATATCTTCACAATATTTGGTAGCATAACATAGCAAGCACCATCTCAGGAAATTTTAAGTGCACGTGGTCAAGTGCAAGTGTAGTACTCAAAGGGTTAAACCAGTACACGTGAGCACATGGCAGCTACTCATTAGCGAAAAGAAGCAAACAAAAAAGCAACCATCTTACATCCATTAACTCTTCAGCAACATGCAGGAAAAAAGAAAGCTGTGGTGATAGATAGTAAAGTGCTGTCATTTTTGTTAGTGATTGAGATGTAAGTTTTTCTTAAAGCATTCCATGCCATGCCATGCACTGATCACCAGGTCCCAGGGATAGAAATACAACTGCTGGCATCAGCATCAGGGAGTGATAGAGCCAGTTAATTTCAGACCCAGTCATTGCTTTGTTTAAAAAAAATCCTCTCAATGCCAACATTCAAAGTGGATGCAGAACGCTATTAACTTGAAGACCGATCAAGTGTTTTGTAGCAAGATTTGCGAAGCAAAGAAAAGAGAATTCAGAAGGTTTTTTTTTGAATAAAAACAAAATGCAAAAAAAAACACAATTCCCCAAATCGTCAGTCTATAGCTAAAAAAAAGCCAGTTTAAAAAATTTTTCAGAACTATTTTAATAAAGCTCCCATAACGTGTGCATCCTTTCCTAGATCTGTGGATGCCTTGCATTCCTTTATCACCTCCAGAAGATTAGTAGGTGATTCAAACTGCAGACACCTGCACAGGTCGGAGGACTTTGCTGCTGGTGAATCTGGAGGAGGTTTAACTGATGCACAGTCATTGCTCAGGCATCAATTTCGAGAAGTACAAGACACCAAACCACACCTTAACTTGTCCTTTTGGTCCGCAAAAGGTACAAACAAACAATGTAGCTTTTTTTTTCCGCAGTGAGAGAAAAAAAGTTCAGCTTTTGTTTGTTTTGAAATATTTCGCACTTATGAAGCGTGCTTTTTTTATATATATATATATAAAAAAATTTAAAAACTGAGAATGTTAGCTTTATTGTACACAGGTGACCGCCAACAATTCAAAATCGCCATCAATTCAAAACAATGTTCAGAACCAAATAGTTAGAAGATCCTGAGATCGAACTTTTCACCATTAAGCTTTACGCGATTGATTTTTTTTGGTGTCATGGTTTAGATGGTGCTTTACGTGGGTGAGCGAAAGCAGCAAGAACGCAAGAAAGAAAGGCGTTTTGCACGTGTGCCATGGAGCGAGGAGACAGCAAGGCAGTATTTCAATCCCTTTACCTGATGCTGTGACCAGTAGATTGTCTGTGTCACATGTTCTAGAGGATGAGGTTCTTTTGGTTTCACTAGCAAGGTCTACGGAGGTGCTAGAGGAGATGGTGGTGATGATGAGGGAACATTCTGAGCATGCTGTTGGGTTCAGCCCAGGGGAGGGGGGAGGCCTAGGACCCACCTGAGATGTAGCCACGGCAGGGACAGCACAGCTGGCAGATACTACATCCACCGTTGGTTTGGGTGGCAGCTGCGGAGATGCTGTCTTTGGGAGAACCTCCTCGTGAGGTCCCCTATTTCCCAGAGACGGGCTGGAGGAGGGCGAGGCCACAGTTCGACCTTCAATCCGAGCGTTAAATCCAACCGCTGGGGAGCGGCTCCCATCCGCAAAGACTTTTAAAGGCGGGTGGGGGGACGCCGGGGTCTGCGACAATCCCGGCTTTTTTGGAGGGATGGGCGGAGGATTCCCTCGGTCAACTCTCGTCCCCGTGGGAGATTTTAACCCTGTAGGGGAATGAGTCAAAGAACTAGTCATTTTACCGACAGTCTGCGGATAAGACGGTGCCTCACCTGACGGTGGATGTGCCAGCCCAGGTTTTAAGTTACTAACGGTGAGATTTCGGTGTTCTGCGCCGAGCAGCGGCGGGTTGTTGGCACAAGGCGGCTTCAGCGTGCTCGGGGGGCCTGTGAAGCGGGAGAGGACGTGGCTGACGGTGTTCCGGGCAAGCTGCTTAGCCGGCGAATTGTCCCGGTTGGTGGGCGACAGGTCCCGGGAGGGAGACCCCACTCCGGCGCTGCCGTGCTTTTCCTGATCCACCGCCTGGGCTTGGAACTTAAAGCGAGCGGCCTGAATGCGGGGACTCAGTCCTGGCTGCAGCGGGGTGCACGGTGTGGGTGAGCTCAGACCAATCATTTGGACAATCAATCCGGGCGAGGAGCAAGGCGAGGGTGTCCCTGAGAGCGGAGGGGAAGTGCCTGCTGTGACGCTCTGCAACAGGGGGACTCCGGGCACCAAGTGCGGCCCAGCCCCTGGCCCAGGGCTGCTGCTGGCGCTGATGGCTGAGGGTCCGTTCTCCATCCCAGAGGAAATGACTTTGGTTTGTGTTGTGGACACAACATCCTCCGAATTGGACAGCAGTCTATCACCACTAGGCTTCCCCAGCCCAGCACTGCCGGGCAGGTTTAGTTTGGTACCTCCCGCTGAGAGAGGAGTCATGGCGGCAGGCTTGGTGGGCAGCGCTACGTTCGCCTTCTTGGTGTGACTTTCGCCGGCGTTGTCCACCAGAGTCCCCGTTTGGGAGCCGACGGTGAGGGTTGTGGGCTTCTTTGGCACACCAGCCGTATCTTTAGTCACACCGCTGGCCACCGAAGTTGCCCTGTTTTCTTTCGCGCGCTTAAGCTCCTCAATCGTCCTCTTGAAGTTCTCCACCTCCAACCTCAGATCTTTGGTACGATTCTCCTCGCGGTTTAGCTTGGCCCGCAGCTGTTCCCTTTCGATATCAAACTCGGAGAGTTGCTTCTCCATCTTGGCCTCCATCTGCAAGCTCTTCTTCCTCTCGGCGGCCAGCTCCTCCTGCAACTGGCCGGTCTTCTTCCGCTCCTCGTCGAGGGCTGCGGTGATCTCGTCCACTTTCTGGCTTTCGTCCACCACCTTGCCAGCCAGCTGCTTGCACTCCCTCACCAGCATCATCACCAGTGGCTTGGCTTTCGTCCGTTCCTCTTCAAGCTGCGAGGTCAACTTTTTGTTCTCCGCCTCGAATTGCTTCAGCTGGCATTTTTCAAGCTCCACCTGCAAGAGTGCGCATAAAGCGGTGAGTGCCCGAGAATCAAACCTTACTGTATATTTCAGACGCACCGATTTTAAGAAAGAAGCTGAGTTTTTTTTTAGCACTTCACCGCATCGAAGGATCCTCAAGCTCCTCGCAAGGCATTGTCAAATGCGGTGACTGCATTTGTGGGGAAATCGAGGCAGCCATTTGCACAAAGCCATGAAATATTGCGCTTTTAAAGAACCAGAGGAAGAATGGCCTTCTTCTGTGCTGTAAATTTCTATGGTTTCTGTGGTAAGTGAATAATTATTTCAAAGAGTCATCTCTGCAAATAAAGAGGCAATTTACTTATTCCGCGACACATTATTCAATTTATAATTATATCTGAGATTCGAAATCCATCGTTCATGTATTGTTTCACTATTGGTGTTAATCTATTGGGATTTGAAATCTTCCGTATACAAAGACTTGTAAGAATATGGACTGCACTGTCCCAGAAGACCATTAATGCAGAATCAATTGGATTATTCAAAAAAGAAATTGGATAGATACTATTACAGAAATAATAATAATCCTTGCATTTGATATAGCGCCTTATCACGTCTTCAAGACATCTCAAAGAGCTTCACAGAATATACTGTAATTGAATTGACTGTATATTGTGTGACAAAATGGAGAAAAGGTGGAGAAATGGGATTAAAAGATCTGCCATTATCCAATAATACAAACTCAAAGGGCCAAATAACCTGCTTCTGGAAGTTTTTAACCTCGGCGCTTCAGACAAAACATTAAGAAGCCCAAATAGTTTGGAGGGGAAAGAAAAATTACTCAAGTTTCCACATGCGGAGACCTGAATGAACATTTGTCTTAAGAGTTCAGGAAATGAGAAATTCAGAGTTAGCACAATTGACCTCGCAAATTGTTGATGTAACTTAGAAATGCAAATTTTTAAAATGAGCTTGAAGCTCTATTTATAATAGTTATCCTTGCATTTCATATAGCACCTTTCATTTTGGAAGGACGTCTCAAAGTGCTTCTCAGGATTTACAACAACAAGAAGATTATGTTTGTATAGCGCCTTTCATGTCGGGAGGATGTCCCAAGGCGCTGTACTGTAAAGTGTAGTGACTGTTTTTACAGGCGAAGGCTGCAGTCAATTTTGAGCTCAGCAATATCCCACAAACAGCCATGAAGTGAATGACCAATTTTATGTGGGGGATTGTTGTTCAGGACACTGGAAGAAACTAATGCCATCCTTTTATAAAATAGTGTCTTCACATCTTTAACATTGGTCTATATAGGCAGATGAAACCTTGGTTTACTGGCACAGTTAACATTGAAATGGCGTTTATCGTGCAGTATAAATCAATTTGATCCCCAGTCCCATCTCTGGGTGACAACTGGCACTGCTGCCCTACATTGTCCACGAAGGTCTATTGCAGCCAAATGCAAATGAATTCTAAAAATGTGAAATAAACGTGCTGATCCCATTCACCACTAACCAGCAGTAGTTCCACATGTCGAGCTCTTCTCCGTTCCCAGCAAAGGATTCGGATATCCCTGCTCCAAATCTCTACTTTTGCAAACAATATCAAATTGCACCAGCAATACATAAGGCTTATTAGTAGTCAAGTCATGCTTGTTGCATAGTTAATGCAGTATACATGTGTTTCTAATTGAATTTAGCAGTCTGCTGGTCTGATATGGAGATAACAAATGAATCCAATGTGGAGCTTGAACCCACAATCTTCTTACTCAGAGGCAGGAGTGCACCCGTTTATTACAAAATGAGAAAGTATTGGTTATAAAGCATTGTCACTCGACACACACACACTAAAAACAACACAACAACATCTTGCATTTACACAGACCCCTTCATGCGGTGTTGTATCTCAAAGCTCTTAACAGCTCTTAGCAGCTCTTCACAGCCGAGCCAGGGAAAAGGGGGGAAGGTAACTGTTGGCACAGTCGAAGAGGAAGGTTTTCAGGTATGATTTGAATGTAATGGAAAATTACACACGAATGTAATGGAAAACAGAGCAAAAAGAGTGGTAGCAAATTTGAGTTCTGGCAGCAAATCGTCAATTTGCTGCCAAACGTGGTCAAAGTTGAGAGACATGATAATAAAATGACATAGGGATGACCAGACTCCTTGCTCTGTATTACTCCGTTTTATGGTCAACCTAAAAGCATTGTTGCTGCATGAAAGACTGACTATTTGAAGCCAATAATGGATAGCAGAATGCACCAGCCAACCAATTTGAGTGGGATAAGTGGAGTCAGACAGCATTACAGCAACGGCTATTATAGACTCAAACTAGACCTGTCGTGTCGTTCATCAAAAATGTTTTCGTGAAAGGAAAGAAACAGTGGCAGACTAATTTTAAAGACTGTTTAAAATCTGAATAATCATTATGATAAATCATTGCTAAAGGTTTCTTTCATTCCTTCTCTCCCCCCACCCTACCCATGAAGAAGTCAAAACAACAATAATTATTGTTGTTTACTAGCTGATAGTAAACTCTTTGTACTTTGGAATCTTTTCTATAGCAAAATAAGCTGATTATTTACCTACATTTTCTAATAAAAGTGCATTAGAGAAGCACATACTGAATGATTAGAATGCGCAACCAACAATGTTACATAAAATGAATTGTCTGATCAGTGAATCAGTTCACATATCTGATTCTATAATAGGATCTTGCACTGCAGAAGACCCCTGGCTTCAGTTTCACTGATAAAATATACAGTCAAATCACTTTAGAGTTTATTCTGTGAAGTGCTTTGACACGTCTCGAAGACTTGATAAGACTCTATATCAAATGCAAGTATTATTATTATTAATATTATTATTACAAATATCAGAGCATCTCTAAGGTGGGAATTTTACTCTGTACTTTAATCGCGAGGCAATACAAAAATAATGTCTGGAACATAAAACCAGAGTAGTATGATATAGAAACATGGGAATATCCAGGGCCAACTGACCAGTCTCAGTGTAAAACAAATAAAATGTAAAAATGAATTCAAATCAACTTGCCCGTTCATACTCTTCACTGCAATCTTTCAGAGATTTCACAGATATCCAATTCCCTCTTGAATCTGTCTCTATCCCCCTCCAGGTGATCCATTCCACATAGTAATTCTGTGCAAAATAATTAAATTGGAGCCATCTGTTCACCTTCCTTCTTATGAGCTTGAGCCCAAGTCTCGCCTACAAAACACAGTCCCTGCACTTCTGCGAAGCTCTTTGGCACATCCTCCCAATGTGAAAGGCACTATACCAAATGTAATGATTATTATTTATTGTTATTATTGTTATTATTAATTATTATTATAAGTCTCCTTGTTCCAGACTGTTTGACCCTGTTAAACACATTATTTGGGTTCAATGTATCCATATTATTTAGGATCCTGCATTATTCAAAAAGCCCTTAATACAATATAATTAAATTTGCACTTTTATCGTACCTTTGAAGTTGGGAGGATATTAGCCTTCTTTTCTTTAATGTGAACATTCCCAGTTTCTGTAGCCTCTCCATTCAACTCAATTCCCTAATTCCAGCTATCAATCTTATTGCTCTTTGTTGTACCTTTCCCAATGCCAAGATATCCTTATTGTAACAGACCAACCAGAATGGGTGTGGGTGGGACCAGGACACAAGGGAATGTAGTATGAATTGTTAATACACTAGAGCTGGGCAGAGCTTTTATAAGAGAGATTTAGAGTAAGTTTTTAACCTCAGTTGGCCCATCATCAAATAGTTCCTACAGAGATCCTTTCTCACAGAGAGTAGTCAGATTGAATAATTACAGCACCTTTTGTGATTAAGCTGCTACTGACAATGCTCTGTGAGCAGCCACCTTTAGCCTTTTTGGGGGGGAGGGGGAAGAGAGAACTTAACATTTGGAGAATTTTTTTTACACAAACAAGAGTTCGTTCAGCATGCCATCGCACACACAAACTGCAGAACATTTAATCCTAGGAATGTAGGGGGGAAATGCATCTGAAACCTTCTGAAAGCCTGTTTTGATAATCAATAGCATATCTTATCAAAACAAATTAGTTAGTGCATGGCAACGTACATTCTCAGAACATCTGCTCCTGGACGCACTGCCTGGGAAATTACGGGTTGCCAGAGCAAAATACAGTCATTCTGTATCCCCTCGTGAAGTCTACTCGTGCCTAGCAGACGAAGCACATGGTGTGCGAATGATGTGAAGAAAACAGTTTCAGATATCAAGTAGCTGATCGGGTTCTGCTGAGCTTTCAGCTAGGTGCAGCGATGTCTGGCATTTCATCGCTGTTGTAAATTACCATCACTGCGGTGAAGAACGTTCTCTCGTTCGGCTTTTCATCAACAACAAATGGCTTGGAGGACAACCCTGAATGTTTCGCTACCTTCTCACCAAAAGACTTCAATACCCTCCCTTCTGCTATCCCAGCCAGCAACCACATTAGTTCAGAGTCACTGGCTCTGAGCACCATAAATTCAAGCAAGTCTTATATTCACACCTGCTGTAAAAGACGCTCACGCTCTTTCTCCAGCATGTATGTAACATCATCCCCCTGGGCTGCATCTTGGGCATGTTTATGCCTCTCCTCTTCAAGGTCCAAGATGACCTAACAAATGAGAAAGTAATGACAAACTCCGTGAAAACCCTTTCTTGGATTCTCGACTCAACTTAATCAGTCACATATTCAGGTCCAATTAGTAACAACGTGGCTGAGTTTTATTCCCTTCCCCACCCTCTCCAAAAAAGTACGTCACCGTCCAAATCCGTTTTGAGATTCCATGCTTGACATTTAAGATTTCTGGCTGGTGCTGAGTAAAGTAACACAAGGGTTAACTTCGCACTGTAGCTCAGTGCCCTCAACAATCACTGAGTTTCTAATTGGCGCTAAGAACTGGCTGGAAATTAGAAACGTTTAGGTAAATCCTACCACCTACCTTTCGGTGTCGGACTTCAGCAGCAGCTAGCTGTGCCGACATTCTCTCCTGCATTTTTTTGCAGTGGGCCATGACGATTTCCAATATGGAGAGCGGGCTGCTGCAGATGGGCTGCTTATCTCGGTTGCCATCTCCACCACCTGCCTCATAGTCCCTCTGCAGGGCTAGGAAAGGATCGCTGAGATTAAACCTCCCATACCGCTCCTGGATAAAGACATCCTTTCGACGAGCCTGAAATGACAGCAAATTAAACAGCATTAGCAAACGTCCAGTTTTTAAAAGATTTATTCCGTGCTTCAGTGCATGAAACATGGACAGCAGCATCACCCATCCTCCTCTGTGGGAGATACCTTCATTGTTTATTTGTAGAATCTATAGTAGCAACTGTCTTATCAGCAAATAATTTAGAGAGAATCTGCAAACGGTGTCTGTAGACAAACAGACTTGTACTGAAGTTCAGCTGTCATCGTTTGACGTCTTCATACTTTTCAACATATAGAACGTTTACTGATTCAATGCTTAATGTTTCTGCCTTTCAGATTGCTCTGACAGAGGAAATCAGTTGTGTCAACTTCTTTCTAGATGTAGACTAATATATTTATTAACAGTCATTTTCTATCCAGACGATTTGCTCACTCCATTTGGCTCCTCAAAGGTGTGCCATCACATCTCACAATGTGACTGAATAATTCATTGATTCCCCATGATAGTTAGGAAGTTACAAATAGCAATAGTTAACATTTGCTCCAATTAAATGTTGTGAATTGTCAACATAATACAAACAAAGAAAGCCTTTCTTCAAAATTGCTACTTACTGAGCAAAGATCTGGACTGGATCTAAATCATGATGTGGACCAGGTTCAAGAATGGGTGAAGATCTTTGTTTGAACCAGGTTCAGGACTGGGTGATGAGTGTCTGGAGCAGGGTCAGGATTGGGTGAAGAACTGGTTGGCACTGTAATATTGAGACCACCATCTGCAATCACTTTGTTTAATAATCATAATCCTTGCATTTGATATAGCGCCTTATCACGTCTTCAAGACGTCTGAAAGCGCTTCACAGAATATACTGCAAAGTGAATTGACTGTATATTTTGTAGGCCAAAAGCAACAGCCAATTGCACACAACAGTGTCCCACAAACAGTCGTGGATTAATTGAACCGCTGAATTATGCTTTGGAATGCCAAAGTGAGCCTGGGGCTGAACACAACTCTGCACAATGATGTTGAAATAGGATTCGTATAACAGAACTATGACTTTGATAGGTTTAGACAGGTTGACTGAGGTACCACAAAAGTACATAGCCATGACACTTGACAGGGGAATGCTCTTCCCCAGAAGGCTGTGGAGGCCAAAATCAATAATGTTTAAAAGAGAGCCAGACAATTACTTGGGTAGAAGAAGAGTTAAGGTATGTGATGGGGATGGGGTATTGGGATTAAAATACCTGTCAAGATTTAAAATTTCACAATTACTTGTAAGGTGATTTAAAACATTCCACTGTTTATGGGCGTTATATTAAACTGCAGGAGTTACACATTATTAAAACCAATAATGCTGCACGTAGGCAAGATGTGGGTTTACATTTGCCATTTTGTTTCTTATCTTGAACATTGAAAGACTGACAAGCAAAGGGAAGGCAATGCTCCATAGTGGGGTTAAGGGAAGAAAATACTCTGTGATTGATTCTTCAGAAACTGGGCAGGGCCCATCGACTATAAAGTACCAATGATTTTTTGAGCAACTATCTGCTTAATGTCTGACATTTTGCCTGCAGAGCCTCAGCTAGAACACACAGGACCAAACAATTCCTCGTATTTGCTTTTCATGCTTCAGCCTTTCCTTCTCAGCTGAGTTCACGCTTGACAATGCAATCCCACCATAACCAAATGTAATTTGAGGACAGCAGTGAGCAGGGGAAGTTACTCATGCTTCGGATCTGCTCAGATTCTACTCATCTCACTTTGATTTCAAGTTGCTTGCGTGGTTTCCATGGCTGATGCGGGGAAGATGCAAAAATCGGCGAGACTTGAAATAGCCCAGGTTATGTCACGAGTAAGACCTCAAAATCTCATCGGTGACAAAACCAGAAAATGCAAATGTTAAAGCCCACACACCACCCACCCCCACACACACAGGATATTTTTCTCTGCCAATTTTTTCGTCTTTCCTAAATAATAAAGTATAATAATAAAGATTTGTCCTAAAAGTACCCTATCTTGCCCCAACATCTACTCACAAAATCTTTACAGCCATACTCGTCAGAAGGCTATGGGTCAAGCCCCAAATTGGGACTTGGAATATACAGTAAAGTCTTTTGACACTCCACTCCAGTGCTAGGGTGTGCTGCATTGTCAGAGGTGCTGTACTTCAATTTTTTTTGGGGGGTGGGAATCAGCCGGGTGTCTGTCACATGCGGAAATCTATCACCATGCTTAAAAGTATCCAACCCAAGCTGAGATTTGCATGCATCCCTCCTACACATGGAAATCCCAGAGATAGATTGTTTGAATGGAATGTGCACTCTCTCCCTGGAAGGACGTATCCTGCTTATCTAATTCCAGAAAGTATTAGGTGCAGGTTGGCGAGAGCCAAGATTTGAGGACCCAAGAATGTGCGTTGGAATCTAACTGCATAGCTTGCCGTTGATATTGCTGTCTGGCAAGCTTTCCCGCTGCTTGTCCAGCTAGGACCACCCTACCTGTTAGGGGTTTGGCTTGCAGGGTTAACAGGAACTGAATGGGATGCCCCCAGTGATTGGTCTGCCCTTCCAGCTCCTGCCGATGAACCAGGCTGGCTGTGCCATCATCAGCAACGTCTTGAAATATTGCGGACCCACCTGGCTCAGCAACTGGACTATTGAGACCGCCAGAGAGGGCTGGCTCGACTCCGACATTCTATTGCCAGGCATGTCACTTTGGAGTCAGCTCGGCTCCAAGGAGACCCCGCTTACCTCCTCCCCAAGGAGGATACTTCAGATGGGACGATAAACCGAGTCCCCATCTGCCTGTTCAGGTAGATGTTAAAGATTCCAGGGCACTGTTTGAAAAAGGGAATGGAGTTTCTTCCCAGAGTCCTAGTCAACAATCCCTCAGTACATGTAATTATTCATTTCATGGCTATTTGTGGGAAATTGCTGCCCTGTTCACATCACTACACTTCACAGTAAAATCTTATGAAGAGCTTTGAGATGTCTTGAAGATTAGATAAGGCTCTTTGTCAAATGCAAGCATTATTATTATTAGAAGTACAGAAACATAGAAAATAAAACAGTCAATATAGAGATGAAAAAAGCTAAGAGTCCCTCTTCCCTTTGATATGAAATACTGTAGCCTATTCTTAAACACAAAACCATAGCCTTTTGGTGAACAAAACTAATAGATTAAACAAGATATTTTCCTATTGCAGACACTGTTTGGCAGCAATAGCTGCAGCTCGGACACTTGAGCCACTTATACTCTGACCCTGTCTGTGAAATGAGTGCGAAGCCAGACATCAGATAGCAGTGAGGAGTGGGAAGAGCTGTGACGTAGCTTGCTGGGAAGTGATGGCTCGGTTAATCAATTGCGCGGCTAGCGTGATCGGAAAGCAAGGCAGCAATATGCCACAGCCGTTACCATCATCGATAAGTCACCAGAAAACCACAAGAGAACCAGGCTTAGAAAATGCTTTGGTCAACTTTCAAAGGGAGCTTACAGTGAAAAGTTGTACAATAAAGGAACAGACTGATTGTAGGTGAACATGAGCCGCACTAACCCCTTCAGCTTTCTCAGTTTAAAAACTCTTCTGCAGTGGCAAAAACTTGCTGGAAGAACATAACCGAGACTTAATTTCGTGCCACACGACTCATTAGTTCCACTTCCCAATCAATATAAAAACCCATTTGTATTGCATTCAGCTCTGCTCGAGTTACAGAACTTCCATCCTTGCGGTTAGCAGCCTGTCCTACCAAGATTGCTTTGCGAGCAACAACTCACTTCATCCCAGCTTGAAAGCGTGGATAAGGAAGGTAAGAAAGATCAGATTAGAGATAAAGCACAGTGAGGTACCGCTCTTGTGAAATAAGAGGCGCCATCCCAGGCCTGAGAGGCAGTGCTGAGGAGAGCTAGGCGGATACCCTGTGATGGTTAGCATTAGCTGTGAGCACGGACTAGATAAAATAGGGCTCTTCAATCTTGAAATAAGACATCCTAGATGAGACATTGTACAGATAAAGTAGGTGCTAAATGGGAGAGAGAATGTAATCACAGCAGAATACTTTCAGATTTGCCAAAGATAAGTGCTCGGACACGATGCCCTGCATGAAGGACACTATAAATGCAAGATTAGAGATCACTGTGAACACTCAGCAGGTCAGGCAGCATCTATGGAGAAAGGAAAGTGGGTCAATGTTTCGGGTCCATGACCCTTTGTCAGAACTCTGACCCACTTTCCTTTCTCCATAGATGCTGCCTGACCTGCTGAGTGTTCACAGCGATCTCCGTTTTTATTTCAGATTTCCAGCATCTGCAGTATTTTGCGTTTTATAAATGCAAAGTGTTGTTCTTTACGAGAAGGAACATTTTCAAGACCAGAAAACATTTCATTACACAAAAGGAAGCTAATAACCATGTTACCTAATGCAGGGGTAGAGGCCACTGGGCTCATCTGAGAAACAGCTAGATGCTGTAAATGCCGGAAGGATAGGTTGGTAATCTGGAAGGATAAATGGGCCAAAATGCTTTCTTCATTCAAATCGCTGAGGATCTGGATCTACAATTCTATTCAAATACTTTGAAAACAATCTTATGCTTCCCTCCGTTTCCATTCCCCAAATGCATAAAAAGGACATGGAAAATAATAAGGACATGGAAAATTAAAAGCCTCTCTGGTATAATTTATAACCATCCACTCAGGTGCCAGAAGGCACTGTGTCTTAGAAGGTTTTAATCATAGTTGAGAGAAATATCATCAAAGAAATGGCATACAAAGGTGAACTGGATTCCTGCTCCCCTCACCTCCTCTACCCCCAATTTTGTTTTCAATTCCAGAACAATTTCTGTGAAAACAAAATAGATTGATCCCTTTATCTTATTTTCATCCAGAATCTGAAGAAAACGATCATTCTTGACAGCACCAACAATAAAAGAAGCAGATTACATTTCAGTGTGATCATCAGCAACCCCCGTTCCTTGGTTACTGCCCAACGTGGTAAAGGTGAACCACTCAGCGGATGCTAACCTATTCTTCC